ACTATGCCGTTTGAGGTATTTTCTACTTTTATATATGTTTTCTTTCTTAAATTAGATGCGCGTAAACTGAACAAAGAGTTTGTGTTGTAATACATTTTAAAGCGAGCCTCTCAAATGCGCTTCGGATGATATACAGAAGAACGTAGTCTGACCTAATAGAAGAGACTTTGGACCGTTAGTTTTGAATTCCAATTCTGTCGTTACATTGGTTCTGAAGCCTGGAAAAAGTGGTTGGTGCGCAGAGCTGCAAAATTGTCATTTCCATTGCTGGGATTACGAAAACCGTACAGTTAGAATACATATGTCGCATGCGGAAAACATACTGTTTGACGAAATTTGTTTGGTTGTTTGGAAAAGATTGGTCCAGCCAGGTACCGATCTTTCACATCTCTATGGCCTTTGTGAGATTGTTCCAGGAGTATTTAAAACGCACATGTCATTGCCGGTAATATTCATAGTTTTTTTTGAATTCTGACAGGCGAGTTGCTTTACAGAAAGAGGTGCTTTAGGAAACCAATATTTCTTCCAGCAGATTTTAAGTCCTAGAGTGTATCGAGTCCATCATTTGTCGTGAGATTGTATAAAATTTTTAAAACGCGTCACAAGAAATGTGATTATGTGGGACCCTTTTACAACCTGTTTTCTTTGAAACTAAGTTCGGTTTTATCATCCTGATATACACTTATAACAGTTGTTTAGTTATAATTTTCCGTGAATTCAACTGTGTGAAATATTTTTTAAACATTGGCTGTCGTTATTCCATTGAATTTTCACAAACTTCAGTTAATGGGGTTGAAAATGTTACCAGGGTAAATGACACGTATGTCTTCGCTATATGCATGTTTTGATTTTTTATTGATAGTGCATTTGTTATACCTTGTGTCTAATTATTTGAGTGGTTGAACGACCTTGTATGGAATAAAGATCTTGGCAATCACAGTTACCGAATCAGCATAATATATGTCACTACTGTAAGTGGATAAAACAGCAAAATAGTCAAAACCAAAGTCAACTGAACCTAGGGTCTGAATGAACTATTTATCGAGACAATTTTTCTGTATGTCCCACATTTTAGAAATATGAACTATTGAAGAATTGTTACTAAATAATTTGTCATGATCAGCATGTAAAAATTTTGAAAAATATAAGTTCATACTTATCATGCATCGGGATTTCTGAAACTCAGAATTAAGCCTTGTAGAAAGTGTAAAAACGTTGTAAATTACTTTAAATAAAAACAACTAAAATAAGATAGGTTTGGTGGATCGGGATCTGACTCCGATTTGATTGTATGAATGATTGTTATTAAAAAATATATGTCCCCTATCCTCGTATATGATCATCGATTGAAATCGTGTTAGTCAATAACGGAATTAAATAAGTCGAATAACGAGAATGGACTTTTGAATATATATATTGTATATGAAGCGAATGGAATAGAACGAAGCGAAACGACGCGCAGTGGAGATGGCGGGTAAGCCAACTCTATTTAGACAAGCGTTAATCAATGTTTATAGCCATACAAAAATAAGTTAAAGATATGTGATGAATAAGATGACAAATGTGCACACACATGCTCATATAAAAACAGTCAGGATTGATAAGTGAATAATTAACAAGGCCAAAATGTGACTAAAGTAGAATGAATAGACTGGCTTGTCAGAATGCTAGAATAGAGTATACGGGCTTAACATAGTAACGGACACTACAGAGGAACATGTACTATGAAAATAGGCATTGAGAAAAGGAGTTGTCTTTAATTATGTTAATTGATTGATCGGTTTCTAAACCAACGTATTTCTTTCTCTATACGGCTGTAAGATCCATTTTGAAGGTTTTGTGTGTGAAAATTCCCTCATGTATGCACTTGTAATTTATTCATATTGATGGATTCAGATTTACATTCTGTTATGTTTTTTATTCAATTTGAGATGATAATATTTATATTTTATTGTAGTTTTTATTTTCCTTACACTTTCACTACGTTCCGATGTATTTGCCTGAGCTGCATTTATGTTCATTTAGTTGATACTAAGTCGTGGCTACACCTGCACTAATTTGTCCCCTCTTTGGTCGTATTCCTTGCATTGACTGGAATTGTGCATTTCTGACTGAATTGAAGCACTGTTCCAGGATTCGAAATACTCTGTATCATACTGCAACCAAATATTGTCTTTCGAAGGAATCTGTACGTGATCTATTCAAAAAGCATAGAATAACATTTATTTGTTGCGATTGATAATTCCCTTACATCCTTTATCAACTAATTTATTTATCGTAAAATGAGAAAGACATTCATTTGTTAAGTCTGACGCCGAAAAACCGTTAATTATGTTTATGAACACTAAAATAACTTCATTTAATCCGGATAATATAATAATAATGATGAACGAGAGGCCTGGGCTAGTCACTGATACAAAGGAAAATCGGTTAATGATATATAGTCTACCCATAGACTCACGCGATTATTTCGTTTTTATAGCCGGCGAAACGTGGCGAAGTCCTAGTCAAGTCATCCAGCGGGCTGGTCACTGCATGTTGAACAGTTCAACAGTCCCCGTCTAAGTCAAGGACAACCAACATATATCAATTAATCGTAGCCATGGGCTGGCTCATGAAGTGGTGGTCTCATTATCTACTTTGTGCTCAATCTTATTGACATATTTCCGTAATAACGTTCTTTGTGTTCTATGGTCTTCAAAGCAGCCATAGAATCTTAATATGTTTAAGGGATAATACACGTTAGGTGTTGACAGCGAGGTGTGACTTTGAAGTTAGCTGTTGGTCACACTATTCCCGTCTAAATCTAGTTAGCTCCCAATCATTCTATATAGATCATCAACGTTGATGACCTACATGTGGATTGTGACGAACATGGAAGGCATTCGGTGTTGTGCAAAAGGTAAGCAAAGAAGCGTGTAATCAAAAGTCAGACGAGTATTTAGGCGCAAAGTTCTTCAATTCAGTGACATTTCAAATATAGGGCGACAACATGTGGTAATTCCTCTTTATTCCACAGTGACAGATGGAAAAGCAGACATTCTGGTGCGTCACCTTATTATTTCCCCTTTATTTTCTAACGAAATTTACCTTTTGTTTCCGTTTTATTGATTGTTTAGGAGTTGACATTTAAGTGTGGCAATAAAAATTTGAGGATTTTTTATTAATCAAGAAAAGTCACTCAGCTATCAATTCTTTTGCACATTATGTAGCGGACTAGATTACCATTGCTGTTATGATTATTATTGGCCAACCCCTTTCAATCTCACATTTTTGACACTCCTGTTTCTCTATTATGCTTAGATCTTTGCGTGCTTATAGTGTTTGTGCAAACTTTCAACAACCTTATCCCATTATTTTCCTTCATTATCGCCAAATTAATTTTTGAAATCCTTCGATGAAGACTAACTGAACTAACTACATTTCACGATATCAAAGATTTGGGACCGTTACGTGATGTTAAGAAGTAGTAGAATTATGATCTACTATGGTATTAGTACTGTGTTATTAATAATAGACCTAATCCTAAAATTGTAGATTTGTCATGACATAACTGCCTAATCTATAAGATCTTACTTGGAAGTCACACCATCGACTACACCAACTCACTATATCGTATCAATTACCAATACATGATGTAGAACAAGGTTAGGCTAGAGGAAGAACATTATATTTAATATGAATAGAAGATATAAGGTAACATTCAGCAGGGACCACGCCTGCATGACCGAGCCATGCCATTCGATCAACTCTAATTCATTCAATTCATTGTTCCCGCCTTTTCCATCGTTGGGTGTTTCTACGCGTTAAATAATGAATATCTATTTTCCGAGTAGTCTTGTTTTCAGCTTTGAAGATTGTGTGGTTATGGTCCAATGCTACTACATAGTAACTGAAAAAAGATCAGTGAATACTTAGAAGGTTTCAATGATTAAGATCATTAGTCAGTTGAAGCTAGACCACTATAGAAAACCTGGAAGCACTGGACGGCCGTTTCGTCCTACTGTGAGACTCCTCAGCAGTGCTCATCCACGACCCCGCCCCACATGAGATTCGAACCCAGGACCTACTGGTTTCGCGCGCGAGCCCCTAAAAACCAGACCAATGAGACGGCATCCAACGGTGTTAATGCCGAACTTCAACTAAACCACGAAATTGAACGACATCCACCATTGTCTTCAATGAGTTACTATCTCACAACAGACCTGGTTGAACTCCACTGGTCACTACTTCTCACTAGAACTCCTGGATATACTTTATGATGTCAGTCACTAGTGAGCATATGTTGATTAATATCAAATGGGTTTTTTAGATGCTACAGTAATTTCAATCTCTCAGGGGACGGGGTCATGGATGCGCATTGCTAAGGAGTCCCACAATAGGACGAAACGGCCGTCCAGTGCTTCCAGGTTTTCCATGATGGTTTAGCTTCAGCTGACTCATGATTTTGATCATTGAAATTACTTAGAAGGTTGCTACAAGTATATTGGATATTGAATGACCTTTTGCCCTAATCACCATAACAACAGTTGACAACTTTTCAAAACTCTTCCCTCAATGTCTTCAGTTGAATCCCTTATCCGGACCTTTCCCGATAACTTATCGTCACAAAGGATACTGGATAAAAAATGTGAGAAAAATGGAAGTATTGTGGGAGGTGTTTTACTGAGAAACCGTAATGAAGACATACCTGTACGTTTATAGTTATTTCTGTAAACTTTGTTCTTAAAGCTCACACCATCACTGTTTGCTTACAAAATGTCTTTGACTTCAGAAGAATTGTATAAGCAATTATTTTACAGTCATATCCCTGAGACGTTGGCTCTGCATGACATGTCTTTGGTTGGGGATCGAAAGGTGCCATTATGTGTTTATGTAGATTACTTTAGACGACATCATTTCCCGTCAATCGTCCATTGTTTCAACCATTTCCTTCTGAGCTAATTTTTCAAAGCTATGAGCCTGGAAAGTCTTATGAATTGCCGTTAGTACTTCGTAATATGGATAAGGTTTGTTATAATACAATAGTAAACTGTTGTCCAGGTTTCAAGAACAGCTCATTTGATTCAAAATGATACTCCATACTTTAAAATAAAATGTATGAGTACACAAGGGTCTAAAGTGGCAGCTGGTTTGTCACTTTCTTTCACAATTGTCTTCACTCCTGATGCTAACCAGGATTATCGACACGACCTTATGTGTGTGACTGATAGAGAACTGTTCTCCGTTCCTGTATTTTGTATTGGCCCAAGAGCGGTTCTAGAATTGCCTGATGATATCTGTTTTGATGAGGTTCCAGTGAAAGTAGTGAGTAAAAAGTTAGTAGGCGTGAGGAACATTGGGAACTGCCAGGCCTCTGTAAAGTTTGATACCATGAAGTAAGTTGTATTTGTTTTTGACTTTAGGCCGTTTTTTGTTGAACCCATATCTTTAAAAATTGAATCTGGTGCACTAGAAGAGATAAAGGTTTCATTCGTTCCTGAAAATACAGGAGAAGTCTCGAAGAATATGTTCATCATTTATGATACTGGTAAATCAGTTCATTTACATTTACTTAACAATTTTACAAGGAGAAAGACTTCAGATTAATCTTCACGGTCACGGACGAGAATCGTTGGTTTATCTTAGGGATAACAAAGTGTCAGTGAACGGAACATTCATTGGATTACATTCGCAGACAAAAGCTTTCATCGTAAACGACTCATCCGATGTTATCAGTTTTAAGTGGAGTCCTTTTGAAAATAGCGAGGAAGAGTCACTTGTGAATGACTTATTAGTTGGAACGTTGAATAACTCTTGTGATTTTAAATCTTTACTGAAGCAAAAGTTGATTACGTGGGCCAGGAAATTTTCTGATCAACAAATAGTAAGTTTTCGTCAAACATATCGTAGTCATAATCTTATTTGTTTTCGGTATACCAAAATCCTACTGTATATTTTACTGGGCATTTGCTAGAATTTATAGTTTTATTTGTGTAATCCAGTCAGAAAGCCAATCTGTACTTACCATTTCTCATAATTCGACTTCCTGTCTCAGTGTTATAGTGAAATATTCGCGAGACGAAGCGTATCATAAAAATTTTAAGAATTTTAAAAATATCCTAAAAGCTTCTTGCATCTGTCTTTTTTCAACTAGTACTGAATAGGTTTCTCACAAAAGCATCAACCTCAAGGATAAGCAAAATGCTACATTTAGGAACTGTAACTAACACTAATTGGTTAGTTACCAAGAAAATAAATGTACAAAACAATTCCTGACAGTTGTTAAACATTACCTACCATACACTATGCATGAAAATGCAAACAAAAAGTAAGTATATCACGCATAAGTGGTTTACGTTCCGTTGGCTCACTGTAAGGAATGAATAATTAGACAAACTTAGCAGTATTACGGACATCTGGTCATAAGCCTGACATAATAAAATTTAATCCACAGATTTGATCACAAACTGATCGTTTAAGTGTTCATGCCAGCTATTTTGGATTAAAGTATCTAAAAAAGTATTTACTTAGTAGCTACTACCAGAGCTCGCAGTATCAGTATGCCTATCGGCTAAACGCCTAGTCGTAATATTACTGTTCAACCCAGTGATATTTACATCAGATTTAATACAACTAGTGTCACTGAATGCCTGCTCAGCCTACACATTGATTGATTGTGATAGATAGAAGTAATACCAACCAGTAGAAATATCCAATATGTGCTCTGGTAGTCATCAGTGAACCAGGAGTCAAGTCAGAAATAACATAACAATCATAATTAGAAGTGTATGATACTTATCATTTAAATAAGCACGTAATAATGTATAAATCAATTATTAGCTGGCATAAACACCTTGTTACCCGGAAATAATATGAATCACCCATTTGGTTACATAATGGTAATAAAAGGAGCTCGGTATTAGCTTTCAAATATACGTGTCACTCGAGAAAAATTTCAGGAAGGGATCATGAGACGTCACTCGTAACGTAGGTGAGACATTCGTCTACCAAACAAAGGATGATCTTACTGTGTAACACTGTGCTCCATTCTGCTTAGTGTCTATGAAAAGTGGCCCTTATAAATAGAGGATATTCGTGCGTCACTGGCATTCAAACAAATATGTCTTTGAGGCACTGTTCCTACATTTCGAGACCGTTGAGTGAGTGTTGCTTAGATAAGGTTCATGACATCAGTTAAGGATGGCAAGTTGATTGACGAGGTAGTGAATCTTTGCCGACAGAGATGGTTGGGGCATGCATTACATATTGTTATTCACTGACTACTTCGACATGCATTAGTGACCGATACAGAGATAGACTGGAATAAAGATGCGGGCGGTAAAACTAAAGCGTAGTATTGGTGTGAGAGTACCATTAAAGATAAACCTCATACCTTAAACTACTATAATTCATTCGATTTACTCATCATTGTTCATGACATGATACTTTTAAATGGCTTTAAGATGCCTGGTTTTGACATGGGAATTGTTCAAAAAAAGTATTCAAAAATGTACTTACGTCTGTCGCTCCTCGTGAAGGAGCGTTGGCACCAGCACCCTCTATTTAACTTTGTCCTGGGCAAACCTTTCCAGCTCTTTCCAGTTGTTATTCATCCTTTTCATATCTTCTTCTATTTCCTGACGTAATGTGTTCTTTAGCCTTCTTCTTTTCCGCTTACCTTCAGGATTCCAAGTTAGGGCTTGCTTCGTCATGCAGTTTGATGATTTATTCATTATATGTCCTATCCATTTCCATCGCTTTTTTCCAATTTACTCTTCAGCTGAAAGCTGGTTTGTTCTCTCCCATAGAAGACTGTTGCTGATGGTATCCGACCAATGGATGTTGAGTATCTAGCGTAGACAACCATTTATAAATACTTGTACCTTCTTGATGATGGTTGTGGTAGTTCTGGAAGTTTTAGCTCTATACAGTAGAACTGTCTTGACGTTTGTATTGAGAATTCTGACTTTGATGTTACTTGACAAACAGAAACATAAAATAAAAAATTAAGCATCTTTTTTTCTGAACTTTCTTTTTCCCTGAAATAATTTTAATATATTTTTGTTTTTATTTAAAAAATTAATATTTAATCTAATAAAGCCATATCCAACAAATATTCAAACAATTGAATCTTCTCCATTCAATATTGAACCAATTGAAGGACGTATTCAACCATATACAACATATGAATTTATTGTACATTTTAATCCAGAAAAAGCTAATTTATATGAAGATCTATTTTATTGTGATGTTGAAGGTGTACAAAAACGTTTAGTTCTATCAATTCATGGTGAAGGTTTAGGACCAAAAATTAAATTCTCATATAAATATTTAAATATGGGAAAGATATTTATTGGTTCACAGCATAAATATGAATTGGTTATATCTAATACTGGATTAATTGAAACAATGTTTTCAATTCATTGTAAAAATAACACTGAGGGAGATGAGAATAGTCAAAATATAACTAAATTTGGTAAATATTTTCATCTTATACCTGATGAAGGATTAATTTGTCCTGGTGGTTATCAAGTAATACAAATTGGATTTAATTGTAATGATTTACTTGGAGAATTTAATGAAGTATTTCAATTTGCCTTTGATGGATCATCTAATTTTGAAGAGATTACATTTAGGTAAGAAAATGGTATTGATACTGATCCTGTTGTTGATATTAAGGGTTGAGATTAATAAGTTTCTTTAGGCATGTGTATATGTTGAGATGGTTGTATTGATGTTTTTGTCGAGCTAAGCATCTCTAAGTGAAGAATTCTTTCTCATTCTATAAGCTAGTGGCTATTTGAAATCGGTAGCTCAGTGGGTAACGAGTTATTGGTTTGAAATTAAAGATAATGGGTTCGCATCAGGATTAAAATATCAACATTGAGATTCTGGTACATCTAGGTGGCTATTTCTAAATAAAACGAAACGTACATCCTAGATTTCACTGCTAGTCACTATCTAATTTCCTTTATAGAGGTGTCATTATCCAGCACAAGAAGAACTACGAAAAAATCACTACTATTTCAAATGGATTGGCTAATCAAACGGCTTTTATAAAAGAATTTAATATATGTGGTTTCATTAGTATCCATAAATAATCCAGCTTAGTAAGCATAGCCTAAATATGGGATAATCTTTGTGAAATATATAAGGATAACGTTCACTAATTTTTAATGTTTCCGTATAATTAATGACCATGAAGTATTTAGGACTATAGATAATGTGTTTAACCGGATTTTTTACCAGAGATCAACTATTTACTACCAAGTGACACTCAAAAGAATTCTGGATTTGATTGGGAATTAAGAGTATATTTAGATCAGTAATAAAACTAAACAAGAATACAAATAAAATTTTAAAAGAAATTTATTAAAGGGATAAAGAAAATATGAAGACAAAAATGTGTCACCATGATTTATTCAACGTGCTAAGTTTTAAATAGAATTACCAGGAAATCCTGAGTGCTGACTTCGTGCTACTTAGCAATAATCAGCATAAGAGATACGGAACAGAGAATGATTTGATGTTTCTTTTGAAATTTCAACACTTTTCATCCTTTTTCAGAGTGCGTAGTGTAAACATTAAGCTATTTACGCGGACTTTGATTACACATTCAACCTCTAAACAGGATTTCCTCTTGGTAAGATTCAACCATTTAACATTAAATGAGATTTTATATGACATCAAGCCATATAGATTATTGTCCGTTCATCAATTTGATAGGTAGAATTTGACTAGAACTACAGAATAGAGAACATGATATTATTTACTATTCAGTGACCGATTGACGCAAGTATACAAAAGCCTAACAATCGATATTATTCCTTTAGACCATATGAATAAACACGCAGTAATTCAATTAAATAGTGCAAATAGGTAATGGACGAAATGAAAATTGTTATGTCCCAATAAGCATAATGAATGGTAACTTTTGGGATCCATTTATGAACCAATACCATATGTATATTTTTATCGCATAATTGCTAAATAACTAATTTATTCATATTCGTGTTCCTCTTATCATAAGCTTTATTTTAACCTATGAACTATTATTATACCATTTATCATTCTTGAATTATTCCCTGTCTATTAATTACTACCTCCCACATTCACAGTCACTTTTGGTTAAATCTTGTACAAATGTTGTTTCCTATTTAATGGTACGATGTGGTCCGTTTGATTGGTATATAGACCCAATATGTTTAAAATAAATGATTCATATTGCAGAGGCTGAGAATGGTGTTCTGGACTTAGCAGGAAGGGTTAGGCTGAAAGCATGACCGATAAGGACTCTAGACTGCTCGTACGGGTTTTACGCGTCATTAGTCCGATCGACAATTCACGGTTCTCTAATTGGCGGTATCGTTAAGTTATACATTAACAGGGCACACAGGTTCACAAGTTATGACAAAAATAACAATTACATTATTCCGTTTTAAGGCATAAGCATAGTTTTATATTTTACTCTCTATTATTTACTATCACGAGGAAGGTTGAAGAATGTCTCAGAATACTTAATGTCTGGAAATATTTTTTTAAAGTAATAGAGTATAAAAATATCAACAAATGATTTACGTTATTTAACTGAATTCATAGAGTTGTCTACTTTAGGACATTCATTATTGAAGTACAATTAAAAGTTTTGCTAAGTCAATCATTATTAATAACTGTCATTGGATCTTAATTTTTCTTCAGAATATCAATGTTGTGTTTTCAATTATTCATATTGTGTAACTATTTCTATATAATACAGAAGTTCTATTATTCTTTAATTTAATTTATAGTGGTACTGTGGTTGGACCAACATTTCATTTTGATGTTCCATCAGTGGAATTTGATCAAGTTTCTTATGGTAAATCGATAATTATGATATATTGATTCACATTTTTATTTTTGTTAATTGAATATTAAAGATCAGTATTAATTTATATGAATATTGGTTAAGATATAAACTAGTAGTCTGATAGAAATTAGGCTCTGAGTATACAAAATATATTCAATGTAAAACATTATTGAAATAACAATATATTGTACTCGATTCTCCCTTACGAAATTCTAGTCAAATTTCAAGAAGAAACTTTAAAATTATTTCGATTTCAATAACAGATTACTTAATGAAAAATAGACAGTGGCTAGCAGTGGGATCCAGGGCGCGCATTTCCTCCTACTTGTGACTCTGCAACGGATGCACCTGCACTCTGGGACTCAAACCCAGTACCGTCCACTTCAAACACCATCGCGTTATCCATTTAGCTACTCAGTCCTTATAACCATCTGTTTGTGCAATCGGGTGAAGTTTCAATTCACTTGATGTTGTTTTGCTTGTATCCTCCCACCCAGTTGACGTGTCCCAAATGGGACGAAACGTGCGTCCTGGATTCCACTGCTAGCCACTATCCATCTTTGCTTAAAAAGCTTGTGACTTAAGGCCATATCGAGGCAATCCGCATTGGATGTATATATGCCGACAAGAGACTGATCAATTACAGTCCTAAATAACAATGGGAAGATACAAGTAAAACAACACCAAGTGAATTTACAGATTATTTAAATACGATTTTTACATAAAAATGATTTATGTTACTTTGAGTAGTATGTGATGATACTTTCGATTTACTTTGTGGTTTATTTTCAGTAATCAATGCTATATTGATTGCTATTACATTAGGGACTATTTAACGTAGACTATACCACCTATAAGAGTTTAGCATATTGATTTTATGAGTGACATGGTTTAATAATTTTTGTTTACCCCAAGCAAAGCCTCATGATGCAATTTCGAAGAATATTTTAAAGTGACCACGAATCATGATCAATATACTAACTTCTCTTTCTAGTAATGCAGTAATGTGAAAGTACGAAACGTTTATCTACAGCTGAGCATATGATGTAAATGTATATAGGGAAATATTTCCAGGCAATGTAAACAACAAAATTAGTTAATTATGATTGATCGAGTAAAAAAACGTCTGCCGAAGTAGCTCAAATAATTGACATGTAGAAAATGAACTACTTAATTGAATATTTTTGTTAAAAATTTAAATACACTTTAAGTTGTACACTGATAAACACTAATAAATCAGAACAATTTGTGAGTAGTTAAATACAATGATGGCAATTACACAATTAAAATAATTGAAAAAAATGTATAAATTGAAAGGTGTTATGACATGTGTAGTGGTAGCAGCAACATTCTAAATGGATTGTAACTTGAAAAATCAATCATTGAAAGTTATGCGTTATTGAAGGATTACGTTTGGGAATAATTAGATTCTGATTGCCAAATGTTGTATAAGAAAGATCAAGTCAGCCAGTTAGTGCTGTTATAGGTGTATGGGTGGTTATCACTTCCCGATCGTTCATACCGTGGAAGAATATTTTGAGTTTATAGTGGTCTTGGTAACGTGGAAGCATGACCACAGGGCCAATGGAACAACTCTTGGGGTTGGTCATAAACGGTCTTTCTACGAGTATTTCTTAATGTATTAGTTCCATAGTTCAAAGGAGTTATCAATGGTGATGGAAATCCGTGTAGTGGAGTAAAATGCGGAATGTTTAAAGTATTAACTTCCTAAAAGTTTTCTTTTATTGCAAGAAAGAAGGGTCGCTCTAACGCTGGTTGTCCAGGTGAAACACTTTATTACCGGAACACTTCAGTGCAGTCATGACTACGACTTAACCATTTTGCCTTAAGTCTATTGCTTTCAGTCCTGTTTTTCTAAGATCCACCCAACTGGAATGGTAGGACCTAAAGAGAAAAAAGTGTTCCAGTCAATATGGCTCAGTTTGGTCATCATGGTAGGCGAGCTAGACCACCACATAGAGGTAGCGGCTACGGCCGGGACAGAAAAGATTCAAAATAGATAGTTCTGGAAGGAATAGATGTATTACAGAGAATTTTTTACTACAAATATTAAAACAGCTTAATCAAGTAATCATAGTTTAATTTAAAAATAAGAGAGTTTGTACTTTATAATATGTTAGAATGTGATAAGTTATCCGTATATTCTGGGTTTGATCCCATGTAGAATCTTGGGTACCAATTATTGAAGAATTTAAAAACGGAAAAAAGACAACTTTCTAGTATTCTCTGACTTTGTCTCATTCTCTGATTGACTTCAGTTAGCGAAGAATACCAGTGTCAAAATATTTTAAGTTTTAGCATGTAATTACTTAAACTAACTGTATGTATAATATGAACTGTTTTACGACCGACGTTTATAAATATTATACTGCATATTTTATTGTTTCTTATGTAACTATTCTAAAAGGATTTTCAAAAGAGAAAATTATAACGTTGCATAATACTTCATTTATACCAATGGATTTTATTCTTCGTATCACTGATCATGATGACAATGATGACATGGATGGTGATAATAACAATGAACAAGATGAACAATTGAATGTTATTTCAAATCATCATTCAAATTTACATAAATCATTTGATAATACAACATTTCAAATTACTCCAAACTATGGAAATCTACTTCCAATGAGTTCAATAAATATATCCATAAGATTTAGTCCAAAATATTTAGGTTTAAAAAACTATAAATTAATTGTTGATGTTATAAATGTTGGGAAAAAAGCACATTGGTTACCAATATCTACTGAGTAAGTTATTCTACTAATTGGAAATGCTTTGAAAAAAGAATATATTTAAAATATTGAAGTTTGTCTAGCTTTTTAATTATGTTTTTGTTATAACTTGTGAACCTGTATGCCCTGTATATTGGATAATGCAATGATACCGCCAATCAGAGAGCAGCAAATTATCGGTCGAATCAGTGAAGCATAAAGAACATGCGAGCAACCTAGAGTCCTTATCGGTAATGCTTTCTGCTTAGCCTAGTCAGTTACGTCCAGAACACCAATCTCAGCGTCTGCAATATGAATCATTTATTTTAAACATATTGGGTCTATATACCAATCAAACAGACCACATCGTACCATTAAATAGGAAACAACATTTGTACAAGATTTAACCAAAAGTGACTGTGTATGTGGGAGATAGTAATTAATAGACAGGGAATAATTCAAGAATGGTAAATGGTATAATATTAGTTCATAGGTCAAAATAAAACGCATAATAAGAGGGACATGAATATGAACAGTTTAGCTACATAAAAATTACACGACAAAAATATACATATGGTATTGGTTCATAAATGGATCCCAAAAGTTACCATTCATTATGCTTATCGGGACGTAACAGTTTTATCCGGATGGTGTTAGTCTGTTAAATGAAATCTGGAGAAAAAAAAGAATGTAGTGAATTGTGATTTCCTGCCTTTTAAACCTTGTTATCAGTGAGTTCCGACACTTCAATTCAACGGGAGATCAATTACAGCCTAAAATAGTAGTAAGGTATCTGACTATAAAACGAGAAGAAAAATTAATTTCTTTAAAATTTTACATGTACATGGCAGAAGATTATCAACATTTATGGTACATAACTTTAGAAAACGCGTGTCTCAATGTTAAGTCGCTTAGAGTAGTTGTTCACGAAAAAGAAACTATTCAAGGTTAATCTGTAATAAATCCGGTTTTATTTTGGGGGAATTTCAATTCTGTTCATTAAAAAAACAGGCAATAAATAACAAAATTCACCATTTAAATAACTGAAAATTGTTATTCTGTTGTTTCATTATCAAATATAGTCATCAATATTCATGAAACGCCACAACGCTGAACTTAATAATTACGGCATCCATAAAACTCTTGTGCAGTTTCAAATGGGAAGATAATGTTACTACATGAATCGTTTGCAATGGCGCAGGTGCATCCACTCTTTGTGTTCTCCTAAATTCTAGTCTTCTGAATTCTTCATCTTCCCATTTTTTATCTTTCCGAATTTATTTCACTGGATTATACTCGTTGAATAACATCTTCAAACCCTAATCTTTCCGATTACTGCTTATACTCTTACTACCTCTACCACTACGGGGTTTGAAATGATAATTGTTTCTGTGTGCTAATGTGGTGTGGCAACTCGAACTGATGTACGAACGTACAAAGTTCTACGTTGTAAGTGACTGACTTTGCATTGGCTGTTGTATTTATTTGACTAAAAACTATTCAGACATTTCAGGAATTGATATCAAATGTTCCGTTTGCATTTCATAGTAAATATGTATCATGATGAAAGTTTTTCGGAGATTTTTCAGTTTGGTTATGTCGACCGTGAGAAACTTAATATCGATGATAATGGATGATGGTTGTTTAATATCACAAGTTGACTAAAATTGGTAATGTGAACTATTAAGTACCGCTGCTGTGAACTTCAGTTAACATGTTTGTATGAGTCATGAAAGAAACACATTTGTTCCTTTGTGGGACTGCCGGTGTGCTTTATTATCTTATGTCTTTTGTGCTTTGGGATTGGAAAAATGTCTAGCAGAAGCTAGTCTGTGCCGAAAATCTTCGAAAATGTAGATATATATATAGTTATCGTTACCTGTATTATTAGAAATATCAAGTGTAATCTGACGTTCTTTCCACACAGGGCTATCCGTCCAGATGTAATTGTAACACCGGAATTGATAAATTTGAAAAGATGTTTTATTAATTATCCCTATACTATTGAAATAACATTAACAAATCAATCAATCGAACCAGCTAGTTATCAATTTGTTGAACAATTATCAACAGTAAAAGAAGTAAAAACTATAAAACTACAAACTATTACAAATCAAGAAAACGATTCTAGTGAAGAATCCAAGTTACAATATTCAATAAATAATCCAGAGGTAGAATATCTTTATTTGTTTATCATATACTATTACAATTATTGTCTGATTATGTTTTTCATGTATTCAATCTGAACTACAACATTTTTTATTATTTAATTAAACTGTTTTGAAATAGGACCAAAATATAAGAGTTCTGAATTCCAATACAAGTCATCATTAAGATATTACCATGGAATAAAGAATAAAGATGAAAAATAATCATAAAAGTAGGGAGAGTAGCTTACTTACTTACGTCTGTTACTCCTCGTGAAGGAGCATAGGCCGCTCACCAGCGTTTGGTTTGAATTATTTTTTTTCTGGTTAGAGATTTTTTAGCGAGTTAGTTTTCTACGGGAGGGGGTCGCTAACCCTTTACGCAACCCTCCTCCTTTACCCGGGCTTGGGACCGGCAGTATCTCTAGAAGAGCTACAGGCGGAGTTAGGGAGAGTAGAGTGAACGTAAATTCAAAGTAATATAATTATATTACAGTAATTGGTTCTATATAAAGTCTCCTAAAATCTTCAACAGAGGATATCTTGCAGTTTAACTAGTCAGAGAAAAATTCCTATAGCTAATTAGTCATATACAACATAGGACCTGACACACAATTCAAATTCTAAACTTCTGTAAAGGGCTCATCTAAGGAATCAGTGATTTCATATTTTAATGTTACATTATGCAGTTACTAGACATTTTATATGCAGCAATTTGGATGACCCTACCTGTCTCTCACATTGTACGAGCATTCTATTTACCTAAGTTAATTGTCGCTCTGGTTGTCAGAAGGGGCATCAGCCTCATGACTTCCGAAGGAAATCGGCTTTCATCATGAGGCGTTATAACTCTTCTAAGCGAAGACCTTGTATCTACTAGAGCAGAGTTTAAATGGTTTGAATTATTTTTTCTGGTTAGAGTCTTTTTAGCGAGTTAGTTTTCTAAGGGATGGGATCGTTAACTCCATGCTCAACCCTCCTCCTTTATCCGGGCTTGAAACAGGCAGCATCCTCAGAGGGACTCCAGGCGGAGTTAGCCATTTTACATAGCTGTTCATAATTCATTTTATTTCATTTATTCTAAAATGTGATTGATAGAATTTATTTCACAAAAAAATTTAATTAAATTTCTGATGACTGATTAATCCATCAAGATATTAAACGTGTCTGTTGTCAGAGTTGGATATAATCAACAACTCTTAATTGATCAGATCTCTTGATATAAGATTAACGTTTGAGAATTAATTGGTTAATAGAATCTCCTTATAACTTTTTTCAATAGTAGAAATCATGAGTCGATTGAAGCTAGATCACCATGGAAAACCTGGAAGCACTGGAGGGCCGTTTCGTCCCAGCATGGGACTTCTCAGCGGTGCGTATCTACGACCCCGCCCCGCGGGATTCGAACCCAGTGATTCTGGGTTTTCCATGGTGGTCTAGCTTTAATCGAATCATGATTTCAACTATTGAAGTCTCTAAGATCTCCAGAAAACCCCTTCTGTTATTACTTTTTATCTTGTTATTTGTACTATTTTTTCAATTATTACTGAATTTATCACTGTATGCTTTTGTGAGCATTAGAAATTTGTACGAAGCTACCTTGTGCTCATTTTTTAGATCCAATCAATCAGTTACAACGTAGGACTAGGCATATATATGCATCGGTCCAAGTTGCCTTTCCTCATTAACACAACAAGATGAACATCAAATTTGTAGTAGTCAGTTCAATGGTAGTAATATATAAAAGAAAGGTTGCATATAAGGATATAATAAAGGGAGAAAGAATTAGTTCATAGACAAAAAAATATAAAACAGTTTTAATCTCACGGTTTAAAGGAAGACAGAGAGTGTATACACCGATGCCATCGTCATCGATTCTGAGCCATGTCACCCAGAGTCTTCAACCGTTAGTTACAATAATCGCGTGGACCCTGACCAAGTAGTCTGCATCTAACAACATGGCTCAGAAAAGGAGTTAGTGACTTCAAGGACTGTTTCCACGTTTATAGATTTAAACTATTTCCATTCATTTAAAAAACTATGATCGATTATAACTATTTAACTGGCTTGTGTATATATACTTTAAACAGACCTACTTCTAAAACCAGGTAGGGTAAATGTGACTAGAAATACTGTAAATTCAAAACTGGATATATTAAAAACTATTTTCTTTACTACTGTAATTATTATAGCCTTCACTAGGGTCATGAAATGTGTTTGATTTACCTGGATAGATCAGCTATTTCCATCTATATTTAAAACTTATGATAATGCTAGGTAACCATTTTTTGTGAATACTTATAACCTGTAGTTCTTCAGGTAGAAGTTAATCTAAGCCTAAATGATTCAAACTGAGATTTCAAAATCCATTATAAGAAAACGCTCACAATATTGTTACGAATGTTACATAGGTTATCCATCAAGCACAGATTTATATGCTCATCTTTGAGTTTCACAATTTATTTAGAGGATAATGAGCCTAATTGTCTGGCCAAACTGAAGTAGGTTGAACGACGCTTGGTAATCAATTCAATACTTTAACTAGCAAATTATTACTTCACCCTCTTGATGCTGAAAAACTAATTATCACCTGAAATACTCATAATTTGTACAAGTTTGATGTAGAATATGCATTAGGGTTTTAGCTTACATGTATATGGATGTAATTTCTATATTATATAACATTTCCTTACAGGGATTTATTAATGGATTAAATTCTGTTAAACTGTCAATAACATTTAAAGCAAAAGTATTAGGATCAATTACAAGTGAATTATGTTTCAAAATTTGTGGCATCAATGAGAACCCATTGGTAAGTGTCTTTAAAATTAATCACTATACTACTATTATGAAAAGACCACAATGTTCCATTTGAAAACCTCTTAACTGATAATTTTATGCTATTGGTCAAGGAACAGTAAATATATATGTAAATTAGTGCTTATCCATGAGATTTGGTTTAACCCAATAAACTTCCTTCTTCACTCTTAGACTTCACACGGTAGACGGTTTAGGGCTTCGGTATAGGTAGTTTATGTATCAGTATCGAATTCAGAAACTATGTGTTGTAACACCCGCCGGTCTAAGTGACCTGAAATCGCATACACTATGTTTTGACGTTATATATATATATATATATATATATATATATATATATATATATATATATATATATATATATATATATATATATATATATATATATAATCATTCATCATACTGCTACTCCTAATCAATATAATATAACTGCGTGAATATAATAAAAAAATGGGAGAGATGTAATGTCTCAGTTATTACAAAAGTAGTTTGAAAGCGTAAGTAAGACTGTTTCATAGGAAAGGTACAATACAGTTAATGATATAAAAGGGTGTTAGAGATAAGCGTTTGTAAGTTAAAGTGTAATGATCTTGTTTTTTACTTTAAAATAAGCATTTTCTTCTTAAAATAAAATTCAAATGGAAAATCATTAAATTTTGATTAGTTGGTAGTGTAAACTATGAACATTCTACACTTTCGACAAACATCCCTAAAGGAGTTAAGAAGTTAGGCAAGCAATGTATAAATATCAATCCCTGTTGTAGACTATAGGAATTCTTCCAATTCATTATGGCATTAAATTTTTCAACATGAATGGCAGAGAGATATGGATGTAGGATCGGTTGACCCAACTACAAATCACGAAATGCCAAATAAGCACAACTATCTGTGTTGTAAATAAGATTATTATTTGGCTAATAGATTGAGTAAATTAAGTTCAATCGCCAAAAAATAATTAGGGGGATTTCGCATCTTTTTCATTTACAATTGTTATTCTGATAATAAAAACGACCCAATGTACCAGTGTAGTGAACAAGAACTCGAACGTATACGGCACAAGATTACAGAGCATCTCACTAAACTCTGAGAACCATATAGTAAATAGTTAATTTGCAAAATATCAATCCATCGTTTCAAACCTGACTGTTCCTTTTGCGAATATCAGTCTATTGTCTCAGATTTCACTGTTCATACATTTTCATACCAATTGCATTCCGTTCCCGTTCTTTCCTTATCGATCTTCTACTGAATTACATTCTATACCTGACCACCGTTATATACTAATTATGTGGATATAAGTAACCCACACTACACTAGTACTTACATAATATTAGAACTTATCAGTATGATCGTTTATCATCAGTTAACCAACTTACAACGTTTAAATATGACTTATATCACGGACTATTATTAGTGTTAGTGAATTACTAAAATTCAACCAAGCTTAAATTCTAACAAAGTCACAATAAGAACTGATAAAGAACAATATGATTTCACTAGATTTAGTGATTCCTTATCAGTTGCCTACAATATAATGAATTTATATTGTTCTGCCTCAAGTCTTGTTTTTATTTTATTCAAATTCGTTGACCACTCCTAACTATTGTATACTCATAACCATACCAGGGCTCGAATCCAGGATATATGATACCTATTTAATTAATACCCTGTAGTTTACGTTTTCAGGTTTTGTTAGTTTACGACATAATTCAACTATTATCTAGTACTATCAGTGACAATTCGCCTTCTTGATGAAATGATTGAAATCTATCAATCAGTTTGTGACAATTACTATTTCCAAGTTCAACTTACCTCTATGAACTACCTAACCAAATAGTTTATGAAATATTTTCACTGTTTTATTTGCTTTATTAAAATACAGAAAATACCTGTAAAATGTACGGGAGAAGGTCCAGTGTTACATGTTGATCAAACAAAATTAGAATGGGGAACAATCCCTGTATTACAACCAGTTGTTAAAATATTAAGAATTTCAAATGAGTCGTGTATTGATGCTAATTATAATGCTAAGCTGGTGAGTCCTTTCTTTTACATTAGTAACATTGAATATAAACATTTTCCGTTATATAACTATGTCATTTTTGAAATTGTACCTTGTTATTGGTTTCTTACGTGAAAAAGGAAGTTGATTTAAAAGAGTTACTGACAGTTGGCTAAAAAGCATTTGGCGATCACAAATTAACAGATCACACAGCTAGCATATTCTGTGTAGTCAGTAATGGTATACTGTTTTTATCAAATATAAATTTCCAGTGTTGATCTGTTTGGTGACAATACATAACGTCTTATATCCACTTTATCTAACAATACAAGTATATCTTTGATGCGATTATTTCCGTCCAAATGCAAAATACTGTTTTACGACTGGCATATGTCAATACTTGAATTGATTGTCGGAAGTGAACCAGTTAAGAGTTCGATTGCTTCACTTATCTCGGGATTCTCATCAGTCCTGATTGTCTTGTGTCTGAAAGAATATCGGCACGGATTCAGAAGGCTTGATTACTTTTTGCTAAATCGGATCACTTGTGGAGTATATCCATCTTCCAACCAAAGGGTGAGTTTATTACGCAGCAGTTTTCCCCGTCCAACATTATGGGTGTGAAATATAACCATTAAGAATATAGGATATTCGTAGGTTGCCAGTATTCGACTATAGGTATCTTCGACATATTGCTCGTGTATTTTGGGACCGATGAGTATTCAATACCTAGGTTAGGAATAGGATGCTATGTAAGGCTAAGGTACTAAATCTTCATCAACTGAGGTGGTTGGAACGTTTTACGTATGCATAATTACCACCTACATTGACGAATGATGCTGTCTGATATAGGAGTAGGTTGAGAGGAAGGCAGGGATGGATAAATCAAAATATAGCTCCAGTCTATTAACTGATTAACAAGTGGAATGAGTTATGTTAACAATACGGAGACTACCTGGTTGGAGTCCGCGTGATTATCGTAACTAATATAACCGATAGTTCAAAATATTTCCCCCTCTCGCAGGTATACTACGATAATATATTATACGATAATGTGACTAGTTGCGTTATATCAGATCCAGGATTCACAACTCATAATAGAGAACCTGATTAATACTAGATAACACTTAATTCAACATAATTACAAGCAGTCACACTCAGTGAGTCCGGAGTAGAAATCAATGAGAAGAAGGAAATTACATGTTTAGTAGTCAGTAGACTGTGTCTGTTTGTCCACTTTCAGTGAACGATCATGTTTTATTTTCACTATCATACACCAGTAACCTGGCGTTAGAGTTTGATTGACATGGCTCAAAATTATTTGCAATGGCGCAGGTAGATTCACTTTTTTATCTTCGCTTAGATCCTAAGTTTCTAGAGTCCTCGTAAAGTTTTTATTATTTCACTAATCTACGTTTTCTTGAATCGTATCTTCGATGGATCATCCTTTATCGTTTTATTCATACATTCAATAAATGTATTTGCAGTGAAATACCTTGAGGTAAAAAAAGGTCTTTCATGTGTTAGCTATGAGAAGTTCAGATTTAACCAAGTACAAAATAGGCAAAATCATATTGAGTAACCTGAAATATTAAGAATAAAGAACTGGAAAATCTTATCACTATTTTGTTTTTATTCTTTACCCATAGAATTACCATACTTTATTAGAGTAGTTAATGTTTTGGCAATGGCTTCTGAACATTTTAATGCTGGTCATTCTTTCATAATGTTTAACATATTTCATTTGATGTGGATGATTAATCTCAATCTTCATTATTAATCTTATTAGGTACGAAATGATACTGTTTATAAAGCTGAACCATATTCTGGAACTATTCCAGGTTATAGTCATATAGATTTGAATATAATCGCAAATCTAGATGATATTATATTATTTAAAGATCAGTTAATTGTACAAGTTGAAAATACTTCAAAACCATTGAAAATTGAACTGAGTGCAACTGGTCAAGGTGGTACAATTGTAACACAACCATCAGTGGGTTCAGTATTAAATTTAGGCAGTCAATTTAGTGTTAATCCAATGAGAAAATATTTTAAAGTTATAAACAAAGGAAGGAGGTCACAACAAATAATTTGGTCTATAGATGGACAATCACCACGTAAATCAATCCATATGGATGGTCAAGTTAGTTTTCGTGTGAATCAGTTTACGAGTGTATTTGTTTATCAGTTTGATAGTAATAAACATTTAGTTTAGTGTTCAAATTAGATTAATCAAATGTATAATAAATATCTAAGATTGAATGATTCGAAGTATATTGTTGAAGGGACCTACTTAGTACTCGTAATCAGTTTTTGATGGAGTTTTGTTCTCTGATGTGGATGGTTTGGTCGTGTAGCTTTCATCGTTCTTCTGAACGACATGCTGATGAACAAAACTTCATCAAAATCATCCACCTGAACTACAAATCTTCTCCACCAACTCGTAATCAGTGCCTTCTTCTAAATTTTGGACCTTGATGTTATTTCTTATCTTCTATTCTTTGATCTTGTTTATTCTTTTCGAATTATATTATTCATTTAAACAAGAAAAGATCATAGTAATTTCAGAATACGATGAATTCATAGTATTTGGTTGTTTTTTTTCAGATGGATACAACCTGTTATGTTTAATAGTTTCCATTGAGTAACATAATGTTAAAAACGAATCGTCAACCAATAACGAGTAAATTGTATATAATGTGGAAGAAATTAAGAATCAAGGTTTTTAGAGGGGGGGGGTCTTTTAACAATTGTTCAAGACGATGCTTCTAGAATATTAAGATTGGTTATCATAACAAAATTTTGGAAGCATAAGGAGAAAACTTGGATATGTGAGGTCAAATCACTAAATTACGATTGAAATTGGTTAAAGTAGAAACTAAAATGTTATCAAAGTAGTTTTAGGTTAACTACGAACTATTTTTAAATGCAAAAGTCAAGTTTTAGTTTTTAATTGCTATAGCTTTTGAGAATTCTGATCACATGGAATTAGTCTGTTTCATAATTAGTTTGAATGAATTACTGAAATAGATATTGTGACTCATGTCTGGTAGGTAGTATACCAGTGAACTTCGTAAACAACTTTGTTCTCAGGGTTTTGGAATATACTCATACTAACTTGTATGTAGCTTAAGAGGAAAAAGTGAAAGACAATCAAATCGTCGTACTCTGCAAATATTGTCATTCTTGCTTTGTTTCAATCTGTGACGGGAACCAATTGCATATATTCTTCATTGTTTAGATTTCCATTGAAGTCGAAATCAGTTTCTCTTCTTTAGTTTTTGTCCTGTCGAATTTTTCTGATTCTGTAAGAATAAAACAAAGCTGGTACCAGTTGATGTAGATCTGAGTAGTGACCACTGTAATGTATGCCATGTACTTTGTAGCTCTGGTTGAATTCTGTCGATTATTTTGTCATATGGCCACTAATATAAATGATCCAACATCGTGTACACTGCGTTGAGATATAAAATAGTGGTTGGAGTTGGTTGACAGAGAGCATTAATTCCCCTAAGATTACAGATACACGATGCTGACAAGTGACAAATAGCCAAAAACCTGGGTTTAGGATTTCCTGCCATCTACCTTCAACTACCATCTTACAGATTACAAGCATATTTAATGACAAAAGAACCTCAAAAGTTGAGTATAATTGTGATGTATATTCAAGCCTATTACGGATATAACTAAAACTTCGGATTTGTTAAACTCATTACTCTATAATTTATTTAAGTTTCGATTAACATTTCTAAAATGTTGATCTCAGATTTTATTATGATTTGATTGCTTCTGTAATATCTTGAGTCTCATACATTCTGCCCAAGTTTCCAAATCTTAATTTCTTATTTCATCTAAACGGGTACAAGGTAAGGATGGCAAATCAATTGATGAAGTTGTGAAACTTCATCAGTTGAGATGGCTGAGACACTTGTTACGTATACCCAACCACCGACTACCCCAAGGAGCGATGTCTTATGATGTAAGAATTGCTTGGGAGAAAGCTAGGGGCGGCCAGATCAAAACATGGCACAAATCCATTAGGTCACTGACAAGTGCACTGAACCATGTTAGTAGGTGTACACTACCTGGTTCCGGGCATTCGCGAGACGATAGCAACCGATGATTAGAGACATTTAATCACATGGCTCAAAATCATTTGGAATGGCGCAGGTGCACCCACTCTTTGTGTTCTCCCAAATTCTTATCTTCTGAATTCTTCATCTCCCCTTTTTTATCTTTCCAAATTTATTTCACTGGATTATACTCGTTGAATAACATCTTCAAACCCTAATCTTTCCGATTACTGCTTATACTCTTACTACCTCTACCACTATGGAATTTGAATCGACAATTGTATCTGTGTGCTAATGTGGTGTGGCAACTCGAACTGATGTGCGAACGTACGAAGTTCTATGTTGTTACTGACTGACTGATCTAAAAGTTTGAAAATAACTGAGAGTAATCGAGTTAATGTTTTATACTTTTTTAGTTACCTTATGTTCTTTTAAAATCATACCATCGACTAATCATCTGTTAGTTTAATTGCTATTAGCATTTAATATAACGATAAAACAGTTTCTTCAGTATGAAGTAATCTTCTGTGTTGAAATATTCATTTTACATTTGGGTTTATCACAAACCACGACATTAGAAGCAATAAAATGAATATACAGTTGATTTTTTGTTTGTTACTGTCTACAATTTAGATAAGACATCAAAGCTAATAAATAAGTTTCTACATTAATCAGAAAAGGACTTAAAACACAATGACATTCTTAAGCAATTATTTCATATTATTAAATAATCGATTTGAGATTAACTTTTAATAAGATTTTTACTGTGGTGTGTGCTACTTATATCGACGCGAGTTAAGATTATAATGTCTGGCAGCCCAAGACTGGGAAGATCGAGAAGGAGAGAACGGGAACAGAAAGCAATTAGTATGGAGATGTAGGAATAATAAAGTCTGAGACAACTAATGAACATTTTGCAAATGAAGTCTTAGGGTATGGTTTTTCTATTTTACCAAGTAACTCCACTTAACAGTAGTCACACTTTGAAAACAAAATCATTTGATCAGAGATTGATTATGTATTTATACTGAGTTGAGATTGTGAAGTTTTATCAAGAAGTCACAACTGGTACAATTCAATAACATACTGGGAGTAAAATAATCGGTTACCCAACATTATCAATGAATGATGTTGCATTATACAATAAAATGGTTGACTCAATAAGTTCGAGGATAACTGACTGATTACACTCTTATTGTCTGAGACTAAGAAACACACAATAAGATATGTCATTCTTTACAATTTATTAGATAATAGTCTAGTCAATAAATGAATGTTCGTTTTGGAAACTCAGGTTATTTACTACTACGAAAGTATTTTTTTATGAACATTATCATATAATACTCAAAAGTAGAAGCAAACAATAATTTATATTTAAAGAACTCGTTCAACATTAACACTTTCATCATTTCTTTTGTTATAATTTCATTATAGTTATCAGATAAATCGGAATCAAGATGGTCAATTACACCACATCGTTTTGATCTTAATCCAGGAGCATCTACAGAAATTTGTCTAGAAGTTCAATGTGATAGGTAAGTTTTTAGTGAAAACAAAAATTACGAAATAAAATTACTAATAATAAAAAAAACATAAAATAGCCAAGGTTGAACATGATAGTTTCAAATAAATTGAGCATTGGGTCGAGAGCTAATAATAAATATATTGGTAAGACTATAATTTATGGACGACATTTGAGTGATGCTAGACTAACCTTGAGAGTGTTCACTTAATAACCAAGACTAAATGAGGGTTATGAACCCGTGTGAGAAATTAAAATTGTAATTTACAGTTGATGATTAAGGTTAGGAATTAGATTTAGGGTTTTCATCACCAACTGACATAAGCTAGAATGCCAAAACTCTATTTATCGAAATGGATGGGTGAATTTCACGCCAAAATCCGAGACATGTTATCTTATAAGTGACTGGTTCGGCCAAAAATTATAGTCTCGCTAATATATTCCATTTTGTTATATCCCAATGAGTAAAGAGATTTTATTTCTGACGTTTCGTGACTTATTGTAAGTCACTACTTCAGAGTAAATAATGTCAGAAATACAATTTTTCTACTCAGTGGGATATAGCAAAAGTAATTATTAAATTCAATTGATGGTGTTTTACTTGTATCTTCTCATTGTTATTTAGGACTGCAATTGATCAGTCTCTTGTCGGCATATAAACATCCTGTGCATATTGCCTCGATATGACCTTAAGTCACAAGCTTTTTAAACAGAGATGGATAGTGGCTAGCAGTGGAATCCAGGACGCACGTTTCGTCCTATTTGGAACTCGTCAGCTGGGTGGGAAGATACAAGCAAAACAATACCAAGTGAATCTTAACTTCACCCCATTGCACAAACAGGTGGTGTTTGAAGTGGACGATAATGTGTTCGAGCCCTCGAGTGAACATCAACTCGGATGCAGGTACATCGAGTCGACAAGTTCCAAATAGGACGAGACGTGAGTCCTGGATTCCACTGATAGCCACTAACCATCTTTGCTTATTAAAGGATATGTTATTATTGTCATTATTATTATTCAAATTCAGTGTTTATATTTGAAGATTAAATTTCAAACCAAATCTAATATTGAGTCAGATATAAGCAACGTGGAATCTGAAATATTAAAGCATCAGTTCGTAACAAATTAGTCAAATGTGATAAAATTATCAATATAATTCCTAGATTACCAGAAGTGTAGCGTATGCTAACTATGTTGACAGACATAAGTAGTATGTAACACCAATCAAGAGTTGAATAGCTGACATCAGAAAGCTAAGATCGAGTTGAACAGAATAGAAGGGGAAATTGAAAGGAATTGTGAATGGGGAAAAATAATACAGTGTGAAGGATAAATGGTGGAAATTTGCAAATATAGTATTCAGTGTATGGTTCTTACATTTTACCAAGAGATTTTGTAATTTTGTATTAATATATATTGGTTTTCTGCACCTGTGTTCTTGGTCACAACAGAGGCAGTAACATTATCAGTGATATTATAAAGCATTAATAATAGATAGTAAAACCCGGGAGGTAAAAAATAATTTGTGGGATAAGAAGCATAAGATAATTTTGAATTTCATGGTTTAAGGGAAGACTGAATCCATTATCAACGATTCTGAAACATTATTGAACTACTCTAAGAAGTGGTTGCGATTGTTGAGTGGATCCCAATGACGTAGTTTATCCTCCCAACATAGCCAAGTCCGACAACAAATGATTTCGTGGAATGATGCCACCTTTCGGTTTCCCATCCTCTAACGTTGATTCAGTTAACTCGCACACCAGCAAACAACGCGTGTTGAGATAGTCAGCGGTTGTACATGCTGGGGATAATTCATATTCCAATCACTTCATTTTATGAGAAGTTACTGTCTCATGATCCGATGTACCACCTTTATCTAATACTCTGAACATAACCTTAGCGTATATGAGCGATGCTTCGATGGAATCTATTATAAACTACCAGATCAATAACTTAAAAATATTCCCTCTTTTCAAATGTCACATAACGCGGCTATAGAGCAGGATAGAAATAAATGCTGTGAAGTGCACTCTCTTTTTCGTTAGGGATAGCGCCAAGCACAGAGTAATGCCACTTTAAGATGTCAGCTATCTTAAATATCAATAAATCCCTGTTCCATTGAGTATTAATCGTTTATCTATCGGTTGCAATTTTTTGAGATTAAGTGCGTGATCACTTCTGTAGTCAACGAATTTGGTATTGAAGAAGCTACTAATAATTGACGATGTCAAGCTTAGAAGGAAATTAGTAACTCCTGGATCCCTGTGTCGTGAATGAATTATATTGTGTTCATTGACTGACGTGGATATCAAGGGTTCAATTTCATATGAACAATGGATTCTCACTTTTGATAAGTTTTAAATCCAAACGAGACAGATGTCTAGTGCTCTTCAATGTTCAATAATTATCCGGTCTGTATTGATCTACCGCAGAAACTACCTTTGAGTCAAACAGGCTTCAAAGAACTACTTTTACTGTTAATAGTATAGGGTTGTGGAGGTTGTTGAGTTTTATTGGAATCGTGAACCAATCAATGTTAGATCGTGACGGAGAACCTGGAAGCACTGGACTTTTCAGCAGTGTGCATCTACGATCTTGAAGGCAGGAATCGAACCCAGGACCTTCGGCTTCATATGCAAACGCCTAACCTCTAGACCATTGGTTCGGCATCCAACAGCATTAGTGTCTAATTTAGTGTGCTCACTAATCTCTCACTTCGACCAATCCACGAAATTGAGCGACACATTCACTACTGTCATCAGTGAGTTATTACGTCACAGCAGACCCGATATAATTCCACTGGTCACTGCTTCTCACTAGAACCCCAGGATATACATCTTGAAATCAATCACTAGTTAGCCTATGTTGATTAGTATCAGAAGTAGTTTTATGGAGATTGTAAGAGTTTCAATAGTTGAGATCATCAGTCAATTGAACCTAGACCACCATGAGATTGTGGATGCGCACTGCTGAGAAGTCCCATAATAGGACAAAATGGCCGTTCAGTGCTTCCAGATTTCTCATAGTGGTCTAGCTTCAATTGACTCATGATCTCAACCATTGAAAAGCACTTTAAACAAAAGATTGAATGAAACTATTATTCAAACATTTTTATATTGCTTTTATTTTTCTAGTATTCATTACAATTATATTTTCATTATATTTTAGTGTTAAGACGATTCATGAGAAAATTTTATGTCATTCAATTATTGGACGAAGTGCTAAATACTTAATTAAAACAATTGATGTTTCTATTGACTTTATTAAACCAGTAATTGAATTATCTACAAGTGAACTGTTTTATCGAATAGAAAAGGTATATATATTATGTAAATTAACTGGGTAATTTGTAAAGGTTATTCTGGGTTTTTTTGGAGTTAACATTATGAATCAGCTTTAGCCAGACAGTCAGTTAAAATTATACAGTACATTTAAGTTTTATGACTTACTCACGCCTGTTAACCACAACAGTGCATAGGCCACCAACCATTTCACAACTTTCATAAGCAAAACTTCTCTCTTACTTATCTACGGTTAATAATCCCAATAGAGCATAGGCCACCGACCAACCCACTCTATCCTGAGCCTTCATTTCTAGTTCTATTCAATTGTTGTTCATTCTTCTCATGTGCATCTCCATTTCTCGGTATAATGTGTTCTTTGATCTTCCTCTTTTCTTTTGGCCTTGAGGATTCCAGTTGAGTGCTTGTGTTGTGACGCAGTTGTGTGATTTCCCCTATGTATGTCCTGCCCACATCCAGCGCTTCTTTGTGAGTTCCAAAATATTACTCACTAAACTATTGTATTATATATCTGTTGATTGCATTTGTTTATAAACTAGTTTAGCATATACAGTATTTCTGTATAAATTTTGAAATTAGTCTGAACAAAAGTTCCAATGTATTTAAGCAGCGTATAATTCGATTTGAAGTAGTCCAATATTTTCTTTTCAAGTGGTTTTACATGTAAACTGTAAATAATCAATTGATTGAGGGTTGACAATCAAAAGTTTTCGAAAGAGGGAAAATGTGTTATGACAAAAAGAGACTAGCAATTTCTAAACAGTACTTTTATTGGATATAATAGTAATTTCATTAGTTGAGATCATGAGTCAGTCGAAGCTAGATCACCATGGAAAACGTGGAAGCACTGAACGGCCGCAAAGTGGGACCGTGGATGCGCACTGCTGAGGAGTCCTATAATAGGATGAAACGGCCGTCCAGTGCTTCCAGGTGTCTCATAGTGGTCTAGCTTCAATTGACTCATGATCTCAACTATTGAAAGATACTTTTAGTATTGAAAATTACTTAGGAATTACCAGGACAGGTTTAAAGTAAGAACAAATTACTTCAACATATATTATAGTGGTTTAAATTCTCTTAATGAACAATGTTTTCGGAAACTACAAAAATGAGTATCCAATAGTTTTTATTTATGACTGTTTACGTCTGGGATTATCTAATATTGTGGGGCCCAAGACGTTTCACTTTATTTAGTTATATATCAATTCACTCTCAAATGCAAAGTTCACTCACTCGGTAAAATAGAAAAACCATATAGTAAATCATTAATTTGCAAAATATCAATTCATCATATCAAACCAGACTGCTCCTGTTGCAAACATCAATCCATTGTCTCACATTTCATTGCTCATGCGTTTTCTTACAAATTGCATTGTGTTTCCGCTCTTCCTTTCTTGATCTTCCCCCATCTTCTGCTGCCAGACATTACGTTTTTAACTCGCGTCATGTACTACTTATATCAATATAAGTAGCACGCACAACAATAGCACCATCAACCTCACTCTATATGTTAACGTGTTTGAGCACTTTGCTTGAGGACAGAATAAAGGGATTTGGGCATTAGCTTACTTTCGCATTGGTCTATAAAGTTTATTCAATAAATGTTTATTGTTGGTGCTTTAGTCATTTCACAAAATACCGTATCTCCCCCCAAAACTGGCTATTTTGTTCATTTTATCATACTTTAGGCACCATCTGATGAATTGTCTATACAATTCAATCATTTCACAATGACTAATAAAGTAGATTTATTATTAACATGTTTATTGGAAGTTTGCAGTCCATTCAACTTGTTCATTGATGAAATTTACTCATCTACAATGGTAAGAAATGAATAAATTTTTATCATATTTTATTAACTTTCCTAATTATTTCTTAATTTAAAATCCTCATTTTAAATACTGAAAGTTAAATTGATCCCAGAAACACAGGTTAACAACTAGTTACCCAATTGAAGTGTCACCAATTACCAGGGAGAATAATATCATTCATCCAAATTTCCATGGTACTTAGATTCAACGCTTGATTTTCTAATCTGTTAAACGGGTTACATTTTAACGACCGATTCTCATACATTATGTAGACGTGTTTAGGGAAAATATTACCAAGATTTATGGATCCCATTTTATTGAAGCTAACACCAAGTTTATAATCGAAAATGATGGTGAAGAATATATATATATATATATATATATATCCTAATATTCGATAAAGGTTTTATCAAAGATTACCTAATGCAAATGATACGATAATGACTGTAATGAGTAAGGTAATAAAATGTTTTCCCTAGAATGGTCAGTTATTAAAACTTGGTCACATGTGGAGTCTGATTCCGTATACCCAGATCTATGAAACTTAAACTACTAAAGTGGTTGTTCGATAGTGAAACCACTAATTTGATTTGAAAAACAATTAATATATTTTATCCAATAAATAAATGAATTAAACGGTATAAAAGACTCAATAAAAATAGAGAAACATTCTCAGGAAATTCAATAATCTTGTTACTAACAATCACAGAGTATTGAAATGTATCAAGGGTTTCAATGATGACCGTTAAGACTGTATATTGCAAGATCATTTAGGTTATGGACTTTTTATATAGATAAAAACAACAATCTTATACAGTTGCTTGTGAAGGAAATTGAATTATTAAGCCTTTGATTTTGTAAAACAATGTTTTTCCAGTTTCCATTTTGTATTTATTGGACTGAATCACTTACTTATTTATGTTTGTTGCTCATCGTGGAGCATAGGCCACTGACCGGAGATCTTCAACCAACTACTGCTATTTCAAAGTGTTATTCATTCTTTAGATATCTGTCGCAATGTGTTATTTGATCTGCCTGTTTTCTTTTTTCATCGAAGATTACAAGTTAGAGTATGCCTTGGAATGAAGAGTAATGTACACTTAATATCTAGCTTCAGAAGAGTTAAAAATCTGACACGATAGTATTTGCTAATGAATATTTCTACAAAAATATTCTGTAAATATTACCCATTCATGAAGTCATTAGTATGAATTGCGAAATGGATAACTTACATGTAAAATGTGATTAGCCATTGAATCCTCACTGCAAGACCCTAACCGTTTAATATATGATTTCCTTCCTATGATTGATTTTTACCTTGGACTCAGTGAGAGTATAAGTCGTGTTTAACCAAGTATTGATTAGATTATCTCTTGTTTCTTTATATTTGTTCGTTGAGTTGTACCTCTGGTATAATATGATCTAATCTATGTATAGAGTTTTGATAGAGTATCCATTTTAGTGGTTACCTATTTTATTACAATATATCACAAGAAAATAGTTTTATTTCACCCTTATAACAGATATTAAACCATTTTTAAACATATTTTACAGACATTTCAATTAAAACCATTTGAATCAAAAGAAATAACAGTTTCATTTAATCCAAAATATAAAGATGATTTAATTAGTAGAAGAGCTGATGAATTATTATTTATTAAGTATGCTGAACATCCACAAACTGTAAGTTATTACTTATGCTACATTTTTTGGCAAATTTTTAAAGGCGGGACTCTAATTTATGGACGAGCTAATCAGAAGCGTTTTAGAGATTTCAGCGTTACGGCGTCAACTTCAGTGCTTAAGGCTAACATACATTCGGTTCACAGGAAATTTTGTACAAAATGTGATAATTGAACGGATATAACAAACAAAAACGGCGAGACTATAATTTGTGGACGAATCAATCAGGTATAAGATAATAGATCTCGGATTTTAACCCGAAAGCCTTTCATCTATTTGGCCAAACAAATTTCTAGAATTATAGCTGATGTCAGTTCGTGATGAAAACCCCATATATAATTCCCAACTAAGGTAAATTACGACAACTATTGCGAACTGGATAATAAAAGCACTAGTAACACCGTCTGCAGACAGGCACTACAATATATACGGATGAATGGAGAGCCCACAGACTCCTACATAGGCTTGATTATGTGCATCGTGTCGTTATCCACAAGTGGCATTTTGTGCACTCAACAACCGAAGTGCACATAAACAATATTGAAGCTATGTGTTACAGGTTGAAAGAGTATTTGAGACTTTATCACGGCTCCAGAGGCCGACTATTCTGTAGCCGTATGGATGATTTCCTCTACTGCATACATTAGGATTTCAAAACCTCCGAACCTCTTTCTAACCTTGACACGTTTTTTGAACCACATATAAGAAGTGTATCCACTATATTTCCTTGGTTTTGTATAACACATTTTTACTCTATACTGACTGTTTCCTGATTGGCTAATATTTCTCAAGGTCACTTAAGATTCGTTCAAAGGTCGTTCATGAATTAGAGTCTCGCCATTTTTTTAAAATTATAATATAATTCTAGTTAAAGTACTTGTTAAGACTGTTATTAGTTGTTTTATTAACCGAAAATGATCAACAATTTAAAAAAATATGGTTAATGGCGACTAATGGAGTGAAGGATTAGCGTCTCTATAGACGTAGAACTTATCAGTTGAATAAACCTGCAAACCAGTTCGGATGCTAAGATTGAAAAATCAATACTTTTTGCTTGAAACACACAAAGCGTTATCCATTGAGCTACTGAAGTTAGACAGCCGCTAATTTGTGCAAAGAGTACAAATTTATATTATTTATTTATGAATGTTTGAATTTAATTGTTTTTTGTTTCACGTTTGTCTTGGTGTGATATGACTTTATTTATCGAGAAACCAATGAAGATATTATCTTCCTATAAGTATAATGAGTTTACATTATTACTCTTTGCATTTCCTATTACTGTTTGGTATATGTGTATTTTATACTTCTTCTCTTCTGTTTGAAAATATTTCACCGTCTTGTGTTAATTATACTACCTTCAGAATAGGGTTCCGGGAATTCTTCAATTTCATTGAAATCATGAACCGATCTATGTTAAACCTCAATTAATAACTTGGAAGCACTATACGGCCGTTTAGGATTCTCCAACAAATCACATCCACGATAATGAGACTTCTAAAAACAAACTGTTCTTTCAAAACCAGAGTTTATTTATTTTGATCACAGTTACGTCTAGACTCCAATTCGATAATTTTGTAGTGTCCATGAAAACATACATGTAGGCGAAATAAGTCCTGAATCTATCTCTATGCCTTTTTTATTCGTTATGTCACACTACTCATAAATAGTCAGTAGCTTGATATCCTGTCTCAAATTATTTTTTAATCTTTCACTGTGTAATCTTCTTCATGTAAAGTTTTGTTTATTTTCTATTATATTTTTAACCTAAAAACATACCCCTTAATTCGTTTCCGGCACTTGCTAGTTGTCTTGTTTGACACAACAATTTGTTGCCTTCATATTTAAATAGGCTATGGCAAGTTAATTCTTTTTCATTTATTCAAACGAAGTAATTTGTAAAATCAAACTATGCCATATAAAATAGTGGGATAAATCAATGTCGCAATGGGTATAACTTCAAACAAATGTTTTTTGTAAGTAACACTACTGTATTCTAACAAGTATTTATCCTTAAGTATTAAGTTATCCATGAATATTCCACATGATACCACTTCGCTCATCGTGTTCGTAATATTTTTTTTTCAAAATATATAGTGTTTACGAAGTATAGTATTTTTTTTATAAAAGTTGACATCTTTTGATTCCTACGTATGCCCAACCGCCGACTGCCCCAACGTGCGATGTTTTATGGTGTAGAAGTAGGTTGGAAGAAAGTTAGGGACGTCCAGATCAAAACATGGCACAAATACATGAAGTCAATGACAAGTGGACTGAACCATGTTAGTAGGTGTAGACTACCTGGTTCCGGGCATCCGCAAGATGATAAAAATCGATGATTAGAGACCTTGAATCACATGGCTAGAAATCTTTTGTAATGGCGCAGGTGAATCCACTCTTTGTGTTTTCCTAAATCCTAATCTTCTGAATTCTTCATCTTCCCATTTTTTCTCTTTCCAAATTTATTTCACTGGATTATACTCCTTGAATATCATCTTCAAGCCCTAATCTTTCCGATTACTGCTTATACTCTTACTACCTCTACCACAATGGAACTTGAACCGACAATTGTATCTGTGTGCTGATGTGGTATGGTAAATGCATCTGATGTACGTACGTACGAAGTTCTATGTTGTTACTGACTGACTGAATTAACTATTTATACACTTTCAAGCCCTTTACTTGTCATAATTATTTGAAAAGGATGATCCACTATGGTCATCACTTTCAAGTTTTAATTATTAAAAATCAGAAAAATATTTTGTTCAGTTCTCTCTATGAAGTGTTCAACGGTTTTAATCCATTCAGATACTAGTCAATAGCAAACTAAATAAAAATATTAAAAATTGTGACCATATTTATTTTTTTTATTATAAACTATAGGATGCTGTACGATTAATTGGTGAAGTACATTTTCCAAATGTTCAATTTAGTTCTAATCTAATTGATTTTGGTTGTATATTAAATCATACAGAAATGACAGAACATTTAAGTATGAAAAATATTAGTCCTTTGCCAGTAAAATTTCGTTGGACTTTACTTATTGGTGATCGACCAAATATTATATTTAAACGTCAAGCACGATTAATAGAAGATCAAATTCCTATGAATGTTCAAAAATTATTACCTAATTCTCATATCATTAATAATAAAAACATTGAAAATATCATACAAGATAGTTGTCAAGATACTAATGACATAGAAGATGAAATAAAAATCAATGAATCATATAATGAATTCAATCAAACTATTCCAAATCATTTAACTAATGAACATATATTAGATAATAATGTAAATCATAATTTATCTACTACTGAAAATAGTATATTACGTAATTTAATTGATGAAGATGAAGATATTATACCATTAGGTATTGAAGAATTATTTGATATTGTACCATTATATGGTGAAATTAATCCAGGTGAAACAATCTATTTAAATTGTACATTTTATGGACATTCTAATATTGAAGCATCTGTATTAGCTTTATGTGAAATTGATCATGGTCCTAAATATCATATTGAATTAAAAGGTTCTGCATCAGATATTATTTATCAAATTGATCAAACTGATCATATTGATTTAGGTTATCATCGTTTAAATCAATCAATAATCTATAAATTTAATATAATGAATATAGGTAAAGTAAATTTTAATTATAAAATTTCTTTTCCTACACATGAAACATTTCATGATTCTATTGAACAAACAACATTATATAAAATAACTGAATATGGTCAATATAAAATTATACCATCTTATGGTCAAATTATTAATAATCAATCACAATCTATTCAAATTATTTATCAACCATTGAAACCGGGTTATTTTGAACAAGAATTAAATATTCAAATAGGATATTTTTTACCAAAATCTATTAAAATACATGGTCTAATTGATTTTAATTATTTAAATATAAATTTACCACGTTTATGTATGATTCAAACAAAAAATCATCATCATCATCAACAACAACAACAAATCAATAATGATCAATTAATAATCAATAAAGAAATCTCTTCATCGATTTATCAATTCACTATGTTTAAATTAATTAATCAATTATATGATGATCTAATCAATTTTATTGATTTATTGGAAAAACAACAACAACAACAAAATAGATCAATTGTTTGTTTATGTGATACAATCTTTTCAAATCGATCAGATTTCATTTTAAATTCTATTCAAAATTATAATCAATATGATCAATTATTTATGCATAATATTAATTGTCCTATTACAAAAGCAATTAAACATATATTAACAAATCAATATTATAGAATGAATAAAATACCTGAGAAGATAGTCAAATTAATACCAGATATATATTTACAATTAAATGCAGAATATGAATATATTTGTAATCTATTAAATGATAACAATAATAATCAATATCATAATGATAATCAATTAAAAGTAGTTACCGAGACAGAAGAACAAATGAAATTATGTTTTATAAAAAAGTAAGTTTGGTGAGACTCTAATTTATAGACGACCTTTGAACGAATCTTAAGTGACCTTGAGAAATATTAGCCAACCAGCGAACAGTCTGAATAGAGTAAAAATATATTATACAAAACCAAGGAAATATATTGGATACACTTCTTATACATGCGTCAAAAAACGTGTAAAGGTTAGAAAGAGGTCCAGAGGTTCTTAAATCCTAATGTATGCAGTAGAGGAAATCATTCATATGGCTACAGAATAGTTGGCCTCTGGAGCCATGATAAAGTCTCAAATACTCTTTCAACCTGTAACACATAGCTTCACCATTGTTTATATGCACTTCGGTTGTTGAGTGCACAAAATGCCACTTGTGGATAACGACACGATGCACATAATCAGGCCTATGTAGGAGTCTGTGGGCTCTCCAGTCATCCGTATATATTGTAGTACCTGTCTGCAGACGGTGTTACTGGTGCTTTTATTATCCACTTCGCAATAATTCTCGTAATTTGCCTTAGTTAGGAATTATATATGGGGTTTTCATCACGAACTGACATCAGCTATAATTCTAGAAATTTGTTTGGCCAAATGCATGAAAGGCGTTCGCGTTAAATTCCGAGAGCCATTATCTTATACCTGATTGATTCGTCCACAAATTATAGTCTCGCCGTTCTTGTTTGTTATATCCGTTCAATTATCACGTTTTGTACAAAATTTCCTGTGAACCGAATGTATGTTAGCATTAAGCACTGAAGTTGACGCTGTAACCTCACTATAAGTTTCTTATTAGATGATTTATAGAAATTGATAGGAAGTAGCTAAACATAAAGTTTAAGTCTCAAGATAGTTTTTTCTATAGGATTCCGAATCATATTATTCAGTTTCGGTATCTGATACCAAATGACCACAGATACATGTGAAGTCCTTGTTTTATTTTGTTGTCATTTAGATTGGACGATGTTTGTTGATAGGCTCTCTTTTACTTTAGTGACCCGATTCTCATTTGATAGTATGAATGATCGTTGTCGAAATATATATGTCACTTATCCTTGTATGTAATCATCGACTTAAATTGTGTTAGTAAATAACGGAATTGAATAAGTCAAGTTATGAGAATGAACTTTTAAATACATATATGTTGTATATGAAGTGAATGGAGTAGAACGAAACGGAATGATGCGCAGTGGAGATGACGGGTCAGCCATCTCTCATTTAACCAAGCGTTGATCAGTATTTATAGTTACACAAAAATAAGTTACATACATGTGATGAATAGGATAAGAAGTGCACACACACATATGCGCTCATATGAAAATAGTTAAGATTGTTAAGCGAATAATTAACACGGTCAAAATATGACTCGAATTAGAATGAATAAATTGGCCTGTCCGAAAGCCAGAATATGTTATATGAGCTTAACATAATAATCGACACTACATACGATTGAAGTATTTACACTGATTAATTGTGAAGTAATAGCCAGTATTGTCTGTCTAGTACTTTTATGTAATTCGATCAATAAAATTAGATCAGTATCAAGGACAGTACAAGCATAATATTGATTATTAGGTCAATGATTAGTTAGTGTAACGTAATTTGTACTTTTAATTAAAATGTATTATCATAGATTAATCTTTAGAGTGTAGCAGATATGATACATATTTGTTACTCTGTAGATTATCTTCATAATCTAGCAAATTATATAAATGACTTGATGTTAGATGGGATGTATTTATCAAGTGTTGTCAGTGAACTTTACTAAAATTCCTAAATAAATACAAAATCAAATTTAATTTTAACTTAACATCACCGATTAATATAATGATACCCAGTGGAATGTTATAAAACAGAATAAGAAAAAAAGCACAATACTTTTAACATTTTGTTTCTGTTCAATGCTAACCGGTGTTGGAAGAAAGTTAGGGGCGGCCAAACTAAAACGTGGCATCAGTGCTTCAAGTCACTAACTTCTAGTCTGAGCCATGTTGGTAGATGCAGACTACTTGTTTGGGGTCCGCGTGACTATCGTAACCAATGATTGGAGACTCCGGGTGATATGGCTTAGAATCGATCACAATGGCGTCGGTGTGTGTACTCTCTGTCTTCCTTCAAACTGGGAGAATAAAATCGCTTCATATCTTTTTTCTACGAACTAATTTTTTCTGCCTGTACTGTGTCCTTATATGCAATCTTTCTTTTATATATTACCACCATTGACTTAACCGCTCCTATGAATCTGGTGTCCATCTTGCTGTGCTAATGAGGCATGGCAACTTGGACCGATGCATATATGTGCCTGGTCCCACGTTGTAGCTGACTGACTTTCTGTGTAGTTTAAGTTGAGAGTATTCTGAAATCCGTTAATACATTAGTAATAAATTAATACATACATACATTTAATTTAAAAATTATGACTGTTACCAATGCTACCTTTAAAACCTATTGATGTATATGCTTTTAAACATTGTTTTCATGTTAATATAACCTGATCTTAATTAAATGTGACTACTTAATAAACCATACAAACTATACTTGGTTGACTAAGATATGTTAAAACAATTTATTATTCATTTAGTTAAAGATGCTCTCTAAAATAGATGTAGATGAAATGATTATAAATATGATGCAAAAGACTTGATTTGTTATTAGATGGTGGTTGGAGGTAGCCGACAGGAAACCCTGTCAAGTCAAGACTTGACACGCGTGCATTGATCACCCAGTGATCAATCAATTGTGAGACTTGATTTGTAAATGTTGTGATAATAACCGGAATCCTTAAAAAATTAGTCTTTCAGTAAATGAAGGTAGTAGAAAAATAAAGTATGAAATCGAGAAAAACTCACAATTCATCATTATATACAGAGTCCTGGTCAATTTTCCAATGTTTAAACATTTCCGTTTGCTGAAGATTACAATAATAGTATCGTCTGGAGTTTTCCGACTAAATGTATGCAAATATGAGCCATATTCACAATATTTACCCTTTTTTGGTCTTGACCTAACATTCTGTCACAGGAGTAATTATTGATTGTGCTGGTCATTTTGGTTAGGTTCAAATATTTTGAATGATAGGACGACAGGAGGGATTTGATATTGACAACAAACGATTGCTTCTGTTCGATACGGTCTGTCTTACTGTTCAGTGGGAATATTACTTAACCTATGACTATAAATAGTTGTAAGTTAACAAGAAAACAACATTGTAAATAACCTAAAATTATAACGCAAAATCCACTGAATCACGTATTTTGAATGGTTTAACGATGGAATAAATTACTCAGTGGGATTTATCAGACTATATACAGTGGTCTCGCCTTCGTCATAGGTGACGTAACTTGGCAAAAGCCAAACGAGCTTTTCGAATCCGTGCTGAGATTTTGTCAGACACCAACCTACTAGAGGTTATCAGACTTCCAAGATAAGTGAAGTTGTCAACGCGTTCGACTGCTTCACTCCCTATCCTTAGTTTACATGTTGACGCAGGTCAGTCCTGAAGCAACAACTTGCATTTAAGGGGAGAGAAGTGCATCCCAAACATTCTGGCATTGTTGCTTAGTGCTATCAAAAGACTCGGCATTTTATCAGCGTCTTGGTTACATAATCAGTTTAGTTCATACTTTCTTAGTTAAGTGATTTAAGCCCAGTCATTTTTCTTTCTCGGCGAGACTATAATTTATGGACGAACCAATCACGTATAAGATAACAGGTCTCGGATTTTGGCGCGAAATTCACCCATCCATTTCGATAAATAGAATTTTGGCATTCTAGCTGATATCAGTTCATGATGAAAACCCTAAATGTAATTCCTAACTTTAACCATCAACTATAAATCATAATTCTAATTCCTGACACTGGTTTATAACCCTCATCTAGTCCTAATTATTAGGTGAACACTCTCAAGGTCAGTTAATCGTCGTTCAAATGTCGTCCATAAATTATAGTCTCACCAGTGTGACTGATAAATATTAACGATCAAATATTAACACCGAATAAAAGCACTATTCCCCTGATGAAAATCCTTACATAATACTGTTGTAATATATGTGATGAAATATGATCATTCCATTACTCGTCTATTATGTTTTTTTTCCCTTTCTATCATATTCAGTTTATACCTACCATCATATTTACTTGATTTTGGCATAGTTATAATCGGTTCAATTATGAAACAAAATATATCTATTATTAATACAAGTTATGAACCGATTAGTTTTCGTTTTGATACAACATCTTTATCAAAAGCTAAACAATTTGGATTTAGTACAAATATAACAAAAATTTATCATTTACCTGGTTATCCAGATTGTGAACAATTAGATATGGAAATTACATTTGATACAAAACAAATTAATCAGTTAATAAATGAAAATTTCATTCAAACAGAATTAATTATTAAAGTAAGTTATTCTCGGTTGTTGTATTATTGTCAGTTTTAATCTGGATTTTATAGTATTTTATTAATGAATATTGAAATATAATCAATAAACTGATAGGTCTTGGATTCGAATCTCATGAGGCGGAGTCCTGGTTGCGTACTAATAAGGAGTCCCATAATAAGATGAAATGGTCGTCCAGTGCTTCCAGGTTTTCCATGATGGCCTAGATTCATTTGACTCATCAACTCAACTATTAAAATATATTTTATTTTGTTATATCCCAATGAGTAGAAAGATTGCATTTTTGACATTTCGTTAACTCATGTTATCTATTACTTCAGAGCAAATAAATAACCAAACTGAATTAACACAATTTTAAATAGTACTTTTTAAATTTTTTAAATTCGATTTGATTACTTACTTACTCTGAAGAAGTGGTTCACAATAACTCGCGAAACATCAGAAATACAATCTTTCTATTCACTGGAATATAATATAATAAGGTTGTTTTATCAGAGCGAAGATTAAATCACGAGTAACTTCTGAGACATATTAATTGACTAATATTATCTATATATTCTTATGGTATAACTATTCAATAATTAGATTATGTATATTTATATTCCTCTTATTATAAGCTTCATTTTGATCTATAATTTTTTATTATACAATTTACTGTTCGTAAGCTATGTTCAGTTTATTGACTACTGCCTCCCGCGTTCACAGTCACATTTTGGCTTTATTGTGTACAGATGTTATTTCCTATTTTATAGTGCGTTGCGGTCTGTTTGGTTGATATATAAACCCAGTATGTCTGAAATAAATGATTCAATTCGATTCGATTCGCATAGTGGAAGTTGGTATTGGTGTTCTGGACTCAGGTGGACGGGCTAGGCGGACACAGGACCAATAAGGACGCTAGGCTTCCCATACCGATCGAACGTCATTGGTTTGGCACAGTGCTAAGATTGTATAAGTCGTATTTTGATTGATGGATAAGTATTAAAGATTCCCATTGTGTTGTTCTGATGGATAAGTCACATGATAAAAAGCCGGACATAAAGTTAGAGCAAAAATATATTTGTTACTAACTCTCGATCGAATGCTCAATCTATTTGAAACTATCAAGTCAAACCTTGGCATTAGTACTTGCAAACATTTAAATATCTTTATTATTATTATTATTATTATTATTATTATTATTGAGGAATAATTAATAGTTAGATTATGTAAGATATAGATTACTGCAGTTGCTATAGAAAACTGAATTTACCATCGAAGTTAAAAGTTCAAATGTTTGTAGATCTGATTAGTAATCGATAGGGATTGAAGGATAATCAATGATTATTGAACTTATTTTATCACAAAAATACTTGTTGTTAAATCTAGACTCAATATCAAGAACAATTTTCATGGTTATGTGATCTGACCTTATTGAATTCACTAATATCAATGAATGAAAATGTCTAAAAACCAATGTGATAAAGCTTATCACTAATTAGTATCTTAATAATTCAGGTTAGACGTTTTGTGAAAATTGACATCATTTTGGCCTTCATTAAAAACCAAAGGGGTGAGACTGAACAACTGTTTAATCCTACTATGAAGGTACAACAATGAAGATGACTGAAACCAAGAACTTTGAGTAGACTAATTGATTTCCACAGTGCTGAACTGGAATTTGTATGCTAACAGCTGTAAACGCAATAAGGGTAAATCCCTTCAGTTATGAATTTCTACTAAAGCTTTAAGAACTCACCATGAAGGTCATCACTACTGGTCTCACCAAATAACTGTTCACTGATATTTCAACTACTGTCAATCCATAATGAAAACATCTATACTTTTATAACATTTTCAACAATGTATGACTAAAATTTGTGTATTTTTCACATATTACAATTTTTACTATTCTAGATACTCAACGGACCTTCAATATCAATAATACTTAGAGCTAATATTGTAAAACCAACATTAACATCACATATAAATACAGTTGATTTTGGTGAAGTTCAACGTGGTGAAGCACGTATAATTACAGTACAATTACATAATCCATCTCCTGTTTCAATAAATTGGTATCGTTTAATACCAGAATTACAAACGACTAAAAATACTACTGATTCAGTTTATCCAATTCGAGTTCATAATAAATCATACCAAAGTTTATTAAAAGAGAAACAAATAAGAATTTTTGAAGTTATACCAAGTAGAGGAATATTAGAACCGAATGAAAAAACTAATATACAGGTATCTTAATTTTTATGATATTCACTTTATTCCTTTTTTATTGAATTGATTGGATCATTTACAATGGGATATGTGCATTCGTTCTTTATTTTTCCCCCATATCCTTAGATTTTAAATTCCGTTTAACATTTTTTTTGTTTATATTTCACTAATTAATATTATCTTCTCGAATTGTACTTTCGATGCATAATCTATCCTATTACCACTGATACTGTTGCTGGTATTTGATTTGACAATTTCATCTCTCTGTGATAATAGGATATGGTAACTTGAACCGATGTACATACGTACCAGGTTTTACGTTGTGACTGACTGTCTGATTCAAGTTGATAATATAAATTTTTATATACTATTCTATGGCCTTCGATCTAATTCTTCTGTTTTACTGAACACAATCTGAAGGAAACTAATAAACTGAATAAATAAATGAATCAGGCGATTTGTTTGATTCTATTCAATTTTAGAGTCTAAAAAGTACGTTTATACGACGAGTTAAGTAAATTATTAATGTTCATATTAAGAACAGACTTTGTTACTTCTGATCCTCGGATCTTTGTTAATCTCTAAACAGTATAAATTCTCTGAAGAAATGGATCACATTGAGTCACGAAACGTCAAAAAGTCTAATTTTTTTACTCACTGGGATATCTACAAATATACGTTAATTTATTTATAACAATCTACTCAATACTCAATGTATTCTAAATTATCAAGTCGAACCTTGGTAATAATACCTACAATGTAATAACTGTTCAGAATAATATACATTGTAATATATGCATTGTGTTTCAAGCAAATGGTACTGGGTTCGAGTCTCAAAGTGAACTTCAACTCTGAGATGCAGGTACATCCAGTTGACGGGTCCCAAGTAGAACGAAACGCGCGTCCTCAATTCCACTGCTAGCCACTATCCATCTTTGCATATAATGCTTGTGAATTCACACTATTTCGAGGCAATACGCAGAGGATGCATATATGCCGACAAGAGACTGATCAACTGCAGTCCTAAACATCAATGTGAAGATTCAAACAAACAATACCAAGTGAATTTAATATACATTGTATTTACACTGTAATAATTTGTTCAATGTAACGTTAATCTTATTTTCAGAATGATGTTTATTTAGTATAAAGGTCCTTTGTCCTAAACTAATGTAAACTTTGATCAGTATGAGTTTTTGTAATAAGTCTATACAGTTTCATTTATATGACATTTGTTAGTAAGTCATCAAGTGGGTGTAAAAATAATATAAGTGAATGTATTTTGACTAGAGGTGATTTGTTTTTGGAAGATTGATAAATCTTCATATCCATTAGTCTTCCATTTTCTTACATCATGTGGTGGGAATTGTAAGAGTTACTGATTTCAGTTCGTTAGCAATAAGACAGTTAAAATATCAAAAAAGGGATAATCCAAACCATAATAAATTAATCTACGCAAAATACTTCGGATCTGTTGGCCGAACACTATCAGCATCAACCTACTGTGGGAGAGAACTGCTATAATTGTGACGGCAGATTAGAGGACAGCGAATTATCGATCGGACCAAAGACGCGCAAACACGTAAGAACGGCCTAGGGTTCTGATTGGTCCCGCTTCCCTGTCTAGCCCAGTCAGTTGAGTCCAGAACGCAAGTCTCTGCCTCGGAGATATGAATCATTATATTTCAAACATACTCTGTCTATATACCAATCAAGCAGATCACATCGTACCATAAAATAGAAAATAACATTGTACAATATTGACCAGTAGGAAAATGACACGTGAAATAAATATTGACCAATAAGAAAATAACACCATTTCAAGTCCAAGGATAGCGTTAAACTTAAGAGAATAATTTTTGGGATATTTTTCTGAATATCCCAACAAGAACAAACCATATTCCAGAAGAGGAAGAAGCACTGAAAGTGGATAGGACACACGTTGAAGAAATCACAAGGCAAGCCCTCACATGGAATCCTCAAGGCAAAAGGAAAAGAGAAAGACCGAATAACACATTATTACCGAGAAGTGAAGACAGACATGAGAATAATGGAAAACAATTGGATAGAACTAGAAATGAAGGAGCAGGACAGAGTGGGCTGGAGAATGCTGGTTGGCGACATATGTTCCATTGTGGTTAACAGGAGTAATTAAGTAATTAAATATAGTAAATTAAAATAAAAATGTTCAAGGCCTTTGAACAAGTGAGCAGCTATTTGGACTTAGCAATTAAATAGATAACATCGTGATGTTCGAAGTAAATTATACTGGGTTAAAATTCCATGATAAAATTTAACTCTAGGATAAAGGTACATTCACCTGATAAATTCAAAGTGGAAAGAAACTCACGTCTCGGCTTCTTTTGCATTAATCACACCTATTTCATTTATTTGTTTAGATAAGGTTTATACCACTTGAAGAGAAGAAGTATGAAAGCAAGATTCTATTGAGCATTGAAAATACTGATACAATTTTAAAAATACACTGTCAAGGTAAAGGTTTAGAGCCACAATTAATATTCGATCGTGTTATGTTACAATTTCAACCAATTTTACCATATTCATTAATTGGAAGTGAAGAAAGTGTTACTATAACCAATCCATGTGATTATCCAATAGAATTTTATTCGCTTGAATTGGATAAACAAGTTGTTCAAGTAAGTATATATAAATTTATGACAGATTTAAACAAATATGATGACCTTCATGTTGTCTTGTGTAGAAGAAAACTACATTTACTTTTGTCTAGTTAACATTAACAAAAATCATATTTCAGTCTTGTTTTTCTCATTGATGAGTTTTGAGAATTTGGTGTCATCTGATATTAACGTTGTCATTTTTTCAACATAACTCTTGCGATCTAGCAGCACTAAACCAGCACCTTTATTTGGACGTGTTATAATCAAGTCTTTATTATTTCTAAGTAGTTTTATCTGATTTCTATGTTCTTTTGTTAGTAGACTTTTGCCTGTTACTTTTGTGCTAATATATTGGTTGCAGCTGTCAAGAAGAGTAGATTTGAAACGTTGGAATTCTTGATCAGAGATTGGATTAAAACCATTTGTTTGCTTGATTAAGTTTTCGAATTGAATATGTGTGTTGATTTTGTAAACTTTTTCATTTATGTCGCATAATTTTATCCCTAAAGATAATGCTTCTAACTGTACATTTGTCAGGGATATTGAAGAATGATTAAACACATACCTCTCAGGATTGTTAGGAAAGTTGTGCTGTTTCAGACCTCACTAAAAGTTTAAAAACCACAGAAACACAGCACAACTTTCCTAACAATCCTGAGAGGTATGTGTTTAATCATTCTTCAATATCCCTGACAAATGTACAGTTAGAAGCATTATCTTTAGGGATAAAATTATGCGACATAAATGAAAAAGTTTACAAAATCAACACACATATTCAATTCGAAAACTTAATCAAGCAAACAAATGGTTTTAATCCAATCTCTGATCAAGAATTCCAACGTTTCAAATCTACTCTTCTTGACAGCTGCAACCAATATATTAGCACAAAAGTAACAGGCAAAAGTCTACTAACAAAAGAACATAGAAATCAGATAAAACTACTTAGAAATAATAAAGACTTGATTATAACACGTCCAAATAAAGGTGCTGGTTTAGTGCTGCTAGATCGCAAGAGTTATGTTGAAAAAATGACAACGTTAATATCAGATGACACCAAATTCTCAAAACTCATCAATGAGAAAAACAAGACTGAAATTATAGAAAAGGAACTAGTTGATGTCCTTAAGAGAATGAAAAATCATATTGTTATTAGAAAGGGTGTGAACATCAACACTAGATTGCAGATACACTTAACTGACGAGTCCCACGTAGGACCAATCGGGATTCCTGGATTCGATTGTTAGCCAGAATCTATCGGCTCAATATAAAATCTAACTAGCTAATGAATGAAATATGAGGTTTGTGTTTTGACCAGGATCCTTCTCTTTTCTAACCGGTTTAGGTGTTATAAACGTTCTACTTTTGTTTCTTGTTCATAATATGCTTGATATAGAAAATACATAATTTTGATGGAACGTACGTTATGACAGTCCACTTATATTCACATACTTCTATAACCGTATATTTTAAAAACAGTACTATTGTGACATGAGGCATCTGAAATCTGATAATGATGCACAGTGTGCTATGCGCCACCCTCCCCCCCAACTGGTTACTTGAGTAAGTACACAAAAGTGAACGAGAAAGTGTATTGCGCACAAATACTCATTCATAAATATACCGCTCTATCCTTGGGAAATTGACCAATTGACCCCAATGAAATGCACTTGACCTTTAGGTTACATCTGATCGGTTCTCTATATCAAGTACTTGAAGAGGAACTGAGATTATTATTGAATCAGCTAACTTTATTTGAAGAATCTCACTAATGTCTTCTCTAAATGTAGTCATCTTCAATTCAAAATACAATTTCCAGTAGATTTACTTACTTACGCCTGTTAATCCTCGTGGAGGAGCATGGGCCACCCAACAGTACTCTCCTGGACAATCCTTTCCAGTTTTTATTCATATTTTTCATATTTGCTTCTATTTCCTGACGTAATATATTCTTTAGTCTTCCTCTTTTCCGCTTCTGTTCAGGAGTCCAAGTTAGGGTTTGCCTCGTGATGCCAACCAGTAAATTTAAGCAAACTTTAAATCAAAATGATTGTGTTGAACAGTGCGAAATAAATAAATTCGATGCATATTATCTTTTTCTTTTTAATATTAGAATTACTTCATAATTTTTTAATGAAATTTATTTATTCAAAAGTTAATTTATATATTTTGTGACAATTACGTAAACAGTTTATACAGTTATTGATTGAGATCATGAACCGATTGCTTTTAGACCACCATTGAAAACTTGGATGGCCATTTCGTCCTATTGTGGGACTCCATAGCAAAGCGCATCCGTGACCCTGCTCGTGAGATTCGAACCCAGGGCCTTCAGTTTCACGCGCCGACGCTTAACCTCTAGACCACTGAGTCGGCATCCAACGGTGTTAATGTCTAACTTCAGTTTACATTAGTTACATAATCTCATTTGTAAATTCTTTTCCTTATTTTTTCTTCAACTAGGAGGATGAAATATTAAGATCTATAGATGGATATGATGAATATGGAAGATTATTATTACCATCACGTAAACCAGGTGATTTGTTACCTTCAGAGGTTATTGCTTACTACGAAGAACAAAATAAAATTGCCAATTCTAAATTATCTGATGAATTAGAAGAAACTATTCCTCTAGAAAATAGTGATGAGAAAAATGTCAAAGAGTTAAAAGTAAGTATATATAATGTTCTTTATATTTATTATGTTTACTAGGATAAATATTAGTTTTGAGTACTGTTAGAGGTATGAGGGCGGTTATCACTTCTCAGTTGCTCACACTGTGGAAGGGTTCTACTAGAGGTACTTGAAAGGGAAATTGCGTGAGAGTTGGTCTTGGTGACCTGACAGTGTGAATGCAGTGCCCAAGAGACAATTACTTGAAGCCGGTCACACATAACCATTTTGTGAGTAATTTTCGTGTTGGCTCCGTACTTGTTGGGATTTCATTATCGGATCGGAAATCCGTAGGGTAGGGTGAGATGTGCATTTTTAGAGTCGACCTTTTCTAACCCTTCATTGTGGGAAGCAGCGTCGCTGTTATACTGGTTTTCTAAGGGAAACACCTTACTGCCGTCACACCCCCATACAGTCAGCAGTACAACTTCACTTCGGACCTTGGGTTTGTTGCTTTTAATCTTACTGTTCTTCAACCAACCTGTCTGACAATATACGATCTTAAGGAACGATTGTCTCAATCAGTATAGGTCGATTGGTCCATCACGATAGGGAAGTCCAACCACAACGTCAAGGTAGCAGCAACGGTCAGGACAATAAGCAATTATAGTAGTTTGAAGTTTTTGTGCGTGCCAGTTTGACGAATGATAGTTGAAATCAATTAAAAAAACATTTATGATCATTTAACTCTTTTGGATAATCGTATAACGCATTTACAGCTAATTTTAGATGCCTTTATAAGTAAGAGAATTCGGGAGATGAAAGAACATCATTTTTTTCAGAGTATGCTATTAGTTGACGTGGATGGGTGTACATTGGATAAATTAGCAACATGTTTTGTTAATATATATAGTCTGAATGCAGGTGATGATTAATACATACAGATTTCCGATTAGAACGTTCTTATTTGGGGCTTGATGTACCTGATTCTTAGCAAGTTTGAATGTTGAGCTGAAACTGGGCAATGTAGCCATTATATAGAGAGACGATTAAATATAGTCATCTTGATATGTCAGGCAAAATCACTCCTCACATTTCCTTATTTAGCTCAATACAATATCATATATATATCCTTTTTTTCAGTTCATAGGAGTTTCTTCATCAAGTACATCATTGAAAGAGGTGAAAAAATCTAGTACAACCACCACTAATACAACTCCAACAAATAATACTACTTCAACTAGTACATCAGAACGTAATAAATCTGATCATCGAAATGTATTGTCTGAATTAATTCTCGATGAGATTAAACATGAAGGTAGTAAAATATCAAATTTCAATAATTTCAGTAATGGAAAACAAACATTAGATGTTACACCTGTATCACTAGCAATATCACGACATTTGGGTATGGATTTAACTCATGAGTCATATAAATCAGGTAAATTCGGTATTGTAATCCTTGTCAATGGAGCATTAGAATCTATTAGACGTGGTAAGTTATTTATATTTCAATTAAGCATTTGCCATAAGCTAGTTAAGTATTTAGTCGCTAGTAATCCTCATTTTTTAATGCTTTTAATAAATTAACTGACATAAACTAGATAAGAAAACATTTGAGACAATAAAGTACTGAATATGTTTCTTACACACAACTCCATAAGGCATTAAACCATTGACATTTAGGTTTCAGGATGACCATATTAGTTTGATATCCATAGGTTCTGCCAATGATTTCATTTAAAATTATCTATAGGTATGAGAAGTTTACAGAATATCAGTGTCCTATGACTTATGATAGAAAAATTTTAAATATTTGGCATGCTTAGTTAATATTATCCTGGGACCACCGAGTAGGTAATGCAGGTGTTAGGAAACGGGTACTAGGTAAGGATGGCAAATCAATTGGTGAAGTAGTGAAACTTCATCAGTTCAGATGGCTGGAACACGTGTTACGTATGCCCAATTACAGACTGCCCCGACGTGCGATGTTTCATGGTGTAGGAGTTGGTTGGAAGAAAGCTAGGGGCGGCCAGATCAAAACATGGTACAAATTCATGAAGTCACTGAGAAGTGGACTGAACCATGTTAGTAGGTGAGGACTACCTGATTCCGGGGATCTGCGAGATACTAGCAACCGATGATTAGAGACCTTTAATCACATGGCTCAAAGTTGTTTGCAATAGCGCAGGTGCATCCACTCTCTGTGTTCTCCCAAATTTTAATCTTCTGAATTCTCCATTTCCCTTATTTTCTTTCCAAATTTATTTCACTGGATTATACTCCTTGAATAACATCTTCAAACCCTAATCTTTCCGATTACTGCTTATACTCTTACTACCTCTACCACTATGTTTCGAATAGACAACTGCATCTCTGTGCTAATGTGGTGTGGCACCTGGAACTGATGTATGGACGTACGAAGATCTACAGTGTGACTGACTGACTGATTTTTAATCAACGATCACATCTTTATTCAATGTGGTTAAAAATGTAAATAATTACAATAGAAACTGATGTGATTAAATGGAAGTATTAATAATTCATCAAATTTGTTAAGCTAAGTTATATGGATGGTAATCAATATATAATACCTAATGTGTTTTTGGTTTTATATCAGTCTCCAAATTGTCAATTTTTGTATTCACTAAGACATGGTTTAAAGAAACTATGATGATCTTTATATTTGCTTCAAATAAACTTTTCAGATGATTTCATGAATTACATTTTTCATTAGCAAAATCAAAAATCCTAAATAGTTCAATTAAAGGCCAATTACCATTATGTGTACATAGATATAGATTCAAGTTTTACAAAGAGTAGGTTACCATATGATTTGGAAATGATTGTCAAAGTTTATCAATCTTACAATCGATAGCTTAAAGTAAAAGACGAATTTACTTTCTAGAAATGAATTACTCTGTAGATATTAGGTGTTTTACGATGTTATTATAAATGAATGAGTGATTTACAATCATTTTTCAATTACTTACCAAATAACACTAAACAGTTGCTATGGACTGAGAACTTTGGAAAAGATTGTTTGTAAGTTACTCGGTTTTAACATAGGATAAAGAATGAATCAGTTTTTTAAACTGAAGTGTGTATGCTTGTTGAAATCAGTTAACAAGAAGCTCAAACCTTATGCTAGATCGAACTTGTCAGCAAGTTTTACCTGTAATCTTGTGCGAACAAATGGGTCATCAGTTATTGAAAATCATGCTACTCATTGTCAACCAAGCACGTTATTCGTTAACTTATTTGAACACATAATCATTGGTGCAAGGGGGCACTAAAACATATGCGCCACACAATGAAAGTGAGGTCATGAAGAGATAGAGAAAGGAGGGTTAGTATAATCAAACACAAAACAATGATGAATAAAAATTAGTGCATGAAAATGAAATAATAATAATAAGAATATTAATGATATGGGGAGCAGTTCAGTCAAAAAAAATACAAGCAGAAAGAATTCTTCCAGTTAAAGAAGTTACGTTCACTTTTATGAAGAAAGTAAAAGAAAGTTACAATAGGATTGCCACTGGTTTCTATCCTGAGCCCTATCTGATAAAGTCACAATCCACTGTGTTGCACCATCTCTAAGACTTCAACCAGGGAGTTGTGAAAGACCAACGGAAGCTGGTTCTGCACAACTTTCTTGCATTCCATGGGAGCATGTCATGCATGCACCACCTCTCTGCTTTTTCTAACTGGTTCCAGTGTCGACAAATAATGCATGGCGTGGAATTCTCTTGGACGACATTCGTAGAACATGTTCAAGTCACCGAAGTCAATGTTTGAAGATAATGACACCAATTGAATTATCGTCGCTGTGCCCAAACACATGATGCCGAACCTCTGCATTACCAACACGGTGTTGCCACTGGATGTCAGCAATCCTTCGGAGACAACGATGATCGAACACAGAGAGTCGTCTAACGTCCTCAACTCGGAGAGGTCAGGTTTCACAAGCATAGAAAAAAATTGCACTCACTAATGCGTTGTAGATCTGACCTTTTACAGCCAGACTGACATCTAGAAAGCGCCAAAAATGGCTGATATCGGCACAGATCTCTCCAGCCTTCATTATACATGAATTGATCTCATCACTTATGGCACCATCAGCACTTACACTTCTGCACACATGCACGGACTTGTCAATCAATTGTATCTGCTCACGCTCAGAAGTGAGTGCAGGCACAGACTCCTGTCAGTCTTGTAAAAGTATTTTGTACTTAGAAGGTGTAAAGCACATGCCTTATCTATGGACACTAAATGCCAACTAATTAAGTGTGAATTGTATGGCTTAATTATCATCACACCTCTATTATTGTCCTATTCATATTGCAACAGTCCTCCTATTGAATTAAGATATTTACACTTGTTAATCATTTAGTAATTCATAATTTTCTACAATAAATCATGTTTTTCTTATTTTTGTATATGATTTCTGTACTTTATAGATATTGTCAAAGATTTAGCTAGTAAATATCAAGCAATTGTAATTAACCTTAATCAAATTATTATTGAAGCATTGCTTACAAGTACAACAGATGCAGCTTGTCAAGCAAGACAAATCTGTTTAAATGTTGGTCTAGAAATAATTCAAGCAAAATTGTATACAAAACAAAAAGAACTTCAAGAACATGAACTAGAACAATGTCAATTACAACAATTAGCTGATTTAGAAGTTAAATTAGATTCACCTGTAGAATTATCAGATGATGCACAAAAAGATGAAGGTAAATAATTTTGATGAATAAGAAATATGAGATTAAAATTGATAGATGTGGTTGAAATCAATCGGTGTGATTGGTTTAAGTTAGACATTTACATCAATGGTCCATAAGTTGAGCATTCGCGCGCAAGACCGAAGGTTCTGAGTTCCAGTCCTGCTTGTGGAATCGTGGATGTGCACTTCCGAGAAGCCTATACCAGGACGAAACGGCCGTTCAGTGCTTCCATGTTTGCAGTAGTGGTCTAACGTTGATCGACTCATGATCTCAATAGAAAATTAATGAGAAATGATATACTTTGGTTTTTTGTTAATCAAAATTTTCTAATGAGGTAAAAATGTAGTCTTAAGGAAACTAACCATTCGTATGCTACTTATATCTGTATGATCAGCTGTCAAAGTTAAAGATTTAATCATTGAATTTTTCATGCTGCTAGTAATTTCCTTTGGGACAGGGATATTTACATTGATTTAATCAGTGAGTAGTAACCAGTGTTATATTTTACCTAGTATTTAGTGTTGATCCAACAGTCTAGGGGACAGTTAGGAACAATCGGCATGAAGCCATGAACTTCAGCCCTATTTCTAGTTGACATATGTCACCAAGGTATTTGATAAAGTTATCTCGTTAGTTCTAAATAGCGATAATGAATGATGAAATGATCTCCCGGTTATTACCTCACCACCTACCACCAGCTTTTGGATTAATATATAAATCGAACTATACAACTATGAATATAGTATACACTTTGACAATCAAAGTAAAAGATGATCATTTAATTAGTCCTTCTGACGTATCGCTGTATGATTCGATGCTCATACAGGCTGTGCTAACACCTACATGAAGAAATTTCATATGATGATAATGTTAGGTCTATTGAGTATTAAATATTTGATGCCATAGGAAATCTTCAGAATAAAATAAAAAGTCTATTCGATAGGTTTCTTGAAAAATATACCTTACACTTGCATAAAATGCATATATATATATATATATATATATATATATATATATATATATATATATATATATATATATATATATATATATATATATTGAAGTAAAACGTTTTTGGTTTATTCTGCTCTTATACAGTTTACATCATATAATTTGTATTCCATAAACTTTAATTTAAAGTGTTATTATTTCACTTTGCAAAACGTTCTGCCAAACGTTAAACAAGGTGAAAATTATTGTGTAAGATTAATAGAGTGTGTAGCGGCTGGTGATATGTTAAGCCCACATAAGCTATTTAAGCTTCTGGATAGACCAATTTATTCATTCTACATTTTGATCTTGTCATTTATTTACTTATTAACCCTGACTTTTTATGTGAGTGTATGTGTGTTAATTATTTACCTGATTCATGATGTGTCTAACTTATTTTGGTTTGACTATAATTATCGGTTCACACTTTATTGAATCGTGTTAGTTCACATGCCATCTCTTATTCGTTTCGCTTCGCTGTCCTCCAATTCTCGTTCTTCGTTTCGTTTCTTTGGTCGTCTGTATGGATCAAAGATTGTATGAAATATACCTATTCGAAATCCATTCTCGTATTTGACTTATTGAATTCAGTTATTCGCCAACGCGATTTAAGTCAAAAATTGTATATGAGGATTGGCGGCACGTGTATTTCGATAGCAATCATCATACGATCTAATTGGAGTCAGATACAGGGTCATTAAAGTGAAACCAGTAAATAGCACTAAACAATTACTGACAAGACTATTTTTTCATTTCTAATCAGTCTTATAAGAAAGTCAATAGGGTTCCACATTAATAATAACTGATATCCTTCGAGTTCCTGGTGCAGCATAACATAACCTTTTTTTAAAAGCTCATATGAGGATAAAATGAAACGACAGAGAGTATGAATTGTATACAAATTAATATTTTGGTTTACATCAAAGATACATTGCGTTTCCACATAGTAGACGTGAGCGAAATTTTTCTTCATTACTAATGTTATAAATTGTGTGTTTGTGGCCAATTAGAGAACAGTAAATTATCGACCGGACCAATGACACATAAAATAAGTACTAGCAGTCTAGAGTCTTTTTATCGGTCCTGCTTCCCGCCTAACCCTTTCTGCTAAGTCCAGAACACCATTCTCAGTCTCTGCAATATGAATCATTTATTTCAAACATACTCGGTTCATGTAACAACCAAACAGATCACATCATATCATAAAATAGGAAACAACATTTGTACAAGATTTAACCAAAAGTGACTGTGAATGTGGGAGATAATAATTGATAAACTGGGCATAACTCGAGAATGGTAAATGGTATAATAATAGTTCATAGGTCAAAATGAAGCTTATGATAAGAGGAACACGAATATGACTAGTTTAGTTATTTAACAACTATATAGTAAAAATATACTTATAATATTAGTTCAGATATAGATTCCAACAATGACCATTCATTATTCTCATCGGGATATAACAATTAACAAAATATACATGAAGATTAAAAAGAATTCATAGGAAAAAAATCTAACACAAAAAACAAAAACTGAGTAACAACTGGTTTTACTTTTAAACAAAAATGATAAAGTATATTTGAGTCAAGTCAGTCAGTCAGTCAGCTACAACGTAGGACCAGGTACATGTATGCATTGGTTCAAGTTGTCAAGTAATTTCCTGAGATTATTTCGTTCATTTTCATATATTATCTTCAATATAATAGTTTGATATCTAACAGAGACTATCATTCAAAATTTGCTAATAACCTATTCATTTTAATCTAATCTGAATGTGACAAATTTCATCATACACAGTGAAATCATCTACATTTCTTATAAGTGTCTTCAGTAGAATAAATGAATATATGATGGAAAATCAATCCGTTATCATCATTGTAAAGTTTCTCATAAATAATACATTTTCAGAATGGGTTTTGTGGAGATTTTAGAAATTTCACTGGTTGAAATCATGAGTCAATTGAAGCTAGACCACCATGGAAAACCTGGAAGCACTGGACGGCCGTTTCGCCCTAGTATGGGACTCCTCAGCAGTGCGCATCCACGACCCCGCTTCCCGTGAGATTCGAACCCAGGACCTATCAGTCTCGGTGTACGGTGGCGCCACTTCGTGGATTGATTGAGGTTAAACATTAACACCGTTGGATGCTGGCTCAGTGGTCTAGTTGGTTAAGCGCCTGGCGCGGGACTGGCAGGTCCTGGGTTCGAATCTCGCGGGGAGGAGGATCGTGGATGAGCACTGCTGAGGAGTCCCATAGTAGGACAAAACGGCCGTCCAGTGCTTCCAGGTTTTCCATGATGGTCTAGCTTCAATTGACTTATGATGTCAACCAGTAAATTAATACATTTGTCCAAGTTGTCATACTACATTAGCATGACAAAGAGAAACTAACAAGTTTAACTCCCAAAAGTAATTGAAATAATTTTTCTAGCAGTAATTATGATAAAGATTAAGGAATAAAAATAATGGCATGAAAAAATAGACTGGAAAAGTATGTATAAAGAATTACAGAAATGCAAAATCTTGAGTAAAATTAGATAGTGAAATTCATTGTGAATGATACTAACCCATCTTGTTTAACACTGACAATCATTGATCATGATTATTTCACGGGATTCAACCAGATCGTCTACGTCTACCTACATGGCTCAGACCAACAATCAATGACTTTATGGAATGAGGCCTAATTTGCCCAGTTCATAGCTTTGTTCAGACTTACTTCTATACCAGGAAACACTGTTCATAGAGATAGTCATAATTAACATATGTTTTAAAAACTTCATTTAACCAAGGTAAACTCATTTAATCAAAAAGACAGCCCTTTGATGCGCACAAAGAAGTGGGAAAGTTCTTACGTGTACAGTGCTATTTAAATGCTAATAAAACGGAATTTGTGAATCTTTTGGTTTATGAAAATAACCAGAAGAATCTATGGAAGTGATGCATAAGCAACTGTACAAGTGATTGATTAAACAAGTTAATTACATTCTATAAAAAACAAAAACATTACAACATAATTCAGTCTGGCGTTAAAGAATCGATTCATGTGTTGTAATCATGACAAGATAGTAATTGCGATTCGTGCCTGTTAAATAATCAATCAAGCTCTGGATTGTTATTTTGTTTTTTAAACATAGAATCTTAGTCTTTCTTATTGTAAATAATAATTTCTATGCAAACTCGTCCAAAGTTATTGCGAAAGTGCTAGGGAAACAACCAAGATAGTTTATAATTATTAAAAGGTCAAGCTAAATTGATCAAAGATAACCTGAAGTTTATCTGAAACATGTATTACTTTTAATGTTCCTTAGAAAGTAATGGTTTCGTGATTTCATGTAATTCATTGATAGTAAAGTTTCATTTCATTCACTTACGGTAAAACTATGACTCGTCTATAATTTAAAAAGTTACATGTTAATTACTGCTTCATATTATTTAGTTTGACTGACCTTAATACTACTGTTTACTTTCTTCGGTAAAGAATGATCCACAACTTATATTATTATTAATATTATTGAAACTCACTGTTTGATAGGTGTAGTATCTGGCCCTATGTCGAGCCCACATAGGCTGTTCTAGTTTTCGGATAGAACAATTCTCAAAAATATATTTTAAACTTGACACTTATTCGCCGTGAGATTATAATTTATGGACGAACCAATCACGTATAAGATAACAGGTCTCGGATTTTGGCGCGAAATTCACCCATCCATTTCGATAAATAGAATTTTGGCATTCTAGCTGATATCAGTTCATGATGAAAACCCTAAATGTAATTCCTAACTTTAACCATCAACTATAAATCATAATTCTAATTCCTGACACTGGTTTATAACCCTCATTTGGTCCTAGTTATTAGGTGAACACTCTCAAGGTCAGTTAATCGTCGTTCAAATGTCGTCCGTAAATTATAGTCTCACCCTTATTTGCTTATCAATCTTGACTGTTTTTATGTAAGTGTATATGTGTGCATTCCTTGTTCTAATCATCATATGTCTGACTATAAATATCGGTTCACACATAGTTAAATCGAGTTGGCTAATTCACCTTCTCCTTTTCGTGTTATTTTGTTTTGATTCGCTTTCCGATCAACGATTGTAAGAAATATACGTACTCAAACTCTTTTTGTTGTATTTGACTTATTTAATTCCATTGTTCACCAACGTGAGTTAAGTCCATAAATATATACGAAGGTAGCTAACTCAGTCAATAAACTCATCGATGATATCATCATGTCACTACTATATGTGATTAATTCATCCACTTTTGATTTATTTCTAAATTTGCTTTTTTTTTCAAAAAAATAATTTTAACAGTTGATCTATCTACTGCATCTATTAGTGGAGAACAATCCAAAGTAACCACTGGTCAACAACATAAAACATCAGTTAATCGACAAGGTCAAGTTCCACACAAAACGATGGGATATCGTGGTGCATTAAATGTACCTCGAAAATTAAACGATACTGTAAGTTTGTAAATTTTTTATATTAGATCGATTAAAATATATAGGCCGTAAGCAATATTCAAGCATGCGTATTTCATACAAGCACAAAATAATAATAAGGGTACAATAAATTGTTATAGTGCGGATGGCTTTGTCCGCTAAATAAGTTAGCAAAAGGGCTTAACTGAGTTAAATGAGAATAAACCCATTTGCACGTGAGTCGCTATATATAACAATTATACCAGCATTCAAGGAGCGGGGTAATTAGTAAGAAAAATCAAAATATATTCAAGATGAATTGTTTCATACTAGTTGTTTCATTGTTCCTTTTTAATGGTACCCAATTGAGATCAATCCGTAACAAACATGAAAATAAAAATAGTTTATTTATGAATTCTAGAATAATTAGTTTTCATTCGATTTGATCAATTATCCTATATTTGTTATTACCTAAGAAACTTTCCCAAGTCCACAATATTTATGGATTTATAACTATTGAAACTGTCAAATATGCTATTGAATATACTTCTTGACTCAACTATTCTATTGATTTCCCAATATTCTATCGGTATCTTTAAATATATAAAAACACTTAAAACTTCACTTTTTATTGAAGTCTTATACAGGATTGTGGATTGGTTGGAGATAAGCATTAACACTGTTGGATGCCAGCTCAGTGGTCTAGAGGTTGGGCGTCGACGTGCAACACCGAAACTCTGGGTTCGAATCCCAGGGGGCGGGATCGTGGATGAGCACTTCTGAGGAGTCCCACAATAGGATGAAACGGACATCGAGTGCTTCCAAGTTTTCAATGGTGGTCTAACATCAATGAGTTCATGATATCAATCAAAAACTTAAAAACCTCCACAACCCTATACCGATAATCATTGTAAAGTTACTTATACGTCAGTCAGTAACAACGTAGAACTCCGTACGTACGTACATCAGTTGCATTTGCCATACCACATTAGCACACAGATACACTTGTTAATTCAAATCCCATAGTGGTAGAAGTAGTAAAAGTATAAGCAGTAATCTGAACGATTAGGGCTTGAAAATCTTATTGATCGAGTATAATCCAGTGAAGTAAATTTGGAAAGAAAATAAGGGACATGAAGAATTGAGAAGATTATTATTTGGGAGAACACAATGAGTGTATGCATCTGCGCCATTGCAAACGACTTTGAGCCATGTGATTAAAGGTCTCTAATCATCGGTTGCTATCATCTCGCAGATCCCCGAAACCAGATAGTCCTCACCTACCAACATGGTTCAGTTCACTTGTCGTTGACTTCATGTATTTGTGCCATGTTTTGATCTGGCCGCCCCTAGCTTTCTTCCAACCAACTCCTCCACCATGAAACATCGGACTTTGGGGCAGTTGATAATTGAGCATACGTAACACATGTCCCAGCCATCTTATCTTACTCCTATTGAAAAATTGATTGACTAACAGCTATTCAATGCTCAAGTTAATACATATCAGTTACTAACATGTTGTTAATATTTGATATATTTCATGATCATGTAAAATGATTAAATTAATTTACTAGTTTTATTATTTATATTCCTCATTAATTGTTACTCTTTTGTATTAGTCATCAACTATACCTGAATATAATACAACATGCAAATCACGACGAATTACATATTCAATGTTTGATGATATAATCAAATCATCTATTGATAAATCAACATTAAATTTATTAAATAATGAACAATTATATACAACAATTTTATCTGATGATATAATATTACATTTAATACATGAATATTTCAATCACCATAGTAACAATAATAATAATAATACCAATAAAGGTATCATTATAGATGGAATTGAATCAGATTTTACAAAAAATAGCATAGCAACAATAGAATTATTATTAAAATATTTTAAAAATAATTATAAATATATTTATACAATAAGTATTAAATTCAATTATGAACAATATAAACAATATTTCAATGAAAAACAAATAAAATTAAATGAAATCAAAAATGTATTGAATAAACAATATCATGAAAAATTAATTGATTTAACTGATTATGAATATGATGAATTAAATGAGAATGAACGTCAAATCATTGATCATTTACAATATGAATTACGTCATGAAAAACATCAAATTGAATTAGAAAAAAAACGTATACAAGAAGAACAATTACGTGAAGAACAAGAAGCTGAAATGAAACGATTAGAAATGGAACGGTAAATAGTTTCATCATTTTTTTTTCTTTTTAAAAATGTAATGTTATGATGTGTGTTTGTGTTCGTACTACTTATATATTGATATAAGTAGTATATTGATCAAGTCAAAAATATAATGTCTGGAAGCAAAAAGATTGAGATCAGAAAGTACTTGGTATGGAAATACAGGAATAATGAAGTTTGAGACAATTAATGAACATTAGAGTATGATTTTTCTATTTTACCAAGTAACTCTGTAATTTTATACTGAACATAAGTCGGTTGTTCTAGCCTGTGTTCTGTGCACTACATTTGGTGTCGGTGCCAGCCGTTGTGGGCTTGGGGCCGAGTTGCTAGTTGAGGCAGTTTGGTACAGAGAGGTGACGTCGAGTGTAGTGTTCTGGCGGGGAAGAGTTGGCTGTAGCGAGTGATGTCGAAGGAGAGGAGCCGTGGGAAATGCGGCTGCTGGGCGGACATTGAATATATATGGCTCAACAGGTTGCTGGAGCGCAGGAGTCGGGCGTCCCAGGTGCCGGGTGGATATCAGATGTTGGTGCCCCAGCATGTCGTTGGGGCTGTGGAGGTCAGCGAGCCACCGTCTCGACATTTTGACGGGGGCGTGGTAGAACCACCGCAAGAACGGATGCTTTAAAGGGGGGGAGTGTAGTATGAGCTACTTATATCCACATAATTAGTATATAACGATGTTCAGAAATAGGATGTATTTCAGTAGATAGATCTAGAAGGAAAGAATGGGAACGGAAAGCAATTTATATGAAAATGAATGGACAATGAAATCTGAGAGGATGGACTGATATTTGCAAAAGAAATAGTCAAGTTTGAGACAATTGGTTGATATTTTGCAAATTAACTATTTATTGTATGGTTCTCTTATTTCAATGGGATGTTTTGTAAGTTCTTGTTCAAATACATTCGATTGTCCCCACTCGTATTCTTGTTCACCACAATATATTTGGTTAGTAATGTGTATTTTTAAGTCTTGTGATATTGTTTGTTTTTATATGAAGTCACAAAAAACACATGTATTTTGAGAATATATAATGGTTTGTAGAGAGTTTAAGACTTCATAAAAAGAAGAATTATCTAGGATGAATGTAATCAGTTATCATTCCGTTTCAACGTTTAGATATGTTTATATAGGTCACATGTTTTTTTCCACAAGCTTCTTAAGAATCAACGTTCTATACTGTTGTTTCAGAACTAAATAATACCCAAAGCATGAACAAAAGAAGGACATTTTAAATACATTCTAACAAATATATACTTGAATGATAAATCATGTGAGATGAGCCTACGGAACTAGTTTACTTAGATGAACGATGAACCACGTTAGTAGAAAGAAGTTTTAACTATTTTCAGTTATTATATGACCCATGACATGTTTGTCGTCAATAAGATGTAAAACAAAAATACAGAATTGTTTTGGAAACTACTAGTCTACAACATTTATAAGACCTAAACGGATGTCAAATATATTTCGAAAAGGTGTATATTATGTATAGAGCTTTAATCTAAGCTACACTTGTACGTTGGGTCATAGCTATCTACGGATGGGCAGTTAAGAAAGTTATTGGTAATCGATTATAGGTGGTGTGTAGCAATGTTAATTACGGTGGAAATGATTAGTAAATCATGTGAGATACTAGACAATGTAGTTAAGTAAACGTTTCATGCTGTTAACAAGTATTTATTGTGGTGAAGTGAACTTGTGTTGTAACTAGGATGCTATATTTCTTCGAAACATGTGTCAGTAGTTTGACTGGAAGCATTCATAGATGGTGTATATAAAAAAGACATTAATACCAAATTGGAAATCAGGTGATTATTTTGAAATTCTTTCATAAATATTGTTGACTCTGACGTTAATCTTGTACCAATGAGTTAAAAGTTTGTTGAAAAAAGACATTCTATTAATATGTAGACTTAATGAATCATGATCTTAGTTACATGAGATACTCTACATGAAAAACTGGTTTATAATTTCTTCTTCGTTGAAATTTATGCACCATTTTTGTGTCTAAATATTGCCTGAATGTCTATCTTATTTGGATAATTTCCTCCTTGTATTGTTTGTAATTGGTAACATTCTATGTACCGTTGCACATTTGCATAATGTTATTTAATGTTTTGTGATTTTAGTTTAAAAGGTAAATTGTATTTATTCCATATTTTCTTATCAGAAACATGAAGAAAAGAGGTAAACGACAAGATGAAAAAATAACTAAACCAATTACATCGAATCAAGTATCAGTTAAAGATAATCGTGCATTATCTGGTCGAATGAGTTCAAAACCTGTGAAAGACGTTAATAATAATTTGGGAAAATTAGATGCAGTAGATAAATCCCCTTTAACAGTTTTAGAAGAAACGTTAGTTATAATTTTTAGTTTGATTATGTTTTACTCATTTATATATACCTAAATATGTAATGACTTATCTATTTATTTAATTTTGTGATCGAATTTATTATTCTTACTTACTTACGTCTGTTACTCCTAATGGAGCATAGGCCGCCAACCAGTATTCTCCAAACCACTCTGTCCTAGGACTTTCTTTCTAGTTCTATCCAATTTGTGTTCATTCTTCTCATACCTGTCTCTACTTATCGGTGTAATGTGTTCTTTAGCCTTCCTCTTCTCCTTTGGCCGTAAGGACTCCAAGTGAGGGCTTGTCTTGTGGCGCAGTTGTGTGATTTCCTCAATGTGTGTCCTATCCACTTTCGGATTTCTTGCTCCTCTGGAATCTGGTTTGCTCTCCCCCTCAATAGGTAGCTGCTGATATTGTCTCGCCAACGGATCTGAAGTATTTTGTGTAGACAACTGTTAATAAACACCTGTATCTCCTGGATGATGGCTTTCGTAGTTCTCCAAGTTTTCGCCCTATACAGTAGGACTGTCTTGACATTTGTATTGGATATTCTGACTTTGATGTTGGTTGACAGTTACTTTGAGTTCCAGATGTTCTTCAGTTGTAAATATGCTGCTCTTTCTTTTCGGATCTGCTCCTTCACCTCTGCGTCAGATCCACTGTGTTCATCAATAATGCTGCCCAAATATGTAAAGGTTTTTACATCTCCCAAATCTTCTCCGTCAATTGTGATTGGATTGATGTATGCTGTGTTGTATCGAAGAATCTAGCTATTCCCTTTGTGTATATTGAGACCTTCTGCTGCTGAGGCTACTGCTACACTGGTCGTCTTTTCCTGCATTTGTTTTTTGCGTGTGTGATAGAAGAGTTAGATCATCAGCGAAGTCTAGATCGTCCAACTGCATCCTAGCTGTCCACTGTATCTCGCGCTTCCCTTCAGATGTTGACGTATTCATGATCCAGCCGATCACAAGGAGAAAAAGAAAGTGATGAGAATGCGGATTTTGAGTGATTATACTTTGATGAATAAAACATATACTATAACTGTTGTCTTGTAGAATCCCTATGTCGACAAAACTTTAACTATTAGATAACAGTGTATGGATTATGTTAGAAAGATTGGTAATTTGTAATAGAGGCAACCTTCTTGCGTGTCATATTTATTTATTAAGCCGAGAATCGACCATGAACAATACTATACAATAAAACAACTAATAGGAAAGGAGGAAAGAATACTGTGAGAAATATGTTGAAATGTTTGTCAATTCTAGGTTGTTCACCTTTATGCAAAGTTTCGGTTTGCTGTGTATTTCTTGGAAAGTAGTAGAAATATCTGTTGAAGGTCAAATACAGGCAGTTATTTCACTGATCATGCTTTAAACTTATCACTAGGTAAAAGAGGGTACTTTATTAAGTGATCGTTATATAGATCCAATAAAAGAAAACTCTCCCAATAAGTTATTTACTAAATCTGGGAATAATATAAGTCTTTATATTTTTAGTTATGATGGTTGTTAAAGTAAAATTATATATATTTGAAATTTTATAATGCTTGAACATAATGTATTTCTCTAAAAAAATACCGAATTTTAGACGCCGTACATCACGATCTCATGAAAAACATCGTAGATCTGCAACTAGTTTCAAAGATGAAGCATTAGCTGAGGAAGAAGTTGGAGCGTATATGACAGAAGAAGAACACCTATTATATCAAACGTAAGTCTTTAAGAAAATTTATAATTTTAGTGAAAAAAAGTATTTCATTGACTTTGTGTTGGTTGTCTGAATCTTCCCATTAACGTTGAGGACTGCACTTGATTCCACCATCAGCCACCATTCACTTCTGCTTACAATGGTTGTAACTCAAGGTAATATCAAGGCAGTCTGCAGAGGATGCATATATGCCAAAAGAGATCAATCCTAACCCTAAATGTCAATGGGAAGATTCAAAGTGTAGAAAGCGATTGCGTTTGAAGTTAACATTACTTGGTTTGAGTCTTGGAGTCAATATCAAATCTGGGATGCAAATACAGCCAGCTGACCATACTGGAATAGGACGAAATGTAGAGTTTATCTCGTTAAGGTTTACTAACTTAGGTGTTTTATTCACTTGTACAGATCTTTCCACCATGCTAATCAAAAATTTGATAATATACGTTCGTAGCTAAATACGTTTCTCATTGATTTATATTAATGGCTCTTTTTCTTATACTATTCAGCTTGAAGTCATTTGAAGTTGACTTTCGTTCTCTGTGTGAATTACTTAGTACATGGAATCGCGTTACGTTACAACAACAAGTATCATTATTAGAATCACATGAAGAAAGTCCAACCTCGACTATTGTCAATTTACCTATTGGTAAACGTGCTAGACAAAGTGGTTTAAATTTTCCATCTAACACTGTCAGTACTAATTTAAACAAAACGAAACATTCAATTGGTAAAGTTGATCCTTCTAATATACAAGTTATAAATGAAAATGTAACTGCTTTATTACCACCAATCTATTGTGATGTGAATATAATGAATGAAAACCAACCGAATAATAATAATAATAATCTAGTTGAAATGAAAAATGAAAAAGACTCAACTGATAATGGTGTACAAATTATTGGGATACCACATCTAGTTGTTGAATTTCCATTCAAAAAAGATACAAATATTATTGAAGGTAATGTGTTTTTCATATAAAAAGAAATACAGTTTTCTTATTTTTATTGTGATGAATTTTGAGATTAAAGTACGAAAGAAAATTGGTCCCATTATTAGTATCAGATAGACTGATAGGCCCTGGGTTCGAGTCCCGTGGGGTGGGGTCGTGGATGCGTACTGTTGAGGAGTCTCACAATCGGACGAAGTAACCATCCAGTGCTTCCAGGTTTTCCATGGTGATCTAGTTTCAATCGACTCATGATCTCAACTATTGAAGTTTCATTATTAATTGAAATCATGAATAAAATCAACTGGCTGAATAACTTTGATTTTTAATCTCATTTTACGCAGATAGTTTTAATAAAATGAAGAGCCACAATCACATGACGCCAATTCATAACTAATCTAGGGTGGTTATCATTGATCTTGATAATATTCAGTAAAATGTTTACTGTAGAAACGATTCACCTTGATGAATGACTTGACTAGGTTTCAGTGACATTTTACTAGTTATATAAGTCTCTTAGGATATGAATTCAATTGACTAAAATATGATTCAATTTTGTAAGTGAACATCCTTTTGAAATGGTTCCAGTCTACTGACAGATATCATGCGAGACTATTATTTGTTAAATTTCTTAGATATTAAGATTGTCGTTTCTCATTTTTGATTAAATTTAAGTGTAATTTTAGTTTTCTAATTATTGAGAACAGTTTTAGTGAAAAGAAAGTTCATTAGTTGTATGATAAGTTTCTGCTGTCAGTTTTCATTTCACGTTAATGAAAATTAAAGATTTATGTGACTGAACATTTCACAATGAAACGATAACTATACTACTTACAGCGACATATAGCAGTAATCAATCAATGCACAACTTCAGCGATACATTTACAATGAAACCAAGAATTATGATGATTGAAATGCATTCTCATAACAAGCAAGTACCAAGCTCAATATCAGACACTTTTATATACGTACACAGATAGTCGAAAAACTGGACGTCTTTTGTATAAGGCTTGCTTGAGAAATCCGGCTTAATCACTAGACATATATCAGATATTGGTGGACTTCAACTAACATTAAATTAGACTGGAACGAATACCAAGATTTTCTACACATCGCTTTTAAGTTAAGATCTATGTTTAAAGAATTTCTTTCTAATATGATTTAAACCCCAAACTGATCAAATTTAGACAACCATTGAAGGTCAGGAATCCTAGGACAGACGTTTCATTTCAGCACGAAACTCCTCAGCAGTGTATATCAACGATCCCAGGACCTTCAGTCCTGCAGCGAACGCCCAACCCCTATACCACTGAGCCAGCATCCAACGATGTTAATATTTAACTTCAATCGATTCACAATATTCCCCGGCCATTTCCCATTATTTGGATTGGATAAACGTCTCCTTTTCAACATGATTGAACTCTACTTGTCACGTCTTCTCTCTAGAACTCCAGGAAATGTATTTCGAATTTAGTCACTAGTGAATAGATTATCGCTATTAGCATACATAGATTTATCTTCACAAACTCACCTTCACTAAATTCTTATTAACTATTAACTATTATTGCTATTATTCACATTCGATTTATTCTATGTTATTTCCAGCTATTAAACAGGAAATCAACTTAATGTTAACCGATCCAGATTTGATTCATGTTGAAAGTATAGTTGGTACAAAGATTAAAGATAATTTGTTAATGACAAACAGTTCAGGACAACAACAACAACAACAAAACACAATATCAACCGAACTTTGTCAATTATTGTCATATCATTTACCTGAACTCAATGAAATAATCAATTATCTAGGTATTGGATCCGATGGGCCACCTATACCAGAACCGAATAATTTCTCAGTTATATATTATCCAATTAATAATGATACTACTAATACATTAGGAAGTAGAAAACAAATTAGACAATCAAGAATAATAAAATTAAATGAACAAAAATCAATTCATATAAATTTGAAATATTATGAATTTTTACATTCTGGTCAAGGTGATCCAATTATGAATACTGTACCAATAGGAAGTTTATTACAACTAACTGATTCAATTGGAGATGAAGAATTAGAAGGACGAATAGAAACCAATGAATCTTCAAATAAACAAAAAGTTGTTATTTTTTTATTTTGGACTTTATGAATTAACTTGTCTTTTTTATATTACTTTCGATTCGATTCTCACGAGGCGGTTTCGTGGATGCATACTACGACCGTCCAGTGTTTCCAGGTTTTCTATGGTGGTCTAGCTTCAATTGATTTTTTTCGAATATTTTGAACTAAGTACAGTTAAATTCACTTGATGTTGTTTGCTTGTATCTTCGCATTTTTGTTTATGACTGCAATTGATCGGTCATAATTGAGACTCATTATGTAGTGTGTGCTACTTATGTCGACAGATATAAGTAGTATGTATCACCAATCGAAAATGAAATGCCTAAAGGTAGAAGGTTGGGAAAATCGAATAGAAGAAAAGGGGAACAGCGAGTGATTGATATGGAAATGAGGGAACAACAAAGTCGGAAACAACTGATGAACACTTTGAAAACGAAGTAATGAACGTAGGGTATTCATATTTTAACAAGAGATTCTGTAATTTTGCGTTAAAATATATTTAGTTGCCTTCATCTGTGTTCTTGTTCTCTTTACTTGTACTTTCAATCATCAGTTTATCAAAGCTATTAAACATAGAATAAGAGAAGCACATTGAATAACAATTTTGCAGTCTCTACTACTATCAATTACTCTATACGAACATAAAATATTAAAATGTTAGAGGATTAATAGAGTTTTAGATTTCAGAATTAGCTTGTAACAGCTTCTCTGTGATTGTACTTTCGAAAAGACAAATTAATCCAAATATTTTGAGTTATTAGGTACACATATAATTGAATTCGTGAATTATTCGCTATGTAACACTGATGTTTTATGTGCACGTATATGTGAATATACTTAATAACCATTTATGGAGATTGTAGCAATTTTAATAGTTAAATTTATGAGTCGACCATAGAAGACCTGGAAGCACTGGGTGGTCGTTTCCTCCTAGTATGGGACTCCTCAAGAGTGCGTATCCACGATGATGCATGTTGAGTCACGTTTGATAAAACTGAGTTGAATATATTTCAGCCTCTGCAATTCATAAATCGTTTTATTCGTCTCTTATCGTTTGCTTGCATTATGAAATGCCTGAAATATACGTTTCTCAAATTTTACATTATTCGGCATTTTAATATCTACGTTGTTATTATTAGGATTTTTCGATAGAATAGAAAAAAAACCAACAATCATACTAAAGAAACTAGATCAGTTGAAGAAAATAAATTATTTATGCGTTAATTTTACTTATCTTTAGAAGTTGTAAGATTTTCGTATTGTATCAAAAAACAACAATTTAGGTTGGCGATTCATCGCGTAAAACAGGTGGTCGATCTATTAAAAAAGAACGCAAATCACCAAGACAGAAGCATCAAACGTTAGATCAAGGTGAAACTACAAGTCGTAAACCAAAAGTTTCTATTGGTGGTGCAAACTTCGGTAATGGTACTGCTCGACGTACTTCTGTCATAAGCATACATTCAGAGCAAACATCTTTGAATGATGAAATTTCAAGGTAATTATTAAGTGAAATTATTAGACAGTACTATGTGATATTCTTTTTACCTACTTAGTTAGTCTATACAATTGCAATATATATATATATATATATGAATCAAATCGTAAAATATGAATTACATGAATAATAAATATTTTTCTTTTTTCTTGTTGTGTCCCAACGAGTAGAAAATTGAATTGTTGAAGTTTCGTGACTTAATGTATGCCACTTCTTCAGAGTAAATAATTAATCGAGTTTAATTAACACAAGTTTAAATAGTACAAGGAGAACAATGATGAAAATTTTTAATACAATCAAAATCATACAAGGTTTGAATATGTCAATATCAATTTTTTTATTCAAGGTGAATTTGTTTGTTATGTCATCGTATTAATTTGTGCATCAGAATGTGGGTACGAAAAATGTTTTGGTGAGACTATAATTTATCGATGACCTTTGATCGACGCTAGAGTGACCTTGAGGGTGTCGACTTAACAACTAGTGTCAAATGAGGGTTATAAACCTGTGTGAGGAATTGGAATTATAATTTACAGTTGATTTCGCGTTTTCATAACGAACTGACATAAGCTATAATGCCAAAACTACATTTACCCAAATGGATGAATGAGTTTCGTGCCAACATCCGAGACCTGTTAACCTATATCTGATTGGTTCGTCCATAATTTCTAGTCTCGCCAATCTACGCATTTGTAATATGAAGTAGTGGGGTTGAAATTGTGTGGAAAATAAATTCGGTCAAATGTGGTGATATAGATAAACAGTCCAGGTTGGATGAATATTCGGGCCATCTTTCTCATTGAGGATAGAGGGATTTAGCATTATGTGAAACACTTCGGTCGCAAAAGCCTTTCTGAATTATTTTGATATTTTTAGTATCAATTTATTGATTATTGAAAACAGAATGTACTGCTATCACTGATTTAACTTGTAAAATTCCCAATTCCACAGGATTATTACGCGGTTTTATTTTGCAACTTACTTTTTCTTTAGCACGAGTTCAGATCTCACAGAAAGACTCCAATTTAGAACGCACCACGATCTACACAAACTAATATGTAGACACAATTTTCTGTAGAAGTGAAAAGTATCTTATCTTTTATTCTAACTAGAGCGCTTCTTAGGATGTCGCTTGTCCTATAGAAGACTTTAAGTTTGTGAGTTTTCAAAATCCGTTGTAATTCTGTCATTCCTTGGCAGTAAGGTAAAACCACAGTACCAATCCAAGATCTTTCATTAGGATTGTTTTTTAAAGAACAACAGTTTTGTTTTAAATGTTTTAAGGTAATATTCTTAGGAAAATTATTAAATCGTAGAATTTTTATTATGTTTTCTTTTTCTTTTAGCTTGTGTTCTGAGGTAATGATCCTTGTTGCTCTTCTGAAATGATTCAGAGCTAGGGAAATTTTCGCACTGAATAAATGTGCAAAGTTAAAATCGATATACTTAGTCGAATGTGTCAGTTCTGGGTACTTGGCTAGATTTAGGCTTCCATTAGAATTCCTTCATACTAAACAGTTTATGAATGGTAGTTCACTATATTCATCTTCCTTTTCGAAATTGAATTTGATGTAGGTATCAATGCTAAGGTTGGATTTGACAGATTCAAATAAATTGAAGATTGGGTAGAAAGTTAATAATAAATATAGTTTCTTTTTGTTATATCCCGACGAGTAGAAAATTGTATTTCTGACATTTCATAACTTATGTGGTTTTGATTAGTTTAGAGTATGGTATGTATGTTTACTGATTTCACTCTTCTATTCACTCCCTTTATTTCAATTTTTAAGCCATTAATAAGAATTTTTAGGATGATGATACTCTTTCTATCTTTCTCATAGTTAATAAAAATTTGTAATCATAGATGCATTAGACAGCCCCTCTGGGGTTATATAACGCTACACGGACATTGTGTAAGTTTACAGTAAAACTATCTCGTTTGAGACGCATTAAAAATGCATAGTTATATTTGTTTTTAATTAAAATCTGTCATTATTATTTAAACTAGAATTCTTCATAAGCTTTGTACCTCTTCGTTATAAGAGAAATTTAGTCAAATGTCTGGCAAACAGAGCTATTAAGATATACTCAGTCGATACAATGAATAGGAAATTAGAGCTCATACATAATATGTTGATTGGAATGGGTTATCCACAGGGTTTCCTGAAGAAACAATGGCATATAACAAATAAGAAAATAGCGACATCAGCGGCTAATAAGAAAACTCGCTTCTTGAAGTTGCAATTTAATGGAGATGTAGCTGGTGATGTACTTTGTAATAGACTGACTAGAGCAGTGAACAGAACGTTTAATACAGCCAACCTCTGTTTATCATATTCGACCCGATCTTTGGTGATTCCCCAACTAAAGGATAAGTTACCTGGTTATGCCACTTCTATGTGTATCTACGAATTTAGCTGCTTCTGTGGAGGAAGCTTCATTGGACGCACTACCAGACAACTGAACCAAAGAGTTAGTGAACACCTCCGTTTGTGGTTAGGAAAAGGTACTATCAAGACGATACACAGCTCGGTTCTATCACACTTGATCGATAGCGGTCATGTAGTAGACACAAGTTATTTATCGTATTCCTACTAGTTTTCCTTATGGTGTTCGATCTCGTCTCTTACACATAGCAAAAGCTATTGGAATTCGAGTCAACAATCCAAGTCTTTGTGTTCATAAGAAATTTGTAACACCCTTATCTCTCCCTTGGCACTAATAAATAATTTTATTGACTATTATTTTCCATACTCTCTCTTCGTTTATTTTTCTTCACAACCTCCCACTCTTTTCTTTTCTCAAACATACGCTTCAAGGTGCAGTTATCTGAACACCACTTATAACGTAGTCATATAATCTTCCTATGAGTGTTATTTCAGTGTCTATATTTTTCTAATCATTGACCTATTTCCCATTATGTAACAATGATTTAATATTCTTATCAAAACTAGTACACCTGTCATCACACTATCAATTTGTACTTACTTATTATGTTTAGTTATGTAATCTATTCTACTCATAAAATGCCTTGATTGGTTTAATAATTTCATATAGGCATATAAATATTGCTGTATATTAAAGTAAAACCTGATCAGGATCTAATTGGAGACAATCTTGTTCACTTATATATGTTGTTCTAAATTACAACATGGGAATTTTTAGAATCTTCTAATTGACTGTATGCACGAAATAGAATGAATTTAATTACTCTTCAATCAATGATAGATGTCTAGGATAAAGATTTGAATGAGTTTCTCTACAATTTAATGAATGTTTATTAATATAACTATGTATTAGTTTATTCACACTGTAACTGATGTAAATAATTTATAAATTGTTTAGAATAGATTAAAGTTGACTTTAAGAATCCTGATTGAAACATTCTTCCTAGATTCCACAAACAACTCATGATATAATGGATACATCGAGGTCATCCGCACAGGTTCCTCAAATGTATATTATTTATACGAAAATGTTAAACCAATCAAGGCAATATGGATCAGTAATCACAATGAAATGGAATAAGTCACCACACATAATAAGTAAAAATACATGTTGATAGTAGGAAGACAGGTGTACTGATAGTAGTAAGGATAATAAAATACGATAACAAAAGTCTTATCAGTAGTTAAACGTTGGAAATAGAAGGTCAAAAGTGGGTAAATAGACTTGGAATAGTCAACACAAAACATTAAAATCATTACGTAATGAGAAGTGTGTAAATAATTAGATAGTGAAGAATACAAACGGTAAGAGGCGGAAAATTACAAACAACTACGGGATGTGAAAATAAGGCTAATGATAACAAAAATAGAATAAAATAAATAATAAAAAAATTTTAAAAAAATGGTTAGTTAAGTTATGACTGGCCATGGAAGGTATAGGGGGGTTACGAATTTTTCTGTACACATAAATTGAGGTTATATATACGAATTCCTATGGCTTCAGCTATATGTAGGAGGCGGGAACGAACTCCGTTGGGAAATGATGGAGGTACACGATAGATCACTGGAAATGATTTCGATTTATCTACAGAATGACCGCTATCAATAAGATGTGCCAATACAGAACTGCGTATTATTTTTATCTAGCCCTGGCAGTACGTCCGATATAGCCATCTCCACAGGAGCAGCTGAATTTGTAAATGCACATTGAGGAGGCCAACTCAGGTAACTTATCCTTCATTTGCGTAGACATCCCCAATGAATTGTAGTTTCATGTATAAAGGTTTCTTACGAACAGTCGAAATCTCCGACTTCTTTATTATGTCATACATGTACTTCTTAATGAAAGCACTGGGGTAGCCGATCTCGGTCAGTGAGTTGTTGATGAATTCAAACTCCTGACTTAGAGTGTCTATTGTGCAGATCTTTTTAGCTCTGCTAGTGGACATCTAACCAAATTTCTTTTGTACCAGATAGGTGTGAAACTGCAGAAGTGAGTATATTGGCAGGCAGAGGGGTTTCTTCTATACACGCTTCTACTTAATGCGCCATCACTTCGTCTGCTTAGTGTGATTATCTAATTGAAAACAATTGTTTGCTTATATGTGTTGTTCTAATTTTCACAATGGGAATCTTTAATATTCTAAAATATATATTAATTAAGACTGATCATTATTCAGTATTAATTATTAAATGTGGAATGATTTAATCTCATAACGATGATGACATAATTTTAAACATTAAATGATTAATGACCATGAAATTGGTCATGTTTTACTCAAATGAATACCTTATTAATATCTATTATATTTTCATCTTTTATTTAGCATTGAATCTAATCAATTATTGATTGGACAACCGTAAGTATTTTGTAGCTAATTTTATTTATTTCGAATGGTTGAGATTATGAGTCAATTGATGATAGACCACCATAGAAAACCTGGGAGCACTGAATGGGTCAGTGGTCTAGTGGTTAATCGCTCGCGCGCGAGACTGATAGGTCCTGGGTTCGAATCTCGCGAGGCGCAATCATGTATGCGCATTGCTGAGGAGTCCCACATTAGGTCGAAATGGCCGTCCAATGCTTCCAGGTTTTCCATAGTGGTCTAGCTCCAATTGACTCATGATCTCAACTATTAAAATTACTGTAATATCCACAAAAAACCCCTTTTCATATAAATTTATTTATCATAGTCGTATAACTTTAATGATAAGTGTGGTTATTAACTGTGACTATCTATTTCATCACTTATCCAGAACAATATGATGTAAAAATATTGACACTTCAAGTAAAGAAAATGTTTATCAAAAATGTGATTTCTAAATGAGATAATGGGTGATATATCAACTTGGAAATTCTGTTGATAGGACGTTTCATGCTGTTCCATTTTACATTACATTCTCAACAAAACCACTAGTTATACATTAAAATAAGGATAAGATACTGATAATGGATATACTATTTAGATTAAAAATATCTTCTGGTTTAGTGAACTATAAATGGGACTTGTATTCTTCGAATTCTTATCAAGTAACTTAATTGAGAAACATGTAAGAAAACTCAAGAACAAAATAAAACTTTGTATGATATTATGATTGAGGTCTGAATCTCATTACTAGAAAAATGAGAGAAGGCGACTGAATGAATATGAAAAACACCAAAATGTTGTCAACGACGATCGGACGACATATATAATACCCTGTTCTAAGTTTTAAATTCAAAGAGCTTGGCACTGAACTCATTTATGATCTTCGTCGATATCAAGAATAAAATTTCCATATCTGCTACATCTTAAACAATTTGTGACGAACATTTCATACTTTTCAATATTATTCAGCCCTAACATTCTTGAAAAATTACCCTGTAACCTGATAACATATGTTTCTAGTTACTCTGATAAAATATTGTTATTTCTAAGATTGATTAAATTGAATTTCTTCCATATTCTTATACATTTTAACTCAGTTCACAAGGTGGTTTAGTTTTTTTTGTTAATCATTCATTTGAGGCCTATTAAAACGTAATCTATCGTATTTTGTTTACATATACATATGTACTTCACTGTATATTCGTTTATGAGATATATGTTCTTTTTTCCTTTCTGTTTATATAGTCTTAATCATTTTCGTTGGATTGTACCTGCTAAAGGACAGGTTCGTTTGAGAATTCGTTTTCGTTGTGATCAAGTTGGTCAGTTTGATCAGATATTCAATTTTGAATTATTGAATAGTAGGAGAATTTATCAATTATACTGTCGTGGAATATGTGCTTTACCAACAATTAGCCGTGAACCAAGGTATGTTTGTGTATTAATTTTTGTGCTCCAAGCCAAGAATTTAAACAAATCAATAATATTTCATATCACACGTACATTTAATGTGTTAACAATAAATTGATTACATAATCTTACTTCATCGCTCATTTTATAAATTAGACCACCGTTGAAAACCAGGAAGTACTGGACGACCGTTTCGTTCTAGTATATGCCGTTCAATGTTTTCAGGTTTTCTATGGTGATCTAGATTGGACTGACTCATGAACTCAACTATTGAAATCACTAAAATCTCCACAAACTTCATACTAATAATAACAAAAAATTTTGGTTTGAACTGAGTTTCCTTTTAATAATCCAAGATAACACCCGAAATTATTGAAATTTATTATTATATTGTTATGGAAGATGTCTCATATAGAAAACTACCAGTGTTATAGTTCTGTTTTAATGATTTGAGTATGATAACTTTGTACTGGAAAATAATTGCTTATCGTATTTTTAGACTATATGTAGACTGTTTCTACCTAGTTGAATATAAGTTCAGTTACTAAAGAGCTAAGTATACTTCTCCGATCCACTGAAAATGAGAAAGCGTTCGGACAACATGTTTTTATCCTTGCTGATAAAAACACATGTTGAGATGAGACAAAATATTGCAAATTAACTAAAGCGAATCCTTTAAAAGTAAACATTTCTCAAGGTTCCTTGAAGGTGAACAATAAAGAATAAAATGCTAAACAGAATCAAACTTTTTAGTTTCATCACAGTGATGTTAGAATTCAATGATCACGTTTTTCAATGTTATTTATTTATTTAGGAGGGAACAAGTTTCATTCAGTAACATACGACTTACTTGACAGTTCACAATGTCTCACTAGAAATAATTTCTAGTCAACTCAGGCCACTTACATAATTAATTGATTGGGTATTTGTAAGACGTAGTAGAATACGATGTCAGTTAAGACATCACATGAGTAAGAACTAAAAAATTAATCCCAAAATCTTTTACGATAGAAAACGTATATCCTAATGGATGAAGAAACATATATACAATTTAATACTATACTATACTTTAAATATCTAGGCAATGACTTTGAGCATTTCAACCAGTTAGTAAATCGAAAAATTCTATGTATAAGTAAGATATTCATAAAACTAAAAAGGTACAGCACAGTCATAGATAATGCAGACTACTTGGTTGGGGATCCGCGTGATTATCGTAACCAATGGTTGGAGACTCTGGGTGACATGGCTCAGAATCGATCACAATAGTGTAGGTATATACACTCTTTTGTCTTCCTTTAAACTATGAGATTACAATTGCTTTATATATATTTTTCTTTCTATGAACTAATTCTTTCTTCGTGTACTATGTCCTCATATGCAATCTTTCTTTCATATATTACCACCAAGCCAACTTGGATCGATGCATATATGTACCAGGTCTCACGTTGTAGCTGACTGACTGACTGACTAAGATAACGCTCCATCATAAATGGTTACGATCTAACTAAGTGACCGATTTCCATTAATTGTGAAACATTTTGAACTAATTCACCTTTGATCAATAAATGATCTAACTTTAAACATTTAATCCTGTAACATTACAAATAGCCTATTCATATCATCAATCTAATGTGAACATGTTTAATAATAAGTCATACCTAAATAATACAATACAAGAAGATATTTCACATATACAATCATATCATATTATGCTATTCATTTATTGATATTAAATCTTATTATAATCGATCTGATACTTTATCTGAGATCATTATAAGTAAAGCGAAGAATTCGTTTTGAATCTGTTGCGGTGATCCAGAAAATTGCTTGCAAAAAACAAGCAAGCATCAGGAATCACTAAGAGGCGTTTCGTCCAGTCAGCGTTCACTTGAAGTTTTAGCCAAAAATATCAAGGAAGCAAAACGTCACATGTAGAGGTTCTGATTGGCTGGCTGCTACACTGCTACTATGTTTAGTAGCATTCCAGAATCTTCGAGCAACCCAAGGAGATCTAAAAATATTATAAAAACCCTATATTTTCTGTGTTAAAATAAACCTTGGATTAAATTACTTCTCGCATACTTTGAGTCTTCTCTCTCGTGTTCAGGTTGCTGTATAGTTCTAGCTTGGGGGGGTTACAGAGTAGCTTAGGAGACGAATATAGCGTTCAATCCGCAAGACTTATCAGAATCATACAGATTACATTCACAATAACAGTGTTTATTTGATTACATAATTTTGAATGAGTTCATTTATCAATTTTCTATCTACATATAATAAACTTTTTTCTTCTAACTTTCTCTCATAAAGATTAATCTATGCAAAACGTAAACGTACTTGTAACCAAGGTGAAATTATTCATGGTACCTATTTAATGTCTACATCATGTTTTGAATTTGGACCATTGTTAATTGAAAAATCTAAAGAACGGTAATTGTAAAAAAACAAATTGTTCTTGTATTTTCAAAAGTTTCTAATGTACTACTATAGTTAATTTAGGAATATCTATGAAGTAATAACAAGTATTTACTCAATGCAAGATTTTATTTCACCAATCCGTTATCATCATATATATATACGTGCCATACTTCACGGGATTAGGTAGACTGGTATATATATATATTGAGTCGGTCACTCCTTGTAACTTCTCTTTCATACGGAAACATATAGGTGGGTGAGTATATTAAGTAATATAAACGTTTGTTGCTTGACAAATCTTTAAAATCAACCTGTTCATTAAAACATCAACAATATCTTTCTTGAACTGAAGATTCACAAAAAGAATTTTCTTCGGACCAGTGTACTTATCCTTGAAATTAGTTTCGCATTCATCTTTTTTTCAGTAATCCGTACACAATATCCGTTTTCCATGGAAGTGGATTTCGAAACCAACAGTTTGTGCTATGGGGGGGAGAACATATGATTCTGTGACCTGACATTAATTTTATATATAGCTCTGGAAATAAACTCGTCTAAATAGAATCCTTTACTGAATAAGTTATTACAATGTACAACTGTTGTTATTGCACAATGTATATACATACACTGTAAAATATAAATATATATTATCCATATAAAACGAATATGGTTAGTGTTATGATTTGCTCAGAAATGCCTTGTACAAATAAAATGGGATTTTTGTGAAACAAATGACGATATATATTATTCAGTGGTTAATAATCCAAACAATATTAACAATAATAATAATAATGACAATTACATAATATGGCATATAGTCAGAAGTCTAAATCTTTTTCCTTAAAGCAATTCAACATTTATGTATCTAGCTAGTATATGATTGTAAATAATCTATGATATTCGTAGGTTACTAGTATTCGATCATAGATGTCTTCGAAACATTGCTCGTATATCCTGGGACCATCGAGTAAGTAACGCAGTTGTTAGGAAACGGGTACTAGGTAAGGATGGCAAATCAATTGATAAAGTAGTGAAACTTCATCAGTTCAGATGGCTGGGACACGTGTTACGTATGCCCAATTACCGACTGTCCCAAAGTGCGATGTTTTATGGTGTAGGAGTTGGTTGGAAGAAAGCTAGGGACGTCCAGATCAAAACATGGCACAAATTCATGAAGTCACTGACAGGTGAACTGAACCATGTTAGTAGGTGAGGACTATCTGGTTCCGGGCATCCGCGAGATGATAGCAACCGATGATTAGAGACCTTGAATCAAATGGCTCGAAATCATTTGCAATGGCGCAGGTGCATCCACTCTCTGTGTTCTCCCAAATTTTAATCTTCTGAATTTTCCATGTCCCTACCTTTTTTCTCTTTCCAAATTTATTCACTGGATTATACTCGTTGGATAACATCTTCAAAACCTAATCTTTCCGATTACTGTTTATAATTTTACTACCTCTACCACTATGGGATTTGAATTGACAATTGTATTTGCGTGCTAATGTGGTATGGCAAATGGAACTGATGTGCGTACTTACGGAGTTCTACGTTGTTACTGACTGACTGACTGAACCTATGATAAATAATCCATGATGGCTCACACTACCTATTTATTTTACTTATAACTACTTTCATGACTTCATGTTCTCAGACGTGGTTTATATAAGAAACACCGAATTAGTTATATGATTCACGTATATTGTTAATTCAATATTTTAGTTCGATTTTTTCTAATTGTAACGATATTAATTACTTTATTCATCGTGTAATTTGTCTTCAGTATACATATCTTTGATTTTTCGGAATAGGGGACGGGATGAATGCTCAACACCGAATTTTCTATCTCTTGTAATCTCCAATATCCACTCTTAACACAGCCTTGTGTAGTTTTCGAATATATTGAAGTAATTTTATTGCTACTTACATAATTAAAGGATACAATTTACTTTGATTGTACTTATGACGGAGCAGTTGACTTTTGTGTACCGAACAACTTGAAGAGAGTAAACTTTCAATATTTCTTTAGTTTTCCTTAACAATACAGTATTTTTTGAAAGAATATTGTTCTTTTCAGATTCTAGTATTCACCCGTATATTCACTGCTAGATTATACTATTTAATGATTTCTATAAGTAATTTCTAATGAACTTTTTAAACTTTATAAAGAAGTTTTACATGTAACCATAGAAAAGTATAATACATGAATTGATTTTCCTTTATTCTTTTTATTTTGACTAGAATTCAAGAAAATTATTATCCTGAAAATATTACCTACTTTAATTTAGTGAATACATCACAAATGGATTCAGATATTAAATTATACTTTTTAAATGATCCAGATGAAGAATGTTATAGTGTAGAACCGAAAGAATTAAATCTTAAACCAAATCAATCTAATAGTGTACGTATTTGTGCATTTCCAAAATTGAATAAACATTATAATGATGCACTTGTTTGTTTAATTAAAGATAATCCAGAACCAATTCTATTTAAATTAGCTTGTGATGGTGTTTTACCAGAATTGGAATTGGATAAAAAAGTATTTAATTTTGAAAAAGTATTATTACAAAGGTAATTTTAAATGTTTATGAATGTCAATTTGTTTTTATTAATTATACACCGCTTTCTTTCTTCGTGTACTATTGTGGTGAGTGCTACTTATATTGATATAAGTAGTATATGACGCAAGTTAAAAACGTAATGTCTGGCAGCAGAAGATGGGAGAAGATCAAGAAAGGAAGAGCGGGAATACAATGCAACTTGTAAGGAAACGCATGAACAATGAAATGTGAGACAATGGATTTATGTTTGTAACAGAAACAGTCCAGGTTGATATGATGAATTAATATTTTGCAAATTAACGATTTGCTATATGGTTTTTCTATTTTACCGACCAACTAATGACATTTCGTAATTAGTAATCTTATCGTTTTGATTGAATGTATTACAAAAGCTAATGATAAAACGCCAACAGCAGTGGTGAAGAAGATTTGTAGCTCAGGTGGATGATTTTGGTGGAGTTTTGTTCTCTGAGCTGGATGATTTGGTCGTGTAGCTTTCATTGTTCTTCTAAACGACATCGTCAGCACAAACTTCAGGTAGAAGTGAAGTGTTTGAATTTTTCTCCACATATGACTCATAGCTTGTCCTGTACACCTCGATGTTGATTGATACTTGTTAACCTCAAACCTATCATTGTTTACTTTTTTGTTTCGGTGGTATCTCACATTAGTTTGATTTTTATTCCTATGTTTGTGCATAATTTGGTTGTTAAATTTAATCGAATTCAATGTGCTTGTTGACCTGAGTGCCAAGCTTCTTAAAGTTCTCTGGTGTTTTTGGAATTGCCCCGTAGAAAAGAATCTCTAGAAATTCCTATCTAAGAAAATCTTGACATAATGACACTAGTCGCTACTCAGTGACCAATCTATTTTCAACAAAACTCGAAACTACATAAAGTCATTTGCTGCCTATATAGCTTGTTGGTAACTTCTTTGACTATGAAGCTGGATAACACCGGATGGAATCCACCAGAGAGCTTCGATTTCCTCAGGATTACGGGTGCACCTTGCTGACGAGCACCTAGTAGGACGAAACATACGTTCAAGGTTTTTTGATGACCACATCAAACCATCTCAAAATTATTCAAGCAGTGTCAAGTCACCTGAACTAGTGATCGATTTGAAGCTTGATTGACAGAAATCTCTTGGCATTGAGAAGGACTAAACATGCACAAGACCTGTTACTGCTCAGATTAATCTAAAACCAATACGTTACGAAATGTCTATATATGTATATGCTACTTATGCCGACATAAGTACCATATAACGCCAGTCAGAAACAGAATATATTTTAGTAGATCGAGAAGGAAAGAACCGGAACGGAAAACAACTTGTATGGAAATGCAGGAACAATATCGTCTGAGACGATTGATTGATATTTGCAAAAGAAACAGTCAAGTTTGAGACGATTGGTTGACATTTTGCAAACTAAGTATATACTGAATAGTTCTCAGATTTTTCTAAGATGTTCTGTAATTTTGTGTCCAAATACGTTCAACTGTACCCACTTAGTTCTCGTTCACTAAAATTGTACAGCTGAAGTAGATGATATTACCATAAAGGGGATTTTCTTTAGCGAATCATCCTTATTTCTTATTCAAAGACAAATAAACAAATAAATAAAATTCTATTTATCCCATTCTCACCGGATTCTAAAGTTAGAATATACTATTAATCATCAGAAAGTACGGAGAGGTTGGAAGTAAATATATATATAAAAATAAATTGAGTTTAGTATTCTTCATAAAATAAGTTTGTTACAGTTCGTAAATTTAGAAATGATAATCACATTATACTTACTTGAGGTACTTTGTAGGTGATTCATGAAATTGGAAAGTAGGAAACGTAGAACAAAAAATATAATAAAATTGAAATAATGAGGCAAATCAGAGACTAAGGTTGATATCTCTGGTGGTGTTATGTTGTCTGAGGTAGATGACTCAACTCTAGTTGGCCCTGACAATTTTGTCGAGGACGAAAGTGAGATCTTTACAGTTAAACCATTTAACCCAGTGAATACGAAATTATCGGAACAATAGTGTGAATAATACTCAGAGTAGATGTTTAATCGAAGATTATAAAATCTTTCGAGTTGGAGAAATAGCTAACAATTACATTGTATGTATGTTTTATCCTAGTAAATATACTTTTATGTACTACTATTGTTTCTACTGATAGGAAAGAAGTACGTTCTATTATTTTGAAAAATCGCACTTTATTACCAGCTCAATGGAAATTATCTGGAATCGAAGCGTTAGGTGACGAATTCTCTGTATCACAAGATGCTGGCATTGTTGAACCACAGTCAGAATCTATTGTCTATGCTTATTTTCGTGCAATGAAATCTGTCAAACCAAACCAGAAGAGAAGCTTACGTCTTGAAGTTTATGATTTAGAAAATATTGCTGGTTTAATACAAGTAGAAACTATACAAGTGATGGCTGAAGCATACGATGTTGCTTTAGATATTACATTTCCTAAGGGTTAGTTTTAATTAAATTACTAAGATATGTATACTAATATTTGCTCAGTGTTTGAAGGTGATCAGAAGGAAACCTGAACCTAGGATGAATTTCAGTTCATTTTAATTTTTGAAAAATTGATAAACTGGGTGGGTTTTGGGTCAGTTGAAATCGGGCCGTAATGACATTAAAGCAGTTGTAAGATCTCTCTTTCCCTCTCTCAAATCCAATTAACGATTAGTTAGCTTATATTGTCAGTAGGACACGTAAATTTGTATTAACCAATCAAAACACCGACTAATGAACAAACTTAATGCTTACATTATCCTCAAGCTCCTCCTAACTCCGTGGTCAATCAGAAGATGAATTTGGAAAGCAAAATAGTTCACTATTGTGCTAAATTCAATCATAGCTGAAAAAGACTTATACAATACTATGCTAGAAGTGTCTAAATAAACAACAATTCTAGAAGAAAACATTAATAAAATGTAACGTAGTTGAAAGATTATCGGAAAATTGCGGAATATAATTAGTTCATAATTTCTACTCTTTATATTTATATTCAGTTAGTCAGTCAGTCAACCACAACGTAGGACCATGCACATGTATGCATCGGTCAAAGTTGCCACATCTCATTAACACAACACGATGAACACCGGATTTATAGTAGTTAATTTAGTGGTGGTAATATATAAAAGAAAGATCGCATATAAAGACAAAGAATTATTTCGTAGAATGAAAGATATGAAGTGATTTTAATCTCATGGTTTAAAGGAAGATAAAAAGTGTATACACCTACGTCATTGTAGTCGATTCTGAGCCATGTCACCCAGAATCTCCAACCATTGGTTACAACAGTCATGCGGACCCCAACCACAAAAATTAATCTTTTACAATTAATCCTATTGTAGTGTTAAAGAACCCTTGTACCAATGCTTATATCTGATAATACAACTAGGTCAAGTGTTTTTAGATTCACTGTATAGGTTTTCGGAATTTAATTAGCAACTTTGTAAAACTAGGTTGATCTGAATGACTGAAATATGTGTTAACTCTATTGATTCTACGTGTATAATCACTTTGTCGATAAGTGTAAAACTAAAACAAATCGGTCTTTTTCTCCCATTAAACTTGAATTTGTTAATGATTTTTAGTTTGATAACATTTTATGACAAAAATTATCTTTGAACATTTCAAACTTATTTATTTAATTCACTTGGTGCTGTCTTACTTCTTTCTTTCCATTGTTATTTAGGACTGCAATTGATCAGTCTCATGTTGACATATGAGCATCCTGTACAGATTACCTCGATATAGCCATAAGTTACAAGTTTTTTAAGCGAAGATGGATAATGGCTAGAAGTGGAATCCAGGACTCCGTTGCTAAGGAGATAACACGATAGCATTTAAAGCGAACGGTACTGAGCTCGAGTCCTGGAGTGAACATGAACTCCGGGATGCAGGTACATCCAACTGACGAGTCCCAAATAAAACGAAACGCGCGTCCTGAATTCCACTGCTAGCTAAGATCTATCTTTATTTATTTAATGTTAAAAATCAATCTAAATATTGTTTAATGATAATCATAGTAGTAATAATAAGGATTTGAACTATTATATTTTTTGTTTTACATACAAGGAAGTGATGGTGGTATTGATTTTGGTTTAATCAAAGTTGGTGAAGAAGTTAAACATGCTATTACATTGAAGAATAAAGGTCCTTATGAAATAGTAACTAAGTAAGAATTTTTGATTTGTTAATTCAAAGATAACTTTAACAGTTCGATTTAAATTCAATAAGATCAATCTCTAGTTGCTTTGTTTTTCATCCCCATTACTGATTACATATGCATTATATTAAAAAGGAAGAAATTTTTACTAAACCATATCGATAAAGAAATCAGTCTTACATTGTAACTCTCAGCAATCAATGTTGCACTAAACAATTGGATTACTACAAAGTATCATTTAAGCCATAACTTCAAATAACTCATTAGTTATTAGTGATCAGTACATTTCAACTGTATTGTAATTCAGGCGATTCACTGATGAGATTAGATGATTATCAGAAAATATTACAAAATAAACAGAAATTGAAAATATAAACCAATTTAATCTTTTGAAAGTCTCATTCTCACAACATGTCTTGATGATTTCGGATTCGAAACTATATGAAGTTGTTAGTTTTCTCGATTGTTGAGTTATAAACTAGAATGAAACAGTTGTCTAATGTTCCTTGGATTTCAATGGTTCTTTTCAATTGATATCAGCCCATTCTGGAGATGAACTTAAGAATGACGAACAAGGTGTGTCAATATAGAATGCATCAATGGCGTATACATTTTTTTAGAAATAGTAGTACATCGAACATTTCAAACATATGACAAATAAAAGTTTAAGAATAATGAATACAAGGAATCATGGTATATTAGTCGGTAACTACATATAACAACTCTAGTTATCATAATAGACTATCGGGAGACCTTCCACGATGAAACCTATTAATCTTCACATTTTTAGGGATCAACATAGATGACCGATAAATGTTACTTTCTAAGATCATTTCTGTAATAAGACAAGCTACCTTCTCCGAAGTAATAACCTTTCTTACTAAGTCATATTTTAGTAATCGATAAGCCAACAGAATATCTTCATTCTACGATATTATTATGTTAAGCAATGCAAACTTGGATAATGTGATAAAATTTATCAGAAATCGAAAATGTTGAAGTTTCAAGGTATAATTACGTAATCTGAGTATATCCACGAGTTGAAGATATTTCTTATTTCACTTTCTGTAGCATTATAGCTGAAAAACTAGGTTTATGATTAATAAATCTCAGGTTCCAAACCCGCTTCACATACTGTTGCTTGGAAATCTGAGTGGTATTGTAGTAAGCAAGAACACGAGTGGGGACAATCAAATGTATTTGAAAAATGAAATTACAGAGCATCTCACTAAAATCTGAGAGCCATATAGTAAATAGTTAATTTGCAAAATATCAATCAATTGTCTCCAACTTGACTGTTCCTTTTGCACATATCAGTCTGTTGTCTCAGATTTCATTGTTCATGCATTTTCATACCAATAGCTTTCCTTTCCCTCTCCTTTCTTATTGATCTTCTACTGAAATACATTCTATGCCTGACCACCGTTATATACTAATTATGTGGATATAAGTAACCCATACCACAGTATCACGAGTTCCCATGCAAAACGTTTGACTCAAATCTGAGTACACAAATTTATATTTCATGAGCAATTTACATTATTTTATAACCATAACGATTGATCTGCAGTCCAGTTATCATCTTCAATATTAGTAATTTCCGTATGAAATAAAACCTAATTCTTATGTTATCGTTCTGATGCTTAGGATTCATACTACTAACTAAATTTATGTACTTTATACATTCAATATGAACTATATGTAATAACATGTTCATTTTCATTTAGGAATCATTTAGAAAAGTAATTCTGTACTATAACTTTCAAATTACATGTCATTTTTTCTTCTTTATATTTTTTTCAAACAAGCTTTATCTTTACAAAGAATGATAAATTTAAAACAGATTTTAGTAGTATCTTCACTATGTCACCTCAACGTATCAGTCTATCTCCAACAGATAAACTCACACAAGTAAACGTAGGTATTTTATTTTATCAAGATATTTTAATAAAACTGTTTACATTGATCTATGTTTATTATAATTAAAAATGTAACTTTTTGTAAGCAATGATGGATAGTGGCTAGCAGTGGAATCCAGGGGGCTCGTCTCGTCCTATTTGAGACTCGTCAGCTGGGTGCACCTGCATCTCAGAGTTGGTGTTCACCCTGAGACTCGAACTCAGTACCATTCGCTTCAAACGCCATCGCGTTATCCACTCAGCTACTGAGTCCTGATAGTCTGAGATAACATTGTCTAATTAAAAATCACATAATTACACTGATAGTATTATTTGATACTAAATTATTGAATTCATTTTACTGACATATCTTTGATGGCTTTGCTTCGTTGATCAATCACCTTTGTAACCGTTATTATATAAACCTCAATAGTGTTTAAAATCAGAAGGTAAAGAGATACGGCAACCATAGTTTATTAGCGGATGGCGTAGATCCCAAAGCTATAAACATATAGAATGTATTTGAAGCGGAGAGATGAATAAGTATATGCAAGCAATTACATAAGCAAATTTATAGTCAAATCGCATAAGGGAACAGCAAGGACTAATAATAGGATTTGACTACATACAAACATGGTAGGTGAATGAATCATCGAGTGACATTTAAGCAATCAACATTTTAGCTAGAGTCTGTCATGTAATCTAGTGATCGTACAGTACAAATAAATAGACGAATTTTTACTGTTCAAATGACATCGTCTGTTAAGTAAGTCAATAAAAGAGCTGAATCAGAGTTAACCGTAACCGAAATTTTTTGTAGGATAGTTGTTATATCTCTTTTAAGTAGAATACCCTAGATATGTAGATTGTCACCTAGGCGACTTTGATATGAAAGAGAAGGGTCCAATCGATTTTGAAAAAGATGATAACAATACAACTTAATTTAGCAGTATAGGAGGGTTAATTATCACTGTTTTGTTATCAGTATATACACTTTTGACACTGAATAAATATGGAGTTTCCTGAAGTCTGAGATAATTTATAGAATTATTTTAGATATGATGAATAGTTAGGTTAATCAATTTCAGTTGTTCACATAAATGGGAAAGACTATATTGATTTCCCTTTTACTAGTTTTATTTGTTCACGTTATATTTTACCGATCAAATTAAACCTTACTTACTTACTTACTTACGTCTGTTACTCCTCGTGGAGGAGCATGGGTCGTCCACCGGCACTCTAAACCTAATCCTTTATTAATAGATAAATATAACCTATTCAATTTCATTTTGCTTAATTCATTTAGCTAACATGTTCCACACAATCAGAGTTAATTTTAAAAGAAGCAGAAATACTTAAATGTCAAATTATTGAACCAAATATTAAAGGAACTCCACAACTGATTGCATCAATTCCAATAAAATTGTCTGTAAAAGCAGAATTCAGCAAGTATGTTTATTCTGAAATTCAGTGTATTTTGTTTTCTCTAATGTACAATATACTGAGTTATGATATAAATGTTCTATGTTTGTTTATAGAACAGTGTGCGTTTAAAAACCACGATAACTTCTTGAAGTAAATAGGAATAGGTTTGTGGTGGTCGGTATCCGATATAATCCTTAAACTTCGTATTACAGTTCGTCCTGATAACCGTCACTAGATAACGCCCCAACGGTGTATTAATCAGAAGGCGAATACGAAGTGTTGATTAAGTTTATTATTGCACCATATACAGATCACCAAAATTACAGGTACATTAAGCAAACATGAAAGAGTAGTGCTGAAAAGCAAACAGGTAAGCGAGTGAGCATGCGAGTCAAATGAGCAAGTCAGCGAACAGGATTGAAATGTACATATACATATATGGAAAAATTAGTGAGTCATCAAGCTAATTAAACGACTAATAGTACAGCTAGCAGAATGAATATATGCGCACTCAGTAAGCAATGCTCAAGCATACATATTCATACAAGCGCAACAACAATAAAGGTATAATCATATAGATAAGTTATTATAGTACGAATGACTCTACCCGTTAATATGTTAATAAAAGGACTTAACCAAATTAAATGTGAACAAAATCAATTGCATGTGAGCTGCTATAATCTAATGTATTGCCATGAGCAACAGTTATCTAGATGTTAACTTTGAGGCCTCATTCTGCCAACGAATCACACTTTTGACCACACTAGTCACTAACTTTTTATCAGTCAACTAAACGACCATGATAAACATACATTCGAAAGCTTCAAACAAGATCGTTTTCTGTCAATTTACTCATTAGTTTTACATTTTAAGTCAATCAGTGCTGGTTAACACATGGCTTGCCACAGCCGTACCGTCCTAGTATAGGACTTCTCAGCAGTGTGCATCGAAGATTCCGCACCCCTGACTCGAACCCAGGGCCTTCGGTTTCACTCACGAACGCCTAACCTCCAGACTACTAAGCCGGTATCCAACAATGTGGATGCGCACTGCTTAGGAATCTCATACTAGGACGAAACGACCACCTACTGCTCCCAGGTTTTTATTGGTGGTCTAAAATCGATCCATTCATGGTCTTAATCAAAACTTAAGAATCTCCACAACCCTATACTGAAAATATCTGTTAGCTTGAAAAGCTATACAGAATGAACACGAGATGGAATTATTAGAATAAACGGCATTGGAGTCGAGCCAGTGGTAAAATTGATGTTGGTGGCATAAATCAGACAGTGAAGAATATAGTCAAGGAAGAAATTATGTGTGGAAGAATATTGAGACTTAAGATCTAGAGAATGTATTTGGACTAATATAACGGACTATAAGCCATCACCCACGCCTGACCAATAACTACGGCTGTCTTGTGGATCTCGACATATTAGTTTGTATTTTCCAACACAGTTAAGTCAGATAATCATGAATTCTTACTCTTACCAACTACCACATTACGTGAGCTACTATAGATTATCTGACCTAATGCACTCCATCAAGCATTGATATCACTTGTATAGATACAAAAAACAGAAATCACAAAATCTAATAGACTTTTGAATACACATGGTTTTAGAAGACTAAAATACCCAGATCTGAAGTTTAGCCTTTCTATTGATCATTTAGATTTGAATATAATATCGTCTCTCTTATCATACAGAAGATATCTATGTCTATAACATCTTTGACAGAACGCTGTATTACTTCATGAATGAAGAAAATGTTGAGCCTAACGTTATAGAAATATTTAAATAGATATCACTTGGAATTAAAGTAAAGGGACCACAATCTGTGGTTCATTTTAATATTTTGCATAAACGTCAGCAATGCAAAATTAATCAAACAGAAATAGACATTGTTCTTTTCAAAATTTGTTATTCTATTAACTCTACTCTTTCTATATCATCAAATTATTCCATATGGTGAATTGTTCAACGTTTATTCCATCTAATATTTCTTGTTTTAAAATCAAGAGTATTGTCTTATTATATCACGATTATCTGTTAGATGTAGGGTATCAGGGAATGATGGTAAATCAATTGATAGGGTTATAAATTTTCATCGACTGAGATGGCTGGGACACGTGTTACGTGTGTCTGAACACCGTTTATCACGAAGCACAATAGTGACTAGTGTTGGAGACGATTGGAAGAAAATTAGAGGCGGCCAAACCAAAACGTGGCAGCAGTCCTTGAAGTTAATAACTTCTAGTCTGAGCCATGTTGGTATATGCAAACTACTTGGTTGGGGTTCGCGTGACTATCATAACCAATGGTTGGAGACTCTAGGTGGCATAGCTGAGAATCGATCACAATGGTGTCGATGTATACACTCTTTGAAGTAACCACTTCTATAAGGTTGATGTTCATCTTGCTGTACTAATGAGGAATGGGAACCTGGTTCGATGCACATACGTTCTTGGTCCTACGTTGTAGCTGACTGATTGTTACATTAAATACGAATGAAAAATAACAAAAGTAATTTTTGTCTTACGTTCAGTTATTTTCGAAACCTTTAAAATGAACCCAATTCGTAAATAATAGAAGTTTAAAAGCACACAAGCTTCATTTCAAAGCTAGAACTAATATCAAATAGTTCTTCAAACAGGTGTACATAAATATATGAGAACACTTCAGTGTGAAGAAGTGAGATATTAAATTTTGTTTGTTCAAAGTAAATGAATGTATTTTAAGTATCAGGCTATTTTCTGATGAACGTTGAATTTACTTATTGCATTACAAGTTGAATTAGGCTGCATAACCTTCGAAAATGAAAAGATGTAAGACAGTTGTTTCCTACTAGTATGGGACTTCTCAGTAGTGTGCACTCACTTCCACTGAAGTATGGAACAAGTATTACCGATCTGAGTGTATAAGTCATGTGATGTCTACGGATTGCAGTTATAAAAATCTGAAACATCGCGGTTATTCTAGGTGGTTCAGATTTTAAGCTCTTGCAGCGTGGCCTGAAGAAAGTGCTGGGTCAGATCACTGACTAAATCATGGATGCACACTACTGAAGAGTCACATGCTAAAACACAATGGGAATCATGTTTTTTGTCGCTTTCAATGGTTAGGATTTAAGCTAGAAACTATGAATATGTTCTTAAGTAATTGATAATATAATTAACAATTTACAGTAATTACTGACATTTCTTCAATATAACTGTTGTAGATTTACAATTTCTCCCGCACATGATATTAATTTTGGTTCACTTATATTAAATAATCATAAAACAAGACAACTGATCATTGAAAATAATGGAGATTATGAATTCCGTTACTCAATTATACCTGTTAGTAAAATGTTAGAGCTATTAGCAACACGTGAAGCTTTATTGAACAAAGAATCTACAGGCACGGTGAAACATAAAATGTAAGTTATTTAAGTTGTTTCTGCTTTTATTCAGCTTTTCAATTTCCAGTTCCTCATCACTTGATAACTCTGATTGCTATTATGTGATAAGTTCATCGGTCAGAGTTCTAATTATGATATTTTTTGTTTCGTATCTTCTATAACATAGTGTTCTGGACTTGATCAAGTATACACCTAACTTGCAATGTTAATCTTAAGCCAACACAAACTAAGCTAATGTTGGTGCATTATACTGAAGCCTTTCTCTATCTTTTCCCTTGAGTTCAAAGAGAAGTCATTAGTGAGCTTCCATTATTCTCAATGCGATTATGACTTAAAACTCACCAAGTAATAAAGTGTTAACTCTTAATCACATATTAACATAATGAAGATATTACATTGATGTCATTAGTGAAAGAGAATTCGGTCATAGGTGCGTAATAAATTAACGGTAACTGAAGAAAAGTACAACATATGACAAGAGCTTATGTATCACAAGTAGGAAAATATAGAAATGAAATATTTAGAGAAAAAATATAGAAACATTAACTTCACTTAGAACAGTTACGGAAGTTCAAATTTTCAAATAATTGTCCCTTTAGAGTTTAGTCCAATTAGTAAAGAGTATATTTGATAAAATTCATTTACTATTAAACAGTTTCATCACTTCTGTCCTTCCAATAGCCGTAAAACAAATGACCTAAATTGTTCAGGATTTCAATGACCCTTCAAACAATAATGGACCGATTCATATATGTGCCTGGTCCTACGTTGTAGCTAACTGACTGACAAACAATAATGACTCTCATAAAAATCTATATTTAAATGATTTCATGTTTTTGCACCCGAAATAAATCATACAGAATACTGTGTTTTGTCCGTAGATTCTATGTACTAGAAACTCTACATTTTAAGCACATCATTTAAAGATCTTAGTTTTTTATCGATAATAAAAAGCTATAGCTAAACACCGTAGTATAACTAATGAACTTTGAATTTATTAGTGTTTTGATTGAATAGACATTAATTTTGATTATACCAGATAATCATTATTATTCATTTTTATAATAAATAATAGTATTATGTGTGAGTCCTCAGCAGTATATATCCACGATAGGATGAAGCAGCCGTCTAGTGCTCCCAAGTTTTCTATGGTGGTCTAGCTTCAATTGACTCATGATTTCAACTATTAAAATTACTATAATATCCACAAAATCCCTTCTGATAATAATAATTATAGTCTTCAACAAAATAATAATGTAGCAGTACAATACAAACGTCAAGATGACTTCAATATCCATCTATATTGAATTTCTAGGTTTTCTATAGTGGTTAACCTTAGATCGATCCATGAATTCAACTATTAAGGAAAATACAACTTACTTTCAAAATTCATCTCCCGATTTGAGATAACACTCATTACTGTCTAATCTTTGGAACCAGTATAAAGTCACACATAGATTTATAGATCATGGCCATGAAATAGCATAAATCGATTTTTTAAAGTTTAAATTATGGACTAAATTTAGCAAGATAACCGTTTCGTTAATCTGAAGAGCATTGAGCAGTGTTTCCATCCTGTTACGGGACTCTTCAAACTGCTAGACATTGAATCCAGCTCATTCAGACATGGCGGAAAACATTATACTACTGATTGGAGATCAAATAGTTCACATTTGTGTGATGATATTGTATGACTACTATTAGTTCCTGTCGCTGATGTCTTATTAACGCCTAACGTCGTCATACCGTTCCTGTTGTAATCCCTTGAAATGTATTGACTACAAAGCTTTTATACAGATTATTTATCTAAAATAGAGACCCATCACAGATGCACATAATAACTAAAATGGACACCACTCGTTTTATCAAAAATAGTGTTTAAGAATTATTTTGTTTATTTTCACTTCTGATAGATTGACGAAACATATTCATTCTGTTTTGACATTGTTAGGGAGATCCAAAAACCCCTCAAAGAAAAAGCCAAAAGTGGTTCTGAAAACATTGAGAGGCATCTTATTCAATCAGCATTCACTAAAAGTTTTGCCAGAAACATCTAGAAAGCGAAAAGTCACCTGTCGAGTTTCTGATTGGATGATTGTCTATATTGATACTATGTTTAGTAGCGTTCCGGAATTTTCCGGGAACCTAAAGACATCTAGAATACTGTAAAAACCCTAGATTTTCTGTACATAAACGAACCTTGAGAGTAAAGCGTTCCTTCCATATTTCGCACCTTTTCTTTCGTGTTCAAGTCGCTGAGTAGATTTAGCCTGGGAGATTACTAGAAGAGTTTAGGAACCGAATCTAGCGTTTCAATTACATGACTTATCAGACATTGACTTATGTAATCCAGAATATTTAAAAATACTTCCTACTGACTGGTTAAACAAGCACGACCTATCTGATTTGTTTACAATCTGTTAACTGTTTTGTATACATATTTAATTTTTATTAAAATATATATATATGTTTTGTCATTATGAGTAGATATCATCGTAAAACTAAAAGGTATGCATCATTAGCTTATGTGATAATTGATTACACATGCAAATATATGCTTGATATACATAGCAACTATATCTTGTTGTATTTGACGCTTCATTAACTGTCATTTCTGTACAAAACCAATTATATTAAAGTTATTTTACAAAATAAATTACGGTATTCATACTTGTTACATGCACTTAGAGTAAACTAGCCTAAATATGAATTTATTACTACTCATCATATCTAACTATGCACAAAGTTCATTGCCAAGTGTTTATTCCATGGCTAAAAGATGAATGTTTGAATCAAATGATTATCAGCTATCAACTAGTTCATACACATTAAAGCTACAGGACACTAATGAAGGTTACCTAACTTATACTTTGAATTAATAAAGTAAATTAACGATATCGTCATATGTATGGTTTACCAAAAGTTCACAAAGATGACGTTCCCCTTAGACCTATCCTATCAATGATCAACTCACCGTATCATAAAGTTGCACGGTGGTTAGCAGTAAAACTAGAGCCGATTCGTCGGAGATTAGAAACATATACGTTAAAAGATTCATTCCAGTTTGCTGATAGACTAAATCGTACGAATGTTGCCGATAAGTTCATGGTTTCTTTTGATGTCACATCCTTGTTCACCAATATACCACTTTTTGAAACTATTGATATATTTTGTCAGAATTATGATCTCCTACCTTTACCAGCTCCAGAATTCAAAAAACTACTATTAATGTGCACAACAGACGTCCAATTCCAGTTTAATAACACCATATATCGTCAAATCGACGGCGTAGCAATGGGAAGCCCACTAGGTCCAATTCTGGCAGATATTTTTATGGGGTATCTTGAAAACATGGTGCTTAATCAGGCGATTAGCGAAACGACGGAATATTCCAGATATGTTGATGACACGTTCATTGTCTGCAACAATAAACAGCATGCAATGCGCCTGCTAGAACTCTTCAATAATGCACATCCTAACAGTCAATTTACTATGGAACACGAACAGAATGACATGTTCCACTTTCTTGATGTTGCTATAAAACGTAGGAGAGACGGGACAGTCCAACGTTCGCTTTATCGAAAAAGTACTTGGAATGGCCTTTATCTGAATTTCAATAGTTTTTGTCCACTCAGCTACCAGAAGGCACTAGTTAAAACACTATTTTATAGGGCAGAAAAGATTTGTACCACTGATAAGCTGGAAGAAGAATTGATGAACGTACAAAAATGCCTACGAGACAACTTTTACCCACAAAAGTTTATTGATAAACATAAAAAGCGTAAAGAAAATAATACCGAAGTAATTACTGTCAATAAAAAACCAATAACTATAAGTCTTAACTTCAAAGGTGATGATGTTGCTAACACAATCAACAGGAGACTCAATACTGCGCTAGCCAGAACCTATCCGGCGACCAAACTTCAAATTCTGTATAAAACAACATGTTCAATAACTCAATCAAAGGTTGATAAGCATCCTTTTCATGTTACTGTCAATTGTATTTATAAATTTACATGTACCTGCCAAAGCAGCTACATTGGCCGAACAGAAAGGAGGGCATATCTCAGATTTTTTGAACATGCTCCAAAAAACCTCAGAACAAGAGAAAGAAAGAGTCTAAGTAGTGCAATCACTAAACATTTCCTTGACACAGGCCATCAGGTTGACACCCTACAATCATTCAAGGTTATTAGTAAGCAGCCAAACTCCAGTCTTCTGAAGTTTGCTGAAGCAGTTGCTGTCAGGCGCCAAAAACCTGATTTATGTGTTCAAAAGGAGATGATTGTTAATCTTTCCCTGCCTTGGTGACAAATATTCTTCCGCTGCAGCTTAATTTTTTTTTAATTTTTATCTTTTATATTTATTACGTCATTGATTTTGTTTTTCAATTATCTTTAAAAAAAAATTAATAATCTTTCAACTGAACTCTACTCACTATATTCCTATCAATGTTTATTCATTATGTAATCAATTGTTTCTAACCCATTTTTGAACTGCTGTCACAATTATTGCTCTAGAATATTCTTTCACATTAGGTATATATTTACAATATTCAGTCTATTAATTTCATTTACACCCATGTCATACTTTACGAATATTTCTTCAATATAAACCCTCTCATGTAAGCAATTTAAACTCATTATGTAATTATTATCTTTTTAAATACTATAGGTTGTAAGCAGCTGACGAGAACCTACGAAATAAAATGAATTCATGTTATTCTGCTAGAATCTTTGTTCTTGCTCTTTACAAAATGATAAAGGGAACTATGTGTATGAGATATCATTTCCATTGTGAATAAGTATTCATTGATTTGGTCATTTTATTTTGTTATCTAGAAAAGTAATAAGATTGGAAAAAGGTCAAAATATAGACTTGACAAAGTCATTATTTAGAATTAAATAGTAAATCATACAGAATATAAAGTATCCTTTTTAAAATAATAAATGATGTCAAGAAAAGAAAGCTATGACCGGTTATAAATAAATGGAATAGCGCTCATTTGTATGTGAGTTTCTGTCTTAACCAATCAATCAATCAAAAATATCGTTATAGAAATATTGAAGGTAATTTTTAGTAATCGGACTAATTGAATCCTTGACATGATCATAATCTATTCATATAACCGCAAATTTCAGAGCTTGTTTTGTGTAACTTCATACTATTCATGCTTTCATTGTTGTTGTTTTGCACGTATCATATAATAAGCATGTTAATGAGTGCCTATGTGTTTTATAAAATTCAATTTGCTTCTTTCCTGTCCATTGACATTGTCAGCTTGGTATATCTTTGACAATTTTAAATCATGTTTTACAATTGTCTTAGTATAATTTTTAGTAAATGGTTGTAGAGATTGTTGAGTTTCGATTGACATTATGAATGGATCAGTGTTAGACCACCATTGAAAACCTGAAAGCATTGGACGACCGTTTCGTGGTAATATGGGACTCAATAGTGCGCATTCACAGTTTCGCATGTGGGATTTGAACCCAGAACCTCCGATCTCGTGCGCGGACGCTTAACGCCTAGTATAATTTATTGATTCGTAAATAAATAAGTTCATTTGTTTTTTTTCTAAAAGTGTTCATATTTTAATTATTTTTTAATTTAACCACACCTGATTGCACATTTATGAGCACTCTATCTCTGAAGCACCTTCTTTGTGAATCATACTGGTTCAAAACTCACAGATAACATTGTTTTCCTCGAGACTGAAAATATGTTGATAAATTAAAAACTATCGAAGCAATTGCATTGTAATACTGAATTGTCTAGTCCAGAAACTGCAATGCAAACAATATAACGTCATACACGTTGTTAATTATATAACAATAAATCTATAATAACTTGCGTTAATGTGATATTAATAAATAGGGATAATCTTTTAAATAAATTAATATATTTGTAATATCAGAACGGGTTTTGTAGAGATTGTAGTAATTTCAACAGTTGGGATCATGAGTCAATTGAAGCTAGACCACTATGGAAAACCTTGAAGCACTGGACGGCCGTTTCGTCCTATTGTGGGACTCCTCAGTGGTCTAGTTGGTTAAGCGCCTTGTGCGAAACTGATAAGTCCTGGGTACGAATCCCGCGCGGCGGGGTCGTGGATGCGCACTACTGAGGAGCCCCGCAATAGGACGAAACGGCCGTCCAATGCTTCCAGGTTTTCCATGGTGGTCTAACTTCAGTTGACACATGATCTCAACTGTTGGTATTTATAATATCCCAATGAGTAGAAAAATTAAATTTTCTGACGTTTCGTCACTCATTGTAAGCCAATTCTTCAGAGAATAAATAACCAAATCAGATTTAATCCAAGTTTAAATAGTATCACGGAACAACGCAAGTATATTAAGTGCGATCAATCAAAAAGCAGGTCTGAACGAATCAATGTCATGTCATTTCGATCAAGGTGATTCATAAGCGACATGTATGTAAATTTGTGTATGTGTATGTGTGTAACGTTAAGGATGAAAATATGTATGACCTTTATGGTGAGAAAGGATAGAGTTTAATTTGTATGTAGGGTAATATTGTGAAATGTGAATAATATCAAACTAGTTGGCTAGGCTAGATGGTCCAAGTAGGATGTATGGTAAAGCGTTCTTTTTTATTAAGAGCAGTAGGATTAACCATTATAGGTATACGTTATCGAAATTGATATTTTCATAACGTTATGAAATACTCGACTTATTTTTTAATTTTAGCTAACTATAGATCAGAGTATCCTCATGTCGACTTATTTGAGACTTCTTATTGGATTAAATGTTGTGCTGTTTATTAATCATATGATAACAGAAAGTGTTACAAATTTGAGAATTTGTTAACAAATGGAAATAAGTAGTAGATATTTATTAATCTTCTAAATTCTTAAATTCGTCATATTTGAAATTTGTGAATCATCGAACAGGTGAACTATTAAAGATGAACACAACAATGAACATAAACATTACATTTGTAAATACTTCTCTCGATTATGCGTTATTGTATTTCTTATTCACCTTATTATTATACACAACCTTGACGCTTTATTGTTTACTGATCTTTCCCTATTCTGATATCATTGGCTTTTACTTCATGTATGTATTCTTTTTTGAATATGTAGCATGTTGATGTAGTATTCAGTATTGTTATTCATATGTTATTGTACAAGAATGCTAATTCAAATGTTTCATTAACTTACTTTAACAACGAATATCAATGCTTTCCGTTTAATCAAACATACATCCTCATACTGCATTTTCATGCAATTAGATAGAATGCAAAGATAATCAGTATTACATTTAATATAACAATATGCTTATTTACTTTAGATCACTTCCTAATTAATTTGTTGTGAAAGTATTACATTGAAAATGTTAATTTGTTTTTTATGTAGGTTAGATCCAACCATGCTGAGTTCATCACAATCTCGTTTACAGCAGGGTTTTTTCACATTGAGTCCAGCTAGTGGAATTGTTCCACCTGGAAATGCACAAATTATAACAGTTGATTGTTTGGCTGCTTCATTGGGTCAATGTTTAGAAGTTAGTTGTTAGTTTTAAAGATTTTCAGGAAAGATTATTCATCGATTTTTTCTCTCACTTTTAAAGTTCGTAATATTATCAGAGTGAACTTTCAGCAATGTTGAAATTACTAAATATTTTATTATTAAACCATTTATTTCAATCTCGTTAAAATCGAAGGATAACATCTTTGGATGAGACTATAATTTATGGACTACCTTTAAGTGACGCCAAAGTGACCTACCTACTTACTAGGGCTAAATGAGGACTATGGAGCAGTTTGAAGGATAAGAATTATGATTCACAGTTGATGGTTAGGGTTAAGAATTAGAATTATAGTTAACTAGCATTGTGACACCTTCACATGTTCTCAAACACAACAAGTTGTAAATGTAGCACAATATATGAAATCAAAACGAGGATATCTGGACAGAATTCTGGTTGGTATTCACTGTACATTGTGACTGAATAGCAAAATATTAACTTCAAAAACTGGAATAGACAACAATATTTGTTTGTATTCTCCAACTTTCAGCTGTCCTCTATGAACGACTTTGAATTGTAGTCCGTTGTGTGAATTCCGTATAATTTTGATGATCTCAGGTACACCATAGTGTCGAAGAAGTTTCCATAATTTTCTCCTGTCCACATTGTCAAATGCGTTCTCGTATTCAAGGAAGTTGATGTATAATGACGAGTTCCACTCAGTTGATTGCTCAACAATGATCCGTCATATAGCGCTTCAGTCTGTGCACGATCGATCCTTACGGAATCTGACCTATTGATCTCGAAGTTGGACATCTACTGAATCTTTCATGCAGTCCAACAACACTCTGTTGAGACCTTTTCCTAGCATCAATAGCAGTATGATGCCTCTGTGGTTCATAATTTTGCTCAGATTTCCTTTCTTTGGTATCTTGGTGAGATATCCTTCTTTCCAGTCAATCGGCACTTGTTCTCCCTTTCAAATCTTCCTGAATAGGACGTAGAGCATTTTTGCATTTACTTATGTGTCTGGCTTTATTGCTTCAGTTGGTATATTGTCAGGTCCCTCTACCTTCTTCTTCATTTGTGTGATGGTTATGCTGATTTTTTCGATCGTTAGTGGAGTGGTAGCTATAGGAAGGTCTATGTGTGTTGCCTCAATTTCCGGTGGATTCAATAGAGCTGGTTTATTCAAGAGTTCCTCAGTGTTCCACCCATCTGTTTCTCTGTTTTTGAATCTGAGTGACCGTCTTTCCTTCTTTGTCCTTGACTGTTCTCTCTGGATTACTGTATTTCCCTGCTGGTTTCTACGTTGTGTCATATATCTGTCTCATATTTCCTTCTCTTGCAGCTTTTTCTGCTGTCGGTGCTAGCTCTTCCACGTATTTCTGCTTATCCGCTCTAATGCTTCTCTCCACTTGCTTGTTCACTTCTGTGTACATAGTTTGTGCTTTGACTTTCTCTGCTCGTGTTCGGCTGTTGTTAATTTCTGTCTTCTTATTCTTCACTTCTTGAATCTTGTCCAGGGTTTTGACAGAGATCCATTCCTTATGATGGTGCTTGTTGCGGCCCAGAACCTCCTGACACGTTGGAGTTATTGCTTCTTTGATCCATTTCCAGTTGTCCTCCGTAGTATTTTCTTCTTCTTTCAGTAGATCCTGTAAGGCTTGGAACCCGTTGTTGAGAACTATCTTGAAATTGATTAAGTTTGTCAGTATCTAGAGGGAGAGCCATGTCATACCTTTGTAATGCTGTTTCTTCAGCTAAACAATGTTTCTTTAGCTTGAGCTCCATCTTCACCACAACTAGGTGGTGATCTGAAGCTATGTTGGCTCCTCTTCTATTTCTCACGTCTTCCATTGACCTTGTGAATGTTTTACTGAAGCAAATATGATCTATCTGGTTCTCCGTAGTGTGGTCCGGTAAGACCCACGTAGCTTTGTGTATGCGTTTGTGTGAGAACATTTTGCCGCCTATGACCGATTTGTTGAGTGTACATAGAGTTACGAATCTGTCACCGTTCTCGTTCCTTTCTCCCAGTCAGTCCATGTCGTCCCATGATATCTTCATACCCCATGTTGTCCATTCCGACCTTGACGTTTAGATCTCCCATCAGGATTGTCAGGTTATTTCCTGAGAACTTGTCTATGATTGATTGCAGCGTCTCGTAGAGCTGGTCTTTATGGTCGTCGTTGCTATCATTGGTGGGTGGATAACACTGGATAACATTCATTGTGATTCCTTTCTTGTTTGTTTTGAAGGATGCTTTGATGATCCTGGATCCATGAGATTCTCACCCAATAAGTGCGTTTCGTGCTTCTTTTGACAGCGTCTGAGCAACTCCCTGAGTGTGTGGAGCATTTTCTTCTTCGTGATCAGAGCGCAGCAGCACCTCTCCTGAATTTATTTTCTTATGTCCAGCTTGGATCCAGTGGGTTTCACTGATTCCGAGAACCGTCAAGTTGTATCTCCTCACTTCTGTAACTATTTTGATGGTCCTACCGATCTCCCACATTGTCCGAACATTTCATATACCTATATTATTTGTTAATCTGGTTGTAAGAAGAAGTATCACTTTTGTGACCTGCGAAGAATATTAGCTTTCATCATGTGGCGTCATAATTCTTCCTTCAACTAGGATGATAGAGTTTTGATGGTATAATTTGTTCATTCTGGTTAGCTTTTTCTTAGCGAGATTGTTTTTCTATGGGATGGGGTTGCTGACCGCATGACCAACCCTCCTCCTTTTCCCATGCTTGGGACCAGCAGTAACCCTAGAATAGCTACAAGCTGAGTTTTATTACTCGTACAGGCAAGTATTTGTTTGGAATCAGTTGCCAAATGGATCGTGCGACGACGTTTGAAGCAAACGTTACCGGGTCCGAGTTCGGGGGTGAAAACCAACTCAGAGTTGCAGGCACATCCAGCTGACGAGTTCCGAATTGGATTATATGCGCATACTTGATTACACTGCTAGCCACATTCCACATATTCTATGTATGCTACTATTATTCTTATCGTTGACAGTAATTCAGCTAATGTTAACGAATTTTATATTATTAGGAATTAACGATTGAAATATCTGATCGTGATATGAAATTATATCCACATGGAATACCATATCATCTTAAAGCGGAAGGGGATCTACCACTAATTGAAACCAATGATCCTTCAATAATATTTGAAGAACATCATGTTTGCAAAAATCTGAGTGTTTTAGATTTGCCTGATCTATCGGATACGGTATGTATATATTTATGTGAATTATAATTATCATTCTTAATATTCAGTCTTATTCATTTTGTTAAAATCAAATTGATTAAAAACGTTGAAGCACTGGACGGCCGTTTTATAATATAATGAGACTCCTCTGCAGTGGATATCCACAATTCCGCACTTGAAAATTGTACTCAAGGTCTTTGGTCTGGAGCACGGATTCTTAACCTCTTGACTACAGAACTGGGATCCAGTAGTTTATAGGTCTAATTTCAATCATCTGATGGTTTTTTGCTATCACCTTCCATTGTCTTTGATGGGTAGCGTTTTCATGCTCTACACTGTTTAACTCCATTGGTCCCATTTTCCAGGTTTTCAATAGTTGTCTAACCTAAATCGTTTTGTGAAATCAATAAAATACAAAAATTTCCACAACAAACTAGAAGCCTTTTATTCTACTTTATCTATGTATTTGTATCTGCTAGTTGTAAACCGGACTTATATTGTTAATAATTCATTTGATTACTTTTTCATACTCCCATAACTTTATTCAGTGAATTCGGGTTGAAACATGATGATTGATTTTTATAGTCACATATTTTATTATAATATTTTGTTATCTGTTAACCATTTGATCGGAAAATCGTGCGTGAAATCTCATATAGAGTCGTATTTGTGAACTGCTGAACAGTCTTAATATAGTGTTTCTTTAGCTAAATTCAATCTGTAACGATATCTATCATCAAAGGTAACATGATTAACGCTAAATGTTGGATAACTGTTGAACTAATAATTATGAAACATTATTTGATACTATAGTTTATTTCTGTTGTCGTTCCGCATTTAATTCACTTGTGGTACAGGTGAAATATCACCCCGGAAATTAAGGGGTGACTATATTATGTACCAATTTGTATTGTTTTTGTCTTATGACTATGAAACATGATCTTTAAGAGTTAAGAATTATTTTATTTTACAAGTATTTAACCATAGGTTTTTTCAAAGAAATGCTTGTTTATATTGGTGCCACCGACTGAGCGAATCTGAGATTATACACATGACATTAGATGAATATGGTGAATTGTTTGATAAGGTGTTAAATCTTCATCAGCTAAGGAGGTTGGCGTATATATATTATGTATCCCTAACCACCGTCTACCTCAGTGAGATTTTCACAATCAATGGTTGGAAATACATAAATAATATATTTGTAATATCCCAATGAGTAGAAAATTAGATTTTCTGACGTTTCGTGACTTAGTGTAAGTCATTTCTTCAGAGAATAAATAACCAAATTAAAATTAATCGAAGTTTAAATAGTACAACGGAACAATAAGAATAATATTTGATCAGTCAAAAACAGTTCTGAACAAGTTAATGTAATGTCATTTCTGTCAAGGTGATTCATAAGTGATATGTATGTTAATTGGTGTGTATGTATGTGTGCATTGTTCAAGAATGAAAAATCGTGTGACCTTTATGGTGAGAAAGGATAGAGTTTAATTTGTAATATGGTAGTGTGAACTGTAAATATGATCAGACTGAATGGCTAGGATAGATGGTCCAAGTAGGATGTATGGTGAGGCCTTCCTTTCTATTGAGAGAGGTTGACATTTTGCCCACGGCAATTAAGATTCCCTACCACCCATTCCTAAAAAATTGTATGGTGTGAAAGAAAAATTTATTGATCGGTGATTGGTGTACTTGTTTTGCGAGTGTGTACTTAAGTGATAATGAACAAACATTTTGTCACCTTTAATAATTTTGTAATTGGTCGTAAACTGTTCATCTTTGTAATGTGATTAGTTGAAATCGAAATAGCATCAAGTGCTGTGATTGGATGTTAGAATTTAGATTATTACATTTGAAATTTTAATGATAATGAATAATTCTTTTTGTGTAATCTTAGTCTTGTAAGAAATTTAGACATTTTAAGAAAAAAACACCAACTTAAGTGCAATCCTACTGTCACTGAATGCGCATTGGGATAAATCTTTGATTTCCGATCAACAATTTTAATGTCACGACTACTTATATATATCACATAAAAAAAAATTTTTTGGAAAAAAGCAACTGAAAACCGGTTTGAATATTTGATAATAGTGATTACTGAATGAGGTCGGTAGTCAAATCTTTAATACCAAATTAATAAACAAATTATCACTAAAGTGTATGCATAGGTTTTTTGGTAACACATGGTCTGTTAGTTCGAGAAACAAATCAACATATTAATAAATCATCATGATAACTTACTAGTTGCAATATTTATGATTCAGGTGAAGCAACCGTAGACCATCATTGAATGAACTGACTTTGACAGTATATGAATGTAGTAATAAATTTAACCGAAATAGGCACTTAATATTTAGTAAACGATTATTTTGTAAATGTTCATTCTTAATGAGAATTAGAAAAAGGTTAGATTTCAATGTGGTTGATTTTAAAAGTCCATTGGAACGGTTTATTGTTTTCACTTGTAAATGATTTGTAGTTCTGTAATTTAAAATTAATTTTTTGGTCGTAATAAAAACTAGTGTGTTTAATCAGTCATGTGTGAATATTGTTAACGGCCGTAATATGAAACCTGAATTATCTAGACATTATGAATGTAACCATTTTTGACAAGCATTTGAAATATCAGTTTCATCAAGTGTAAATGAACAAGCCTACGTCGTCTGACTGACTCAACAAATATCTATCGACTTTAAACGTATAAATATGAATAAGGTCAACTGTATCAATGAACATTTACAATGTTATTATTATTTATTTTCCTTATTATTATTATTACTATTACTATTATTATTATTATTATTACTATTATTATTATTATTATTATTATGTCAATTGACAAGATTCAATTCTCATACTATGCATTTTATTGACACACAATTTCTTGCATTTTCAAATTTCCGATAATGCTCTTCCACTTATCGTGACTGAACACTTTATTGCAAATAATCCAGACCTTTATTGAATGACCTTTCTAATTTGCAAATATTACAATTTGTAAATATATATGTCGTAACAGATGTAAACGTTCACCATTGTTAATACATTACATTGTCAAATTCATTAATGCCATGACATATTTTTGGCCTTTATAAAATATGGAAATTATGGACTTATAACTGTATAGTGTGATTGTACCAGTAATTAATAGTTATATGGGTGTGCAAATGAATACGTTGATATAATCAGTGGTTATGAATAACAATGAAGGATTAGTTGACGATCGGATGTAATTCATACGTACGCATAGTTCTGGTTTCAGGTACTATTAATATAAAAGTGGAATATGAAATTCTTGCATTTTGTATTCATGAAACGGATAATATTCTCATTTCTTTTAACACTTACTATATGACCTTTTAATCGGATTACTAATTTCAATGATGACGGCTTCAACTTGTTTTATAATGTCAGTATCTTATTCATAAGGAAGATATTTTTCTCAATTTTGTTTACTTCTCTATGAGCTTTAATCACATTCATCTTTGTAACTATCTTATTATATTCACTAATAAATTTATTCACCTAACGACAAAATAACGATTTTCACTATTTTAAAATATTCCTATTAAAATGTACTAGTAATAGATAGTTTACAAATATGTTACTAAGACATGAACGGTAATCACATTATTTTACATCTAAAATTATTAGATAAGTGTTCATAAAATAACAAAATCTTGTCTGCTTTCTTAACCTTTATATGTATTATACATTAGAAACAAGTTTACGAATACATGAGCGATAATCGCTTTTCGATTAATAATATCTAAGGTATATCTAAATGCATTTGACATTAAAAAGTGCTTAATCACTTGACCTTTGCCATAGACAAAAACAATATTGGGAAAAATGCCTTTAAACGTTCTCGCGGTGAGACGTCCAAACTAGTAGTTGGTAATGGCGCCACATGTCGGACAGTGGACTGCTCGTACGTTCGGTGATGGGTCATAAGCACAGAATCTATGAAACATAGCTTCACAAGGACAGAAAACCCAACCCACTTCATCACCAGTTTCATAGGGCGGCTGTGCAAGATTACAGATGTCACACAAACGGTTCTCTTCATCTTCTTCTTCATTTTGGATGTCCCGTTCTGTTAACTCTTCTGAGTTTATAGAAACTACGTCATCCTCGTCGTTACTTAACGTTTCATCCAAATCGACATTTCCTCGATGCATCAACGGCGTTGTAAAGTTAGTCGACATGCTTGTTCCACTGTACAACTGCGGTTCAGCCTGTAAGTTCAACGGCGTTGGTGGTAGTCTACCGTGAAGTTCTTGATAAAACTGGCTATAAAGTGAACTGCATTGTTCCTCAGACAGTCGCCTGATTAACGCAATCACTGTATTCTTCATGCTCGGCTGGCTCAATTGCAATACGAGTCAGATAGGTATCAGAGTGTAACCACCTATCACAAATTGACTGTAAGTTCACATCAGTCATACTGTGTGTACAGTAAGCCTATATGTGCCGACATGGCAAAGCGTTTTCAAAGGAAAAGGTACAGGAGCAGCGCATGGAATCACGGTGTACATTGTAAGTCCCTGTTGCGTCCACAGCCGTGAATAAGTCAGCAGACATTACAAACTCCGTCAAAGGAGTGCGCAGGTGCCGCTTCAGTACTTGACATGCAGCTGGTGTCTGTCGTTCCTGAAGTCCACGCATTGCTGGCTCTTGGCCGATGTTGGCTTTTACCCGGCAATCTGATGTATATTTCTGTAATCTTGCTTCCATCCAATATCCAACGCGAAGTAGTACACTAAAAATAGATCTCAGCACAGGTGTTTTTCGACTCAGTTGATGCATCTTCAAAATTCGGTGACTTGTCTCAACAAAGTTCGTATTATTGAGTTGAAGTAGCGTTGCTGATGGTCGAAAAGCTGTAGACCATTTGTGTTTTCTCGCTAATAAGTGGTCTCTGACATATCGGGCAAACGTTCCGTCCGATATTTCGATCAAGGATAACACATTGTTAAAACTACAAAATAATGTTATGTTGCTTTTGATTTACCTTTCAACCGTTTGAGTAAACATCAGGCGAAAAAATAGTTGTATCACTTCTGATCGTACCCTCTACAATTAAGGTTACTGGGTTAATGTTAATGAACGAAACACTTACCCTCTTTATAACATTGCGAACAAGGTGGACGGGACACAAGATATGGTGAGCATTGGGATACACCTGCATGATGGCAGCAGCTATTGCAGGTGAATCATCTGTCACAATGCCTACCACCTGTCGACTGTTGGTTAACCGTTGGAAGAACGACAGGAATCGAGAAATCAAAGTCGATGTTTCGCGACTTATAAATGCAATACAAACGGGTATCGCCTTCAAATTCATATCAAGGGCTACGACCTGATATAAATAGATATTCTCGTTATTCGTCTTGTATGTTCCGTCCAAACCAATAACATCACCGAAACGGTCTGCAAAAATCTTTTGATCACCAGTGCTGAAGAAAAAGTACGATAGACAGTTCTCATCGTCTAATTCGTATTCGCATCGCCCACCCAAATATGTTATGTGCGCTTTCAATTTCCCGTAATCACCTATCGTTTACATTATAAATTGGCAAATGGCTTACCAGGAATGTTCGCCTGTGAGAACACTTTGTACCGCATATTATAGATATCTTGATCAGTCAGTAGTTTCCCATAAGAATGGTAAGCATAATTCTTAATGTGGAATGAAACAGTACCAGATATTAGCAGCGGTCGCACATTTTCAAACTGGGCCTCTGTTAACCTGCGCACCCATGAATTTCCTTGGTACCTTAGGGAATTGCACTCGTGATTGTGATGCACATTCCCACGTACAACAGTCCAGTAGCCGTCGATAATCTTACAATACATGAAGGCCGGACATTGAGTGTTCATGGAAGTCCTTCATGACAAAAACTGTTAATAACATTTATAAAATTACCTCCTCCGTCTAATCCGCTGTGACGAACCGCTAGATGTTATACGGCCATGTCTCCAGCACACAAATTTAATGTACGAGTTTTCATTTCTGCACAAATGCGAATCTCGAACTACATAATGACAGTAAGTTGATCTTTCATAATTTGTGATAGCGGACTTCAACGCTTCAATCGATGGGAACGCAACGAGAAACAACGTTGTCAAAAAGACTTCCTCTATTTCTGTTACGTGAGAAACAACAGCGCTTGTACTAGGCACGTTACTGTCCTCCATAATGATGATTAAAATGTACTTCGTCGACAAGTACTGATGTTTTATAGGAATCCGACAAAACATAACTAACAAATTAAAAACGAACTTCAAAACTAGCCATTTCATTGGACGAAACGGGATGAAAAATATTGCAATTTTGGGTTGAAAAAACATTTTTAAAAAGGGTGGGTGGGGTTTTTTTAAAAAAAATTACCGTGGGGCAAATGAATTTCATTGAGAGAAGTAGGATTAAGCATTATATGGAACGCTTCAGCTACCCTCCTTTCTTTGTAGTTGGAAAAGCCTTTTTGCAATATTTTGATGCTTTTAAAATCAATTTGGTGGTTTTTGAAAATGGTATGAACTGCTATTGCCGATTTAATTTGAAGTTGATCCAATTCTACAGGATTGTTGGGAGGTTTCTGTGTGTACCTAATATGTTCTTTGGCTCTAGTCAAGATTTCGCGGGATGACTCTCCAATATAGAAGGCATCACAATCGATACAACCTAATTTGTAGAAGCAGTTCTGTGTGGACATGAACGGGATTTTTTCTTTTAGGCGAACTAATGTATTTCGTAGTGTGTTCGTTGTTCTGTAATATACTTTAATTCTGTGATGTTTTAAGATTATTTGCAGTTCTTCTGTTGTGCCGTGACGGAATGGTAGAACTGCAGTACCAATCCGTGGCATTTCATTTGAATCATTATTATGACGTAATAAACTGTCTTGTTTTAATATACTGCTAATAATCTTCATAGGAAAATTATTAAATTGTAAGGTGCTAATTACATTCTTTTGTTCTTTTTGTTTGTTTTCCTCTGATCTGATGATCTTGTTAGGCCTTCTAAAAAGATTTGATGCTAGCGAGATCTTAGCACTGAAAGGATGTGCTGAATGGAAGTCAATATAACGGTTTGAGTGCGTAGGTTTTTGGTAGATGGATAGGTTTAGAGTTCCATTTGGATTTCTTTTAACTAAGCGATCGAGGAATGGTAGCTCACTACGTTCATTTTCATTCGTGAATTTGATGTGCGATGAAAGTGTATTTATTCGTTTTGAAAAAGATCTTAGATGAGTCTTTTTTAAAACAACAAATGTATCGTCTACATATCTAAGCCAAATTCGTGGTATAATGTTGTGGGCGAAGATATTTGATTCTATGTATGCCATAAAAAGGTTGGCTACAATCGGGGACACGGGGGATCCCATTGCTACACCGTTAGTTTGTTTGTATAAAATACCGTTAAAAGTAAATAGGGTTGAATTTAAGCAGAGTTTTAGCGATCTCATGATTAGACTGATGGTTGGAAATGTTTTATGGTATGACTTAGAATCGGTCATAATGATTCAAGTACATCTACTTTTCGTCTTTGCATAGATCCTAAGTTAAAAATTATTTTAGTCCTTATTTTCAGAGAATTTATTCTTCTCAAGTCATATTCTTTAGACCTTAGTGTTTTTTATTCTATCACTGATACGAATATAACTTTTATTATCTTAAAATATTATCTTTGTAATTTCATCTTGCTGTGCTGATATGATTTAATCAGTTAAACGTATTCATATGTCCCGGATTCTACGTTACATTGATTGTAAAATAATTAGTTCCTGTTTTAATGAAAAAAATATCAATCTCTTTTCGTATTGTATAACTTATTTATAGATTTCATCCGGCAGTATATTTGGAATTGAAGAAAATCGCTTTGTTTATAGAAATGTTTTAGTTGGTTCACGTGTTGTTGCACGTTTCCGTATAGCTAATCGAAGTAATGTACCTGCAGATGTTTCATTTGAAGTTTGTGCAGTCGGAACAGTTAGTCCTAATCAACCAAATGGACGTTCAAGTAGCCGAAGTAGTCAATCTACTAGTTGTGATTCGTTTGAAGTGATACCAGATAAAGCTCAGATAGAACCACATTCATCTAGTTATGCAAATGTAACGTTTTGTCCAACATCTATGCAAGTGAGTTAATCACTAGGCAGAACTTTATTGTTTTTCATTGAAAATGTATATTTTAACGTAAATTTATACTTAGGATTGTTTTAAGATATCGAAAGCCAAACCAAGATATGATATCAGTCTATGAATCAGGTGCATCTACCGTTTATCTTCTCACAAATTTTAGGCTTCTAAATTAGTCACAATTTTTTTAAATTTCACTAATTTGTATTTTCTTCTCGAATTGTATCTTCGATATCTAATCTTGTCTATTACCACTAATACTATTACTTTTAAACCCTGTAATTGGACGAGATTCAACCTGATTATTTTGGCCAATCAGCATCCAGATTGATCGTCGGTGTTCTTGGAAGTCATTGGTTGTTAATTGGTCACAGTATTTCTCATTACCCTGCTGATTCAGAAAATGACTATCTTTCCCGATCAATTTCAACTACTACTTGATCGCCAGCAGCAGCGTTTCAGAGAGAGCCAGTTGAATGTTTTGGACAATTTACGCACGCGACTGCTAAATCTCCCGTGTTTCGGAGATGTGAAAGAAATTGATGAATTAATTTCTCACTTGCACACTGAACTCGAAAATGACTGCAGGACGTATGAATATGAAAACAAAAGCCTCTATGAATCCCTGATGATCATTAATGCAAACGAGGCAGTCACTCATGATCCGTCCAGCGATCCAGAAATGTCCAATTCAGAAGCATGCCCTGTCGTGGGTTCAAATCCCACTGTGCCCGAAACATGTACAGACAGTGAGGCATCCAGCTCACAAGAAGAACCCATCGTGCCAGAAAATGTGTCTCATGCATCAAATAATGGTCAGAAATCTAATACAAATTTCAAAGATGCTGTTTATTTTAGTGATCTATTATCCATTGATGGAATTTTGAAGAGGTCTGATGAATATGTTTCACAAGAATCAAACCTTAATGACCTCATATCTAGTGTCGCTGATCCTCATCATCTAGTCGGTTCTGCTGGACCCTCTACCCAATGCGGGAAATATGCTTTAAATAGAATCAGACTAACTGTTACTTGGGTATGTGAGGACCTAACATTATTTCGTGGAGGAGGACGGACGCAGAAAATTTTAAAATCCGGATATCAACTCCGGATCTTGAAAAAAAAGGGAGGTGTTATGGGTGCTGAGGAATTATGTGTCAATCATTATCATGTTAAGTCTAATGATGTCCTTGAACGTTAAATGAACGTTTCCTATTGGCCGTTATTTATTTCACTCGTTAAATATTGTGTAAATGTTGTTTTCTGTTTTATGGTACGATGTGGTCTGTTTGGTTAGTATATAAATAGAGTATGTCTGAAATATAATGATTCATAACTCAGAGGCTGTGACTTGCGTTCTAGACTCAACTGGCTGAGCTAGCCAGGGAAGCGGGACCAGTCAGGGCACTAGGTCGTTCACTACGTGTTTTCCGTGCCACTGTAATCGATCGATAAATACACTGCTCCATTTAACCTGCAGTCCACCCGTTACAACAATTACTACGTCTAACCTTGTGGTATTCGACCAGACAATTTCATCTCTGTGCTAATGTGGACCACAGCTTAAACCTGTGTACACATGTACCAGGTTTAGTATTGAATTTTACCGACCATTTAAAAGTGAGTGGTTGACACTGAAGTAAGATTACGCGTTACTTAGTGTCTTGGGTCTATTAACTTATTTCTTTTTGATATTTCATGATAAAAAACTTAACTTTAATACGGATGATTTTTCTAGAAATTCAATGCATTCACTTCTTTATACTTTGTTAAATGTTCCAGCTTTACACAGCAACATTTAATGTATATGTAGACAATAAACTATCTCCAAGTACCATAGTTACTTCAGGTCGAGGAAGCACTAGTTCCAGTACAAAACGTTCTTCAAATCCGCCTGTTCTTACTTTTGAATTATATGGTGAAGGAAATCTACCACAAATAAGTGTTTTACAACCAAAACTTCGCAATCGTGCTGGCCAAACAATGTGCGTGTTTAAACGCATTCAAGTTGGTAAAATATCAAGTCAGACATTGTCTCTTCAGAATAATGGATTATTGAATAGTCGAGTACGTATTTTTTTCCGGGAAATCTAACCTTATTTTCATTGTGCATTCCGTTCTTTATTAAAATAGCCTTGATAACTGTATGTAGCATACTGTGGGATGGATTTTATAAATATGAATGGACATTTGATTGATACAAACAAGTCGAGAAAAATATAGGATGCTTATAGTAGATCCTTACTTGGTGATTTTCTTAGTAGCTGGTATTGATCTAGCTAGTGTTGATTGGATTGTTTTTTGGCCATCATAATGTCTATCTCATTTCCCATATCTACTTCAACTCTAAGTCTAGACTTAAACTGCAGCACTGATATATTCTATCTTAATTTATTTATAGTGAAACTTCATCAATTGAAATAGGTGAAACACGTGTTACGTATACCCAACCACCAACTGCTCCGACGTGCAATGTTCAATGGTATAGGAGCAGGTTGGAAGAAAGCTAGGGGCGGCCAGACCAAAACATGGCACAAATACATGAAGTCACTGACAGGTGGACTGAACCATGTTAGTAGGTGTAGACTACCTGGTTCCGGGCATCCGCCAGATGAGAGCGATCGATGGTTAGAGACCTTAAATCACATGGTTCGAAATCATTTGCAATGGCTCAGGTGCATCCACTCTTTGTATTCTCCTAAATTCTAATCTTCTGAATTCTTCATCACCCCATTCTTTTTCTCTTTCCAAGTTTATTTCACTGGATTATACTCGTTGAATAACATCTTCAAACCCTAATGTTTCCGATTACTGCTTATACTCTTACCGCCTCTACCACTATGGGATTTGAATTGAGAACTGCATGTCTGTGCTAATGTGGTATGGCAACTCGAACTGATGTACGTACGTACGAGGTTTTACATTGTTACTGAATGAATGACTGAGTTCCATAAACGTTTATGAAAAATTTGTAAAGTTAACGTTTTTAAAATTTTCTTTTGTTTAAATTCACTTGGTATTGTTTACTTGAATCTTCCCATTGGTGTTTAGGACTGAAATTGATCAGTCTCTTATTGGCACATATGTATACTGTGTGTATTGCCTCGATATTGCTTTAGTTTACAAGCATTCTAAGCAAAGATGGGTAATGGCTAGCGGTGGAATCTATGGCTCAAGTACATGCAGCCGACGAGTTCCAAATAGGACAAAACGCGCGTTTTGGATCCCACTACTAGCTACTATCCATCTTTTCTTAGAATGCTTGTGAATTTCTTTTGTTTGTTTAGATAACTTTACTGTTTATAGTCATTTTGTTTTTAAATGGTTTATTATTTTACAATTGATCTACGACTGGATAATGGGTAATATCACGTTTTCAGCATTTAAAGCAGATAGAATTCTGTCTATCAATGAGGCCATTAATTTGAGTTACTGTTGCAGGCAGTTGGGAGGAAATCCTGAACCCACGTTTATTGTTAGGGATAAGTGTAGATCACCGCCAACCACTTAACATAAATCCTTTTTTAGGTTTCTAATTTTACCTTTCCGTTAGGTGATTTGTCGGAGATAATTCGTATTCGAGACATATCCCATCATAGACCAGTATAATCTACTGAATCTCTGGGAAACTTATAAACGATTCAATAATCCTTTCGTTAAAATTCTTCACTAGTGTACAACGGAAATATCACATGGAATTGAACCTTAAAGCTTCTCAACCCGTGATGAACATACTACTATGGATATGCTGAGCTGAATTTCAGTGGTCTACGTTTTCCATCTCTGGTTCACTTATTAATCGTATATATATATATAATATCTAACAGAACTAACTATATATTATATACCTTACAGAATAGAGTATTGCAACGGTAAACTACGAATACTTAAGGTACCTTTATGTCCACTGGAAAAATTAGTTGCGCTCTGGACACAGGAGTTTTATAGTGTTTGAAGATATAGACATACTTTTAAGTCTCAGTGTGAACATCGACACTGAAAAGCTTGTACATCTGGCTAAAGATTCTTAAATAGGACCGAACATGCATCGTTGATTGTAGTACCAGGCGCATACCAAATTAAAAATATACTTTACATTCTAGAAATAATTTATCTTTCTACTGCTAGCCATTTTTTTATTTTGATTACTCACAGATGAATTAATAGGATTATTATTGGAATCACTGATTATTATGTCGCAATTAACCATTATTTGGTATTTTTAATATTTTAGTTGAACATTGATCTCATTGATCCAGAAGGGGTGTTTTTATTGAAGCCACAATCGAACAATGGTTCCTTACTGTTTTACAATCCCCCAGACATGTCGGCTGATTGTACTAGTGAATCATGTAGGATTAAAACGATTACAAGTTTCTTATTGATTTTGTTTTATAAACTTATGTATATCACCGAACATCGATTCTATTTTTCTTTGAAATATTTTACATAACAGTTTTTTTAATATCTGTTTCCTCGACATATCGAAATAATTGTCTTAGATTGAAAATTTTCTGTCGTATGTATTAGGATAGATCATAGTGGTACAGAAGTATTAAGTCTTTTTCTTGCCCTAGACTTTGGGTCCCTGTATTCCTTTCCACTCTGTCTTTTTGTAAACCTCTACGTTAATTATGACTGACTTTGATTGTTGGCAAGTTGTCTTGTACAGGTCATTGTGAGAAAATTATGTGACCACCAACTACAGATCTGTGTAATGACCAGAATTTTATGAGGTTTCAATTACTACTATCACTTCACAAAATTAAAGAGATAACAAACATTGTTTTTAATGAAGATGATAACTTCAAACTAATGATACAACACTATGTAAATTCATTTAGTATTGTTTGTGTGAATCTTGGCATTGATGTTAAGAACTGCAACTGGTCAGTCTATCGGGACACGGTAGCTAAGTGAATAACGAGATAGCGTTTGAAAAGAACAGTGCTGGATTAGAGCCCCACAGTGAACAATAACTCTGGGATGCAGGGATATCCAGTTGACAAGTCCCAAATAGGACGAAACGCGCATCCTGGATCACACTACTAGCCACTATTCATCATTGCTTATAAGAACACTACGTAATTTATAAATCTGTTGATCATTACACTGTTCTCTTAATCAAGAATATAATTGTAGCTATAAGCTAATGTGTACATCGTAAGCCCACACTGAACAAACAAAATAGAAAGTTAAATTTTAATCGTAAATCACTAACAAAGTTTGATTTTAAAAAAACAACAATACGATATTTATAATTCATCATTGATTCCTCGTATCATTCGATTCAGTCGATAAACTAACCATGGATAATAAAACACTGTTATTGTATTGCTTTATCAACATATCATGAATGTAAAATATCCAACTTCAGGAAGCATAACCGTTCATGCAATTGAACAAGCTGATAAATTATACAACAGGTGCTATATTTATTAACAGATTACAGGCACACCTTGCTGACAAGTGCCAAGTAGCACGAAATCTGGGTCCAGGGTTTCCTGTTCAACTACCTCCAACCACCATCTAAGTAGATTTTTGTTGAATTTAAACAGATTTTATTATTTCAATGTTTCATTCAAGAATATCTTTCCTAGGAGATAAAAGAATTCTTAGTATCCAAATCATCAAAAATAATTCTTCATTGCTTTTTTTTTGTTTTCTTTTCAAATCATTTCTTAGCTGGTAATGATGAATTATCTATAGCTAAACAATCATATTTAATTGGTTTATTATTAAAACCTAAACATCAATTTAATTTAACAATTTCTTATAAACCAAATAAACGTAATATTAAAAACTATGGACAAATTCAATTAATAGTAGTAAATAATGAATATGAAGATACATTAATTGAATTAATTGGTGAATCATTAAATGATGAAGTATGTATTGAAAATGTACCACAATTAGATAATGACAAATATTTATGTATACAAAATGCATTAAAACGAATAGTTTCTGTATCGAAATTAACATTAGACGATATGGATTGTGGTAGGTTTTTTTTTAAATCCTTTTTTTGTCGTTGTTTTCGTTTCAATTCTTATTATGTATAAAGTTTTGATCTATTATAATGATTTTCGATTGAGATCATGAATCGAGTGATGTTAGACAATCACTGAAAAACTGGAAACACTGGACGGCCATTTCATTTTAGTAGTATGAGACTCTTCAGCAGTGCGCATTCACGATCCTTCTGAGGAATCCCATAATAGGACGGAACGATCGTCCAGTGCTTCCAGGTTTCCAATGGTTGTCTAACATCAAATGGTTCGTGATCTCAATCAAGAAACTTAATAATATCCACAACCCCTATACTGATAGTGATGATTATTGTTTTTTTTTCTTTAAACATCCATCTTAAAATCATTAACTCACGCACGTCGAAATTATATTACTTCATTTAAAGTTGATGAGAAATCTTGATATAAAATCAATTCCAGTTTAGTTTATAATTCCTATTATTATTACTTTTGTTCCTGATTTACTGAACGAATCGAACGAATGGTACTTATGCTTAGATGATTATTTGTTCAACGGTTACTGATTGAGTTCTCCAGTCTATATTATATTATAAGTAGTATGATTTATTTCACTATACTGACTAGATAATATACTTATTATTTGCTGTTGGTCCTATGAATACTGAAGATATAGTAGCCATTGTTATTTGTAAGTAGGTTGGTCTTTGTTTTTGTTCCAGATAAGTAAGTGACATTAATTTTGTATAACATTATTGAGGAAAAATGTTCATTATCAGCATAGGGTTGTGGAGTCGATTGAATTTTAATTGAGATCATGAACCGATCGATGCTAGATCACCCTTGAAAATCTAGACGCACTGGAAGGCATAGCATGGGACACCTCAGATGTGCGCATCCACGATCTTGAAAGAGAGGCTCGAACCCATGACCTTCGGTGTCGCAAGCGGACGCTTAACCTTCAATCAAACGGCTGTCCAGTGCTCCCAGTTTTCAATGGCAATCTAACATTCATCGGTTCATGATCTCAAATGAAACTAGACAATTTCCAAAACGCTGTACTGATAATTATTATGTGCTCACTAGTGATTAGCTTCGAAAAGTAATTGTCAGAGTTCTAGTGAGAAGCCGTGACCAGCGGAGTTGAGCCGTGTCAGGTGTGAGGCAGTTACTCACTGAGGTTGGTCACGCAATATCGTGAAAAATGTTCAGCCAGATTATTTAACAATCTAAATACATTCGGACAATCGTTTTTTGTTTTTTCCCTAAAATATACCAGGATCTTTGTTCGAGTGATTTGTTGTCAGATGATGTACTGGCATTACTGTAAACTTTGAATATGACCTCCTGAAGAGTCCAAAACCAACTCGATTCATTACGGAAATCATAAATTTATAATTTTCCTCAACTACTCTAACTCAATATAACGTATTGTTTAAATTAACACTAAATTTTCTTTAATTTATAGTTTTAATTTTGCTTTATAAACAATTACAGATCCTAATCAAGATGAGATTCAAACTACGTCAGGTAACTAATCTTTACTCTTTTCGTAAATCTAATGGTAAACAATTGTTATTGGTTATTTGTTTAATATTTGATCACAGTAAAAAACGTGGTTTACTGAACAATCAATTAATTACTTTCATCAGATAAATCTCGAGACTGATAGGTCCTGGGTTCGTATCTCGCGAGGCGGGATCGTGAATGCGCACTGCTGAGGAGTCCCACAATTGGACGAAACGACCGTCCAGTGCTTCTAAGTTTTGCATGGTGGTCTAGTTTCAATTGGCTCATAATCTCAACTATTGAAATTTTCGACTAGTTTCCGAAACAAATATTCATTGTATTTTATAAGGATAGAAATATGTACTTTAGTCTATTACAAATACTTTACTCATTGCTCCTATTGTTAACTTTAATTACATATAATATCTAGTTCAGCTAGAAGAAGAACCTCACTATATTTATCTTTATAAGCAATATTATTATAAACAAAAAGAAACGTTAAGCATCGTATTCATGATTCATAAACAAGGGTGTTTTGGCTGAACATTCAACTCCTTACAATCTACATTTAGATAATTTTACAAATCTTGAAATAATAGATGGATAAAAGTAGCTGGCAGAAATCCATAAACGTAACACTTCAGCTTGTCCATTCAATTTCGAGCCAAGTAAACTTCGACATTAAACTGTTTAATTTCTGATTCAAAGGAATTAAAACAGAAGAGTAAAAGTTCTCAAAATGCATTTATTTTTGTAGTGAACGAGAACACAAGTGTGGACAACCAAATGTATTTGAATACAAAATTACAGAACATTCTAGTAAAATCTGAGAACCATACAGTAAATACTTAATTTGCAAAATGTTAATCAATCGTCTCAGACTTCACTGTTCCTTCATTTAATTCGCTATTTTCTTCTTCGATATTGTTCACATTCTGCCACCGGGCATTTCACTTTCGATTGGTGATACATATTACTTATATCTGTCGACATCAGTAGCACACACAATACTTTCACTGTATGATGTATTTTGTCTTTCGGAACTTGGAAAAATTCCTTCATACTAATCGGCCCAATACTCATTATGATTTTAACTCAATGAAACGTACTTCCAACTGAATGGTTGATTTTCATTTAAATGCATCATACTAAACAATAAGAGCATTTTAATTTTGATAAAGTTTGATATTACCAATTTTTCTGGTTAGCGTTTTTTTAGCGAGTTAGTTTTCTACGGGATGGGGTCGCTAACCACATGCCCAACCCTCCTCCTTCATCCGGGCTTGGGACTGTCAGTAGCCGCCGGAGGGACTCCAGGCGGAGTTTGAAATAGGAACAATATCGGGGCGGATTTGCATACATATAGCATACAATTCTCTTTGAGCCTAGCACACAACAATAGCATCACGCATTGTCCCATCGCCCTTGGCAGATCAGGCAACCCGAAAGTTACGAGAACACCACCAGGGCATACTACACGCTAGGTACCCCTGATATTACCACCAACTAAATAGTGTTTCCTCGGTATAGAGTTACAATCCGTTATTAAATTTGATATTTATTATATCACTAGGTCATTAAAACCTATTTAATTTGATTTAGTCCGTGCAATATTTTTTTATCGATATACATCTTTCAGCATTTGGGATTTAGTTAAAACATCGTTTATCATCCGTCTATGAGGTGATATGCTTGATCCAACCTATTAGTAACTTAGCAGAGCGACAAAGGTTCTAAACTAACAAGAAACATGAGTTTCATTGCAAAAGATGAATCTAAATGATGTTAAGAATGAATCCAGCGCCCCAGAACGTTTGATAATAAAGACTAAATAGTGAAGTTCATCTAAACTCTGACTAAACGTCACTAGGGTCCCCATTAATGAATATACATAGTTGTTTGATTAATGATGTAGATTGCTAATAAAAAAAGACCTTTGTAAAATTTGTTGAACACTAAGGATCATTGAAATACATATGCCACAATACGATTTATTATTCAAGCATCATGTATATTTATACAAATTATTGGAGAAAGTACGATAAGTAAAGTAGTCTTAAACTCATGCAAGGAAGTCCAACGAATTTCATTATCAAATAAGGGATTAATTTAATCCTATATAGACATTTACTTAAAATTAAATATCAGTTTACTAGATAACATTTAGTTCTTATTCACAAATAAATGATATTTACTAGTCGTTTCTTCGGATTTTTTCCCCCTAAATTAGCATTACAACATAACCATTTAGACTTTGGTGACTGTGGTCCAAATGAAACTATAACGCGTACAATAACAATCACTCATTGTGGCAAAGTTAAAGAGACAGAACCGACAAGTTTTCGTTTCAGTTGGCCAACTAATAATCCGATTCTTCAATTTCGACCATCTGAAGGTCATTTACATGTAAATCAATCTAGACGAATTGAAGTTACGTTCAAACCATCTGGTTCACCAATAACACTTAAATCTCAATGTATTAAATGTAACTTACATCGTATTGTTGTACCCGTTCCAGAGGGTTGTACGAAAGTAAGTTATTCATAATTATATATTTATACGTGCTTTGTCATACATATCTAATACCACACCTCAATAATATGTGAATGAATGCAAATAAAATTCTGAGGAGTATTAGTATGACTTATGGCCGTATACGGTGTTTGATTGTTGGTTGATTAATAAATGAAATTTTATGAACAGAAGAATGGCGAGAATAAATTGAACACGGTTTTTATGTAGAAACATAAATTTGATAAATTTGAACTGTGTGAACATAAAAGAAGAAAGGTTGTGTGTGTGTTACATCAGATCAAACTATAATGGAGATGATAACTGACCTATTGACCCTGAAGCTGAACAATTTATAAGAAGACGTTAACCTCTCTCTGTTGTATTCAAACCTCTGGGGTTTTGGAAATCCTAACGATCAACGCTCTTGTTGTTTGAAGAACATGATGCTTTAGCATTCTCCATTGATTATTTTAAATACAATAGACATGTTAGAACGTTTCAGTGTCTATTATGTCAAGCCCGCATGGGTTATTCTAGCTTTCGGATAGACCAGTTGCTTCATTCTTCGAGTCGCATTTTGACCTTGTTAACTATTCGCTTATCAGCCTATGTAATGTTGCCTACGTAATATGCGGAGTTAAATGAAAAATTTATGTTCATGGCATGTTCATACGACCAAACAGGAGTCAGATGGTGTGCCACTTAAAAGTGGTTACAAGCGTGAAAGTTCTTTCTTTAGAATTTGCTCTTCAGAGCAGTTATATCAATAAATGCCCCCGAATGCACTGGTACGTCCGAGGGTGGTGAGAGTCCGCTCTCCATCTCCAAATACTCTCACATGGCCAAGCTTATATAGCTACTAACAGGGAAGTCCTAATCACTATCATTTTGCAACGGGAGTGTTGTTAATAAAATTGAGGGGAAGAAAAGCGAATGTCCGATGCTTGTACCGAGTTGGTGGGTGTGGAGGACCCACTCAGGGGAGTTGCAAGACCCTGATTCCAAACCAATGGTGTACATGAACTCCAGGATCCTGAAGGAACATATGGCATGAGAACCTGCTGTTGGTCACCGGATACCATATGACTCCTCCTAACTTTGTTCCACTGCCTTATGGATTGGACCATTAGATCAAAGGCTCCGGGTGTGGCCCCCTAAGTAAACCACTTTTGTGGTTTAGGTACCTGAGCGATGTCCAAGCTCTCACACAAATCGAATGATGAGGTGTAACGCATACATATTTGGAGCCTCTTTGTACTAATGTTTGTGTGTCTAAACAAATAAATAAATATCAATCAATACCAAGAGACGAGGTTATTTTAGACATTTGATATGATCACTGAATTTCACAAAAATCTTTGAGTTTTGTTTTTAAGCATTATCTAGAATTCATTATCTCACCGGGAACACCAGCTTCAAATTAAAGGCACAGATGTGGTGATTTTATACTTACTTTTTAAACTACCTTTAACTTCTATGTTTTTTACTGATATCAGTATTTGTGAGCAAACCATTTACATTGTACATCATGAACTGAGCTTAGTTAGTAAATAAGAACTTTCGTCTAAATTTAAACGAATAGTTTCACAATATTTGGGCGCCGAGTTAATGTGAGTCATTAAAGAGGAAAAATGTATTTGTAAAATCTCAGCGAAAGAACTTGAAATAAATCCAACATTTCGCCTGGCAATCTGGTCCAAGCTTTTTCAAGGAAAATATAATCAAACAACAAAATTATCGGTTAAGATACGTAGATGACACCTTTGTCATTATAGAACGAGATGTTTTAGACGAACTATTTCAACGTGTCAACAGCATCTATGACAAAATCGAGTTCACTAAAGAGTTGGAATCTCCTGAACACAAATTACCTTTTCTAGACTGCTTGGTTGAAAGGAAGTATAATGGTTGTTTAAAAATTAGTACTTTCCGGAAGCTGACATATTCAGGGAAATATCTAGATTTTAAGTCTGTGCATCCACACTCTACCAAAGTGACAGTAGCCAAAAATTTGATCACCAGAGTCAAAAAGCTTGTCACTGAACCAAATGATGTAAAAATGGAAATGAATTTAATTGTATCTACGCTAATGGTGAATAATTATCCGAAGAGTTTTATTAAAAGAATAGTTAAGAATGAAGAACAAAATGGTATTATTAAAAAAAGAGTTAAACAAAAAGAATGGATAACACAGTTGTGTTACCATACCGTAAAGGTATTTCAGAAGAGATCAGAATGATTCTAACTCTTCAAAATATAAGAGTATTCTTTCGAACAAACAATACTCTAAGATCAAAACTAGTAAGAATCAAAGATCCAATACACAAGGATGAACAACAGAATTGTGTTTATGAAATCAAATGTAATGACTGTAATGCAACGTATGTACTTGAAACATCAAGGCAACTGAATGTGAGGGTGAAGGGACACAAACCGTGCTTAGAGCACATTCATAAATCCTCAGATGATGTAAGAAACGTTGAGAACAAATCAGCGATAGCATTACACTCGATTGAATCGGGTCATACAGTTGATTTCCATGGCGCAAGAATCATTCAAAAAGGCTTTAATTCTTACGAAGAACGACTAACAGCTGAACCCCTACATATATGGGCTAATTCAAACAGTATTAATAGGAGAGATAGAGTACAACTGGCTGTTCCATTAATAAGTAAACCTGAACTCCTTATTCCATTTGATCTGTCTATATCATATTAACTTATCAACGGTTTCAAATCAGTTAGCTTATCTGAATATGATAAACAATTGACTGGAACATTAAAATAACACAAACTTTCAATTACAAATACATTCCTCTTTGAATTCAGTCTTTTATCTTGTTTACTTATTTATTTATCTTCATTTAATGCATGCTGTGACATTTTTGGTTCATTCCATATATAAAATGATATGGTTTCTTAATATACACAGACCGAGGACAATATATAGTTGGATGAAATTTCTTCTCACATCACTTACGTATACACACAATCCGTTATCTTAACACTTTTTGTTTCATACCATGTGTCTCTTACACATTAATGTAAATACCTACTTTAAACATTGTTCACGTTGATTGGATGATTTATTCAGTATACAGTAAACCAGAGAACCATATACCTATTTATATTCGATAATTTTGTTGCTTGATTATATTTTCCTTGAAAAAGCTTGGACCAGATTGCCAGGCGAAACGTTGGATTGACTTCAAGTTCTTTCGCTGAGATTTTACAAATACAACATTCTTCCTCTTTAATGAGCTTACTTAGATAATTATTGACAATCAGAAAGCACCGATTAGCTATTCCGTTTATTTGTAATTTGAAATCTGAATAAGATTTTATTTGCTTAGTTATCTGTGTAAATTATTTGATTTCTTTTTTATACTCATCCTGTCAGGCTGTTGACTGGGATGATACAAAACAAGTTATTCGTTGGGTTGATGTACCTGGAGACAAGTAAGTTGATAATTTTTCTACAAAATACTTTTGAATTTATATTAGTGTTAAAAGGGTTTATTTCTGATGTCAATATATTTTTTGTTAACGATACGTAAAATCTGAAGAATTGGTAGTATTGGCCTAAAAGCCTCAACCGCGTGAAAATTAGTACACTTGACTACGACACAGTAAATGTGATTCTGGTGAATCCTACCAATGCACAATCCTAAACTCCTGAATATCACACGATAAAGAGATAGAGAAAGAGAGGATGAAGTTTGAATGTTAAGTTTAATTACCAAAACCGAATAACAATGTTTACAACTCACACATATACATGTATATCCGAACTGACCTAAAGAGAGGTGTATGAGTAAATAAACAGTCCATTCATAGTACACCCGTCACACTTTGATTTCTCACTTACTATATACATTTACAAGATGTGATCGATCAAATTTCTGTCCACTATAACTTGTCTAACCTTCCTAATCATGCGAATTTATAGTTCATTACTGTTTCACATTAATTTATGTATTTTAGCTATGTAAATAGTTATTATAAGACATAATTACCTATGTCCATTTTCATGAATATAATTTTCATATAATTTCAGAACGAATGGACCAGATTCTTCAAATCGTTCAATACCAACAACAACAACAACAACAACGACGGGAACAGTAAACTCACTGAAACCAACAAATCATATTCAAACAGTAATAATAAGTTCAGATAATTTACAAGAACGAAATATTCATATGAATTGTAATTATGGTTCATCTAATGAAATAATTTGTCGTAAACAAAAATTAATTGAAATTGAACCAGAACCTCATTATGAAGAAGTATTCGATCAATCAGATCCTAAATCAATAGAATTATTCATATCTGCTATAGCTGATTTTGTTCAATTTCGTTGTGATCCAAATAGAATTGATTTTAAAGAAACAAATATTTTTGAAAAACGAATATACAGGTTTGTTTATTGATAATGGTAAATAGTGAAATGTATTGAAAAGTATATATTTCGATAAACTTTATGAAAGTCAACATCTCATTCTATTCTGTAGTGTTGAGATTGTACTGCACTAATATGAATTTCAATTATTATTACTTGTTTGTAGTACTCTATATATAAAATCTTATCCATAGGATCCATGTTGTTATAACTTGTTGTCTTGTGCCCTATTAATATATAACGTAATGATACTGACAATTAGAGAACAGTAATTTATCGACCGGACCAATAACTCATAAAACCCGTACGAGTAGTCTAGAGTCCTTATCGATCCTTCTTCCTGCCTAGCACTCTCTATTGAGTCCAGAACACCAATCACAGCCTCTGCGATATGAATCATTACTTTTCAAACATACTGGGTTTATATACCAATCAAACAGATCACATTATACCATAAAATCGGAAACAACATTTGTACAAGATTTAATCAAAAGTGGCTGTAAATGTGGGAGATAGTAACTGATAGACTGGGCGTAACTCAAGAATGGTAAATGGTATAATAATAGTCCATAGGTTAAAATAAAGCTTATGATAAGAGGAACATGAATATGCACAGTTTAGCTACTTACTAATTGTACAATAAAAATATATGTATTATATTGGTCCATAAATAGTTCCCAAAAGTTATCGTTCATAATTCTCGTCGGGATATAACATTTATATTAGAATTGGTTCAAATTAGAAACACGTACTTTCGTTAAGTTCTACTCAATTCCCAGTAATAAAAACTTATTTCACTGTAAAATTCAAACGTAATTCTCTTAATGAGAAGCATTCATCAATGGATCTCTCACATATACTGGTGTGATCGGATAAAAGGGTGATATCATTTTAGGTCGCTGTCTCCATCTCAATTCAGCATGAATTTTTTCCAAGTGTAAACGTCTATCCAGTTTGATCATTATATTCTTTACTGAATGTGAACTTCGTACGTAATATACAATAACTTTGTGTATTTTTTTCTATTTAACTAATCATCAAATGTATGTAAAATCATTATATGAATGAGTGCATTTTATTTTAGCCATGACATGTTTAAGGGTTGTGTCGTTGGATAATTAATAAATCGCCATATGCATCAGTCTTTTGTATTGTGTAATTGCAGCAGTTGCCTGTTTCAATTATAAGTAATAGGATCGAGGATACAACGTATACACTTTAATATCTTTATAAACGTCAAAATAAGCGTTATCCCTAACAGATATCCTTATTGGATGCCGGCTCAGTGGTCTAGAGGTTAAGCGCTCACACGCGAGACTGACAGGTCCTGGGTTTGAATCCCGCGATGCGCACTGTTGAGGAGTTCCACAATTGAACGAAACGGCCGTCCAGCACTTCGGAGTTTTCCATGGTGGTCTAGTTTCAATTGACTCATGATCTCAACCATTGAAATTACTACTTTATCCACAAAAAACCCTTTTGATATAAATATCTTTGTATCTCTTGTATCATACAGATTTGAATTATTTAATCAAGGATTAATTACATTACATTTTAAATGGTCAATTCATATGATAAGTTCAATGACTGAAAATGAGTCAAATAAAAATACTAATATTAATGAATGTCGGAGCACTGATGAAAATCAAAATGAACACTGGGATAAATCACTTATTCCATTCAAAGTTTATCCAATTGAAGGTTGTATACTACCTGGAAGATCACAATTTATTGAGGTAAATATTTATGGTTGTTTGTAATGGTTGATATTCAAGGTTGTATTTGATAGATTTAGTTTAGGTGAGATCACGTGTGTGGCATGTGGCTTCAAGTTCATTACATATTGTATAATGGTTAGAAGTGAAATCCAGAACATACGTTTCTTCTTATTTGAGACTCAACAAACGGATGTATTCGCAGCCTGTTGTTGTGATTCTTCAAAATAAGACTTCGATCTATGACGCTGGCCTAAAATGTCAGTTAATTAGTGATGATTAAACAAATTATGCACTTATACATATTAATATACATTAGCGAGGCTTTAGAATTCATTATATGTAACAGCACTTAACATATAGCGATTTACCACATTTCCACATACTTTAAAATAATGCTTATCACATATTAATCCATTTATTGTTCTTCTAAATATCAGTTACTCAGGGATGGTACAATGAAAGTAAAAACTTAATCGGGTAGAAAATGAAGCTTAGTTGACTCCTCAGTCGATTCACTATTATAATAAATCATTATTATTAGCTTTATTCAATATAGAATTCCCATCACAAATTATTTCAACAAGTTTCCGTTTCTTATTTCTTGATCGATGCTGACGATAAATATTGAGCGGTCGCCAGTTAGATGTTATCAGTTCAGGACTCGACATCTTAATAATGTACATCCTTTTCGATGCATATTGACAACAGCCACGATATATCTGATTGGTCTATTTTGTAACTTGTACAGAGAAAGGTCGCAAACTTTTCACAAACGCACCTGACTTGGCTATACAATTACTTGACATAATATGTTAAAATAAACAAAAAAACACAGGCTTACTGAAATATCTAGATGGCAGAAACAGTAAGCTCAGATACTTAAGAAGGCCGCCCAGTTTCATTAACTAATGGATTCACTTTTTATAGTTTATATTCTCCTATCGTTGATTTGAAGGTCTGTAATTTGTCAGTTACTTTTTGATTGAGATCATGAACCGATTGATGTTAGGCCACCATTGGAAACCTGAAAGCACTGGACGGCCGTTTCATCCTATTGTGGGACTCTTTAGCAGTGTGCATCCACGATCCTGCTCGCGGGATTCAAACCCCGGGGACTTCAGTCTCGTGCGCGAACATTTAACCTCTACACCACTGCCGACATCCAACGATGTTAATGTCTACCCCCAACCAATCCGCGAGATCGCGCGACCACCTTTCAGTGTAATGAGGTAGATACCTGTCCCTACTCGACGCGGATTAGCTTCACTGGTCACGGCCTCTCACTAGAAGTCCGAGAATTCCCTCCCGAAGCTAGTCATTAGTGAGCACATGGTAATTATCAGTTTATGGGTTGTGGAGATTGTTAGGTTTTTGATTGTGATCATGAACTGGAGATCGTGAGAAGCCGTGACCAGTGGAGCTAATCCGTGTCGGGTAGAAACAGATGTTTACCCCAGTACAATGGAAGATGGTCGCGCAACTTCGTGGATTGGTTGAGGTTAGAAATTAACACCATTGGATGCCGGCTCAGTGGTCCAGTAGGTTAAACGTTCGCAAGCGAGACTGAAGCCCACGGGGTTTGAATCCCGCGAGTGGGATCGTGGATGCACACTGCTGAGGAGTCACACAATAGGACGAAACGGCCATCCAGTGCTTCCAGGTTTCCAATGATGGTCTAACATCAATTGGTTCGTGATCTCAATGAAAAACTTAACAATCTCCACAACCCTTAAACTGATCAGGCTCTATCGGAATTTGTGAATAATGGGTGGTTTGTCTGACTATATGGATTCAGTTACTTGACGGTCAACGCATCGGTGTTTATAATAAAAGAGATTAGGTTCTAGCCTCAATGTGAACATCAACAATGAGGTCCAGATACATCCAGTTAACTTGTTTGTTGTATGAGGAAACGCACATCCAGGGATCCACTTGCTCAACTGCTTCAACCCTAATAAAACTTGTTATTCATATTATTTTTATTTAGTCCTTTGTAGACAAGTAACATTAATATTCCCAAGGACGAAAGATTTTCCGACATTCGCTGGACAAAGTAACATTTTAATCATTAATTAACGTCAACTGAGGAACCACTAAAATAAAACGTTCCGTTCGAACCTTTTATAATGACGATAATCGAATGCTCACTTATGTCCAGTATTGAAGTAAATTCTTCGGATTCTGGTCAGAAACCATAAACAACTTTAACTCAGTTATACCACGGATGAGAAGAATCTTTCAATGGTTCTGGTCGATCATCATATTATTTAAAGCAAAAAAACGCATACCAACAGATTCCGACCCAGTAGTTTAACGATGACATCCTGGATTAAATGTTCACCGCTGTTGTGGATGTGAAGTAGAAGGAAGTCTCTAACGATGTGAATGATATACAGCTATTAATAACGCTTTGGTCCTAGAATCTCAAAACTGGTTCAAACGGAAGTCAAGAATTAAGGGTTCAAATGTCTGTTCGAATAGTTGTCGATGTGTCGAGGTGTATGTAATTTAAGCTGAATAGTTATCATAGGAGATGCACAGCGTGACGTACTTAAACATGATCTGGCGTGAATGTTTGACAGAACACCTTCAGCTAGAGGTGTGCTCAGTAAACAAAGAGGTCAATATCAATGTTGGAGGATTACAAAACTATTTGTTTCGGGAATTTATTCATTGCTACATCTCTGACTAGACCCTATCATTTCATGATAAACGTAACTTCAAATATTCATTTCTCTTTACATTCATTCAGTCTATTTTACTGTTTTATTATGCTAACTTCAGGTCACTTTTAGTCCACTTTTACTTGGTGAATTTGAAGCGCAGCTTACGAGTAAAATTGATAATTTAGCTCAACAATCATCCACTACAAATCGTAATCGACCAATTTTGACAGCTCCAATAATCACAATAACAGGAAAGTCAGAACATTCAATTCTACACTTTGATTTATGTGACTCAGATTATATCTCAAGTGGGAGAAGAAATCCAGAATTACCTGGACCAAATGGAACACCATTCGGTGAAAGCCTAGATCCATTTACTAGAGTTATTGAATTCAATACAATTGGTCTAGGCTTAAAATCTACTCGGTATGAAAAAAGTCGTTGGTTTTACTCATAAAATGATAAGCTGTTTTTTCTGCTGTTGTAATAAACATATGTCTAACTGTTTTAACTTATCACTCATAGGTTCGATTGTTTATTTCGATATTTGTGTTTTAGTTGCTTAATTACAGTTTTAAATGTCTGAGACAACGTGTTGACCAACTGATATATATATATATATATATATATATATATATATATATATATAAGCTCATAAATTATTCCTGGCATTTACCATTCGTATATTCTTCGTTAGAATATAACAAAACATACGATTATTGTTGTTATACGGATTGTTTAAACCTAGACTTATTCATCAGACTGACAGTCAGGAATAATCAATGTTATGTAGGTGTTTTCTAAATACTTTAATATATTTTGAATTATCACTCACAATGCATTAAAGATAATCGTCTAAGTTAACAGTGAATAACTGTAGATATCAGTGAATACAACAAATAGTCTCCTGTATACTATTCAGATGAGTATGATAAAGACGAACTGTGTGAATTCACTTTGTCAAATTAAATAATAACTGATTAGCTAATGCATTCCAAGTAAGGACCGAAGTCAGACAAGGCTACCTATTCTTCCCCTTTATCTTTCTTCTGGTGTTTGACTGGATTATGATGACCTCCACATTTGAGGAAAGCTCGGAACCAATTAGACGATTTGAACTTAGCAGATGACCTAGCCCTCCTATCCTATACACACGAAATTCAGATGGAGATAACTAGTGTAGCATCAGCCTCTGCATCAGTAGGCCTCAAAGGACAAAGCAAAATCTTCAAATGCAGCACAGAGAACACCAACCCAACCACACTTAATGGCGAAAATCTGGAAGATGTGGAATCCTTCACATACCTGGGAAGCATCGTCGGTGAACAAGGAGGATCGGATGCAGACATAAAGGTGAGGATTGGCAAAGCGACGGCGGCATTCCTACAAATGAAGAACATATGGAACTCAAAACAACTGTCAATCAATGTTAAAGTCACAATCTTCAATACGAACGTCAAGACAGTTCTACTGTACGGAGCTGAAACTTTAATAACAACTACAAAACCATAATCAAAAACCTACTAGCATTTATAAACAGTTGTCTACACAATATACTTGATATCCGTTGGTCAGATACCATCAGCAGCAGCCTACTATGTGAGAGAACAAATCAGCTTCCAATTGAAGAGGAAATTAGGAAAAGACTTTAGAGGTGGATAGGACATATACTACGAAAATCACCAAACTGCATCAAGAGGTAAGTGCTAACTTTGAATCCTGAAAGGAAACGAAAAAGAGGAATGCTAAAGAACACACTGCACCGAGAATTGGAAGCAGATATTAAAAGGATGAATAGCAATTGGAAAAGATTATTCAGGACAGAGTTCGATGGAGAATGCTGGTGGGTGCCCTGTGCTTCTCCACGAGGAGTAACAGGCGTAAGTAAGTAAGTAGGTAAGATTAGCGAGAAATAAAATTTACTGGTCAATCAAATATCTTTGTAAACACTGAGGTGATAATTTGAAATTCATCTGTATAGAATGAATTTTGCTTCCAATTATTTTCAACTACCGATTTCCAGTTTTAAACTATCTGTTACCTATTTATTTTATATACAGATACTTTTCAATTGTTAATACAACTAGAGAAGATTTTGAATTTATGATTATAAATGAAGATTCAATTAATGTTAAACAACCTCAATCAGTTAAATGTATTGAAGAAAAGGGGATTATCTTAGCTGGAAAAAAAGTTAATGTACGTTACTCGTGATGAATTAATTTATGGATATGCATCATTTTTCACATTTCTTGTGGGGGTAATTACAGTCGACGTACTCAAAGGCCCTTATCCTTACACTCTCGTGTACACGTATCAGGATGGCTAGAAAAATGCTTTACTGAATTTATTATTGGTTCCGTTCTTTCACACCTAATTGAGTATGAACATAACATCACAGTTGAAGATGCTTTCACAGTTGCATATCTAGTTCCTAGCAATTTACCAAAATGTTGAAGAATACGTTTGCTCTGTGTAGCCTAAGCAATTGGCGTCATTTCGAAGGAACTGAACCTCTGTATACAAAAAATATACATAACTTGGCTCACAATTCTTAGTTCCAATTTTGTCTCCCTTCATTTTGATTTGCACTCCCTTTCAAAACATGTTCCTTTTTCATAATTATCCAGTCGTCTTTCTTAGTTTACATTGTATCCTTATTGTTATTATCATTATTATCATCATCATAAAAACTACAATCACAGTGTATATCTTAAGAGTTTCGATCACGAAGAGATCTCAGCTAAACCACTATTGAAAACCTGGGAGCACTGGAAGATCGTTCTGTGCTTGCTCAAGACTCCTCAGCAATGCGCATCAACGACCCCGCACATGAGAACTAAATACAGGACTTCAGAACTTGCACCCAAAAGCTAAGCAACCAGACCACTGAGCCGAAATTCGAGTAAAAAGTCTTGGACTGGATTCTCACAAGAGGGGTTATTGAAACCTACTACTGAGAACGACCTTCAAGTTCTTTCAGTTTTCCAAAGGTGACCTAACTGAGATCACTTCATGATTTCAACTGTAAATGTTCAATAATCTTTACACATCCTCCACATTAGTTTCAAAATTGTACTACGTTTTTCACATTCAATTTTAACATACTGGTCATCAAATTAAAGTTTATAATTTCTTTTACCTCAATGGCACTATGTGATTTGTAGCATTTAAGATTCAATCGACTCAAAACTCCATATTCAATTAACAACATGGATTAATCAAACTTAAATATTTTGTCTGTTTTAACACAATAGTAATAATAATTTATTGTGTAGAGCCTGATTGAGTTTAGTGATAAGTAGAACCCCACCTATTAGCACTCAGGAAAGGTTCATTTACTATAAATCATACAAGTTAATATTTCTTGTCATATCAACTATACTTCTGAGATCCAGTAATGTTAGATAATAAATCAGGACTGATACATATTGATTGGGAGAAGAAAATAAGTGTTCAGTATATGGCACATAATGAATATCTACCATTAACAGTCTACTAATGAACATACTGTTCGTGAGTAAACAAGTTTGCAAATAATCGTATCAAGACATGTAAAAAACAAGTGAATAATTACTTTGTTTCAGTGATCCTTTTATTTGACTGTTTAACATTAAAGCTAAGAGAATGCCGTAAATTTCAATGAAATACATCACTTAATTATCAGTCTCATGTAATACAATCTTATATAGTATTGAAGATTTTGTGATCTCTGAGGTTGATGTAATGTTCATGAAACTGCTCTTTGACTCACACTTAGTGATGAACTGAAAAAATATCAGATGGGTTTTGTGGATATTATAGTAATTTCATGAGTCAGTTGAAGCTAGAGCACTATGAAAAACCTGGAAGCACTGGACGGCCGTTTCGTCCTATTGTGCGACTCCTCAGCAGTGCGCGTCCATGACCTCGCCCTCTGCGAGATTCAAACATAGGACCTACCGGTCTCGCGCGCGAGCACTTAACCACTAGACCAATGAGCCGGCATCCAATGGTGTTAATATCTAACTTCAACTAATCCACGAAATTGAGCGACCATCTTCTATTGTACTGAGGTAGACACCACCATTATCTTCAGTGAGTTAGTGTCTCGCAACAGACCTGGTTGAACTCCACTGGTCATTACTTGTCACTGAAAAAAAGGCCAAATAAATCATTCCACTTTTCCAACCTGCTCTTATACTCTGGTTAAAAAAAGCGTAACGATGTAGGTGGTTGCTTGTCATTTGTAACACACAAAACTCATACATGAATAAAGGTTTATGATTTCATTGAATGTTGAATATTAGTTTCATGCATTACCTGTTGATTTAAACAAAATGTCTGTATTATGACTGAGGTATGTGAAAACTATAAAATTTAATTTAATTTAGTAACTTAGTTGTTTATAATAAGTAAAATTTTACTTTTATTCATTAATTTGAAACAGATTGGATTTGAATACATTTCTTATCAACTTGGACTAATTGAATCGTTTTGGCGATTTGTTGTAAACAAATATGAATATAGTGTTCCATTACTTATTGTCGGTAATACAAGGGAACCAAATATACTATTTGATCAATCACATATTAACTTTAATGCTGTACTTGTTGGTCATCAAGTTGGTAAAACTGTCTTGTTAATTAATCAAGAAGCTTCAACGTCAATATCATCAACTACTTTCAATGACATATGTATGAATAATGAAGAACAATCCTCAAATATATTCGAGTTTGAATTTTTGAAGTCAAGTCTTCATAGTGCTGGAAAACAAGATTCGATTATTGTTGAACCGATGTCTGGTTATATTCCACCCGGTACAAAGTATGTCATTGACGTTACTTCCTACTGGTTTTTATCAATTTCATCCTTAAAATGTATATCATTCTGGAAAAGGTTTATATTATGGGCAGAAAAGCATTCAAAACCAGATGTCACTAGACGTCTATTTCGTCCTGTTCAAGACCCCTCGGTGTTGAAGATCCAGGACACTAGCTGTTGCCGTGAACACAATACTTTTAGATCAACGGGTTAAAAATATGCCGTCCTTGCTACCAGCTTTAGTTACTTCAAGATACCGTGCAATAATCACTCAATACCACCGGTGAATTAACGTTCTATTTCTGACTTAGTACTGTTCAATAGTATCGATTAAAAAACCAAAAATCTATGTAGATGAAGGTATTACACTGGTCCCATTTTTTCCGAGTATATGGAGATGCAGTGCACAATACTAACCGTGTATACTATTACAACAATCCAAAAACTGTTTTTTAATTACCTGGCATTTTTTACTATACCAAAACCTCTAGAACTACACTTTAGTTAAACTTAATCATTTCTTTAATAATATATATTGCCGCGGTTAGCATACGTCAACAACACTTATCTTACTACTTGAGAGACCTGATCCTCTCCGTAAGATTCAAACTTATTCACATAGCCACTGACCTTCTGTAGAACTGAATTGTTCACACTAAAGAATAATAAAACATGATATTGCTCAGTACTCAGTCAGCAATTGGTGCAATTTAAATGCACTGCAATTTTGATAAACATTAAGAAACAAAGATTTAATTAGTGATAATCCAGTTACTTTATCCAAGATTTACAGTAAATACTTTGCATTTGTTCAAGGTCTAATTGATGAAGGCATTTGAATTTGAACAAATGTTATCGTCAATTGAACGTCCGGCGCTTTAACCGGATTCCAAACCAATGGTCCACATGGGCTCCAGTATCCTGCGGGAACAAATGGCGTATGAACCAATTGTTGGTCACCGGCTTCCATGGGACTGCATCTCCTAACGATGCTCCACTGCCTTGTGGATCAGGTCTCCAGGTCGAAGGCTCGGGGAGTGGCCCCCCTAAGAAAACCACCTGCTTCGGTTTAGGCATCCGGGCAGTATCACAGCCTTCACACATATCGAATGAGATTTGTGTGGCGCATATGTATTTGGTGTCTCCTTGTACCAATATCTATGTGTTAAAATAATAATAAATAATAATCGTCAATGGAAGAACTATTTCCTAATTTTTTTCAATTATTTACATACTAACTGGGTCTCAAATATTTGGAATATTTACGTGAATAACTAGCGATATTAGTAGACCTAATTAACAGGTTTTCTTATAATTACAATGAAACTATTTAAGTCAAATGTTTATTCACCATGGATTCATGCACCTCAGTTATTTTGTATGGTATTTTTAAATTAGACTCTAAGTGGATGAATAAAAAAGTGAAATTTAAAGAGAACAGAGAATGATTGATTGACCCAGGTCCCAGGCTTCTAAAAATCCTCTGGTGTTCTTAATATTCCATCCATCGAAACTGGAAAACAACTATAATCTGATCAGCGTCTTCGATGACATAAAATTCACAGTGTGTAATGAGTCGAACAACAAAATACCATTCTTGAATGGACTGATCACCAGAACAGATACAGGAAAACTGGAGACTCAATTATATCAGAAGCCAGTTAACACAGGTCGAATTCTCAATCACAGCACCAACAACTGAAGAACTCAGAAGATCAGCTGGGTACAAACTTTACTCATGAGGGCAAAAACACACCACAGGACACTTGCAGGGCAGAAGAATGAAGAAAAATACCTAATGACTATACTTCATTAGAACAGCTGCCCACGCGATTTCATCAAAAACTAACAATTCATTTCATCAACAGCAATGAAATCAGGTAATGAAACTGACAAACTGATCATCCTATCACACATAAAAGACATCAGGAATTGCGACTAGATTATTGATGTTTGGAATAGGTGTAGCACATAAACCAGCAAAATAAGTTAAATCGATCTTATGCAAACCAAAGGGCTACATGACAAAAAAAGAAAAGCCAAACATCATCTACAAAATAAACTGTTTCAGTTGCGAAAAGCACTATATCGGAAAAAATGGACGTTTTCTTCATCTTCGCCTGCATGAACATCAATTAGCAATTAAACGCCGTGATACATCCTAGCTTATATCAATGCACGTGAACAACTTTCGACACATATTCGGCTAGAAAAATGTTTAAAATCTGGACAGAGGGAATATTAAGAACACCAGTTTATTTTTAGAAGCCTGGGACCCGGGTAAATCAGCTATCAACAAACACTTCGAAATCGATCCAGTCTACCAAACAATCAGAAAAATCATGCACAAATATTAAACTAAGAATCAGATCAAAGGGAGATATCATCAAAATATAGAGATGTATAGTGATAGGTTTCCGTTTGACTAGTCCCATTCATGATCTTTTTGAAATGGTTCAGTATCTATACCCCATCTACCTTCTTCTCTTCCTTCGTCCAAGCAAACATAACTGGGACTCCATGCTCAGACAATTAATAAGCAGGACATTTTTAATTACTCTCCCCAGTTCGTGTTGTATGTTGAATCCAAACAAACAACTTCAGGGAATCCTTTGTACGTTTCAATTTGCTCGTACGTACTAAATGCCATTTTTGTGACCTGGTTAGTCACACCACAATAAAAAACGAATACTTTCCCATTGTTGCGTAAGGTTGGAATTACGTCGTTCAAACTTCCATAACCTAAAAAACCGTAGATATATGGGATAAGCTTACGTTCGACAACTTTATATTTTAAATTATTAACATATTGCACCGTTATTGTCTTTCCAAAATTCCATTCTGCATACTCAACTATCGATTCTGCATTACTCCCAGTCTTTACCATCGGTATAACAACGTTTAACTGATCTTGATTTAGTCTTCTGAACCAAGGATCATTTTTTAAGCACTTTCCATCACATGGATGGTTATGTATCTTCCTCGACGACGCTATGACGAACCAGTTGACATCATGCCGCAAACGAAACATGGCCTTGCAACCACTAAACTTTGATATATGAAAATTAATAACAATAATGATAATCATTTACCCTTTTACTCTCTGACCATGGCCCTCCGGCTTCTCTTTATGGCCAAAAGAACATACATACACTACTTACTCGTAGCGAATTCCCGGCTTTTCTTTGTTCCGCTTGCTTTCACGTACTACGTAATGAGTCCAACTCACCTATTACTTTTATATGGTGTATTATTAGTAGCAAACCTTCTGCAACAGACCGATAGCTTCTCTGACTTGGTCCCAACTTGTCAGGTGCCTGGATCTCATAATCCTTTCGAAAACATCACTGGTATCCACAGCCACTGGACACTCAGTATTAGTTTGACTGGTTGATGGAGTAGCGTGATCCATAATACTGCAAAAAATAACAAACCTTTCATTCCACCTGATAACAATAAATGACACTTATGAACGAATATGTGGCCAGTTACGGTCCCATGCGGCAGCAACATTTATTTTAGCTAAAAAACCGACTTCGGTTCTCGATCTCTAAAAAACAATGCTCAAAATATAACGGATTAAGATTCTATGACATAATAATATCGAGCTTGCCTGACAGTTAGGGACGATTATGCCAACAGTTGGAGTTCCATACAGCAGCAACAGTTATTTAAGCCAACAAAACTAACCTTGGCTCCCGATATCTGAGAAAAGTACTCAAAACAAAACGGATTAACATTTTATAACGTAAGACTCATCAGATTGCCTGAAGAAATACATTGACTTGAGTAGCCGCGAAACCCCAGAAAACAATGCTGAATCGAAATAAATTTCACACCAACTGCGGCTATTTTAGCACACTGAAACAGTGAATTATGTAGCGACACAAAAATTAGGTGGAAAGACAAAGAATATGGAAAGCCGACTGCCATTGCTTACAAAGATGGCGGATACAATAATTCCCGCTTCATTCTGATTGGTTGCTAAGCTGACTGCCACGTTTATGAAATTGAATTTCGTTTAATAGCAGCCTTATGATACTTTTCTCATTTTTGGATTTTGTTAAATTAATGTCTTTCAATCGTATTGGTTACTTAAACACGTATTATTACGTCCTTGATCTGTCTACCCAAGCATTATGATTATTAATAATGGCTTTATTAGGGTTTATGCCCTCCCTTAAAATCTTCTTATATCTTAAATGATCAAAGTAGATAAATTATATAGCTATTTCTATTATGATAAATGAGTTTTGGAGTTGATTAGTAAGTTACAATAATGTTTCAATCATTCAATGATATCGATTTTGACTCAAAATGATATTTTAGTGGTTTGTTTTCATCTTTAATTTAGATTACCTATTCAAATTACTTTTCAAGCAAATGGTGAACGTGATACTAATATCAATTTACAATGCCTTATAAAACATCGTGATTTACCTTTAACATTAAATGTTAAAGCTCAAGGATATACAATTCATTCATCATTATGGATTGATTGTATTCAATCAAATAATAACAATAATCATAATGACAAGACATGTAAAGCTACTAGTGAACTAATTGAACTTACACCATTATGGTCACCATGTATTGGTATTGATCTAATAGATCTTATCAATAAATCAATAAATCGAATTCAAAATGATCAAAATTTAATCAATAAATTATCTGAATTAAATTTTGGTAAATTTTATCCTGGTGAATGTATTACACGTAAATTAGTAGTCTATAATAATGGAAAATATAAATTTGATTTTATATGTCAATTTATGTCATTAAGAAGTAATACAAGTATCAATGAAAAAAATGTACAGAAACATAATAAAGAACAACAATTGATTGATCAATTAATTAATGGTTTCACTATAGATGATATCAATCAACCACCATCATTAATAATCAATCCTAATTCTGGTAGTTTATTACCAAATGAAAAATTAACATGTACAATTACATTTCAGTTACCAAAGCAACTAAATGTATTAAGTGTAAATCATTTAAAATTATATAATTTACTTGGTATTTGTTTTATAATACGTGATGGTCCTATTTATGGTATTAAATTATTAGGTTCAATCAAAAAACAAATGATACAATTTTCTGAAACTTCTATTGATTTCGGTTCACAATTCATTATGCAATCCGGTCTTAAACCATCTATACGTTATTTATATATTAGTAATAATGATATAAAACAAGAATTAAGTATTGAATGTATTACAAAATCATCAAAAATATTCTCTTATAATTTTATACCAACAATTTTACCAAAGAAAGAACAACAAGAAACTATTGGATCCAATTCAAATATTCTATGTTTACCAATATACTTTTATCCATATCATGATCAGTTCTATAAAGAAACAATAATATTTGAAATTAATGGTTGTAGTCAATATACAATTAATTTATTAGGTAAAGGATGTGAATTAATCATTGAACCAAAAGTATATCCATTATTGATAATGAATAAAACTAAGAAAGGTCTTACAAAAATCACTCAATTCAATGATGAAGATGAATTCATTCATAATAAAAGATGTATCAATTTAGGTTATTTAAAAACTGGTCAAATATCACGACGATTTATTAGTTTAATTAATAAAAGTTCTGCACCAATATGTCTACATCAAATCCATTTGAATCAACCACAATCTAATAATAATAATAATAATAATGAGAATAAATCTAATTCAATTCATATACAATTTTGTAAATCAATTTCTATGAATAAACCATTCAATAATTTTGGACCGATCAAAGAAATTATGACACCAATCATTATTCCATCAAATGGTGGGGAAATAATGATCATGTTAAGTTTAACATCAAATTATCGATTATCTAAATTTACTGAAGAAGTTCTATGTGAGATTTCACGTGTAGATCAAAATGATAAAAATATAATTCAATTGTCTAAGAATCAAATAAACACTACTATAACTATTAATAGTAACCATAGAAATAAAGAAGAAATGATTTCAAATCTACAAGAGAATACTAATATGTTTTTACCAGTATTTTCAATATATGGTGCTGTGAATACATATGATATTAATTTTAATACAGAATCAATTAATTTTGGTTCAGTTGTACGTGGTAGTCAATTAAGTAGACGTTTAGTTTTAATGAATACCGGTGATTATAATACAAAGTAAGTTAATTAAGAATTATGTAATCATTTATTGAAAAGCAAATTTAAATATGAATAAATAAATTAGTTATATAGTTATAAGTAAATGTATGATCTTGAATAGATCTGTATCAGTTTAACTTCCAACACTATATTATAAGAGCAAGATGAAATTAATGGACATAAATTTCTAAACATTACAAGTAGTAAGATTATTATTAGTAGTAAGTCACTGTTATAACGGGTGGTCAGTCAGTCAGTCAATCATTAACAATGTAGAACTTCGTACGTACGTACATCAGTTCGAGTTGCCATACCACATTAGCACACAGATACAATTGTCAATTCAAATCCCATAGTGGTAGAAGTAGTAAAAGTATAAGCAGTAGTTGGGAAGACTAAGGTTGGAAGATGTTATTCAAGGAGTATAATTCAGTGAAATAAATTTGGAAAGAGAAAAAATGGGGACATGAAGGATTCAGAAGATTAGAATTTGGAAGAACACAAAGAGTGGATGCACCTGCGCCATTGCAAATGATTTTGAGCCATATGATTCAGAGTCTCTTACCATCGATTGCTCTCATCTGGCGGATCTTCGGAACCAGGTAGTCTACACCTACTCACGTGGTTCAGTCTACTTGTCAGTGACTTCATGTATTTGTGACATGTTTTGGTGTCCGAAATCGGGTACTGATTCGCGACATGTTACGCGCTAACCTCTCAACTGATTACTTGAGCGAGAACACAAGAGTGGGCACGAAAGTATATTGAGTTACCGAATAAAATGCACAAATACTCATATATATATATATAATACCCCTTAAAAAATCAATCCATTTCTTAGTCAATGAGATGCACATGTACTTCAAGTCACTTATGATTTCCATCGATGTACCTTCTCATTTGGCTACTGCATATTGACTTATCATATCAGTAACCTTAGAAAATGTATGGTTTAAGAAAAAAAATGAATTTGTTAGATAAAAAGTGTTAGATATTTCTAAAACTGAAGATTTATCGATACATAATGACATGGTACATTTGTGTCACTGTGACCAACTTTGATCTACATCACCCAAAATCTCCAAACATCAATTACAATAACGGCGTAAACCTCTATCAGGTATTCTGAACCTATCTGTATGACTCATTCCTTCACTATTTAAAATCGCGGACGAGGATGTTGGTTAAAACCGTTTGGACTATTTTCTACCGATTCATTTTAAGTGAAGTATCATTCATCTCGAAGTAACTGAGTTAGTTATGAAATTAAATGGTTTTCTTTACGCGACCGCTTTGATTATTACATTAGAATAAAGATATATTTATCGTGATTTTACGGAAAAATATCACTGTCTCTCAGTAGTAATTAGGGTTTTAAGTATGAGACATCTCCTAATACAATGGGGATTGTTAATGTGATAGACTGTTCTAATCTGATGATAGGTTTTGAAAATATCGACTATAAGCCCTCGAATTACGTTCCTTGCTATGATCAAAGCATATTTACAATCATTATAGAAGTGATTCTCCTCGTAAATTTCGAATATGATTTAACGAATGTCTTAGAAATGTTATCTCTCAGTTATTGAAATAAAGACTGACGTCTTATGGGACTATTCTATCCTAAAACGATCTAATTTGGCGAAAGATGATGTCTGACCGTTATACTACTGAAATAAATGTCAGAATATGGTGACTGTTGAAAAACATTATGCTTACATCAAATCCTAATTTTTAGTAAGGTAGTAGTTGGGACGAAACAAACGTCATTTAAATAGACTGGGACTATCTAAAGTTCTTATTTAACACTCTCAACAGGAAACGAGTTCAAAGGAAAATTACTATTGATATGAGATTATAAGAAAATTGGAGTACATTCATTGTTTATTTAGACAACGAGGTACAAGGAGGCACCAAATACATATGCGCCACACACATCGAATGATTTGTTTGAGGGCTGGAATTCTGCTCAAGCGCCCAGACTGAAGCAAATGGTTTCCTTAGAGGGGACCACACCCGGCGCCATTGACCTAGAAACCTAATCCACAAGACGGTGGTGCGACCTTAGGAGAAGCAGTCACAAGGTAGCCCGTGACCAACAATAGGTTCATACGGCTTTTTTCCCCTCAGGATCCTGGAACACATGTCTACCATTGATTTGAAATCAGTTTTTTATAACTCCCGTGGATGGATCCCCCATATCCACCAACCCGGTACGAGCACCGGGCATTCAATTTTATTCTCTCAGTTTCATAAACAACACCCTCATCTCGAGAAGGCAGTGGGTAGAACTTCCCTGGAAGTGGCTGTATATGCGTAGCTATATGAAAGCATTTGTAGAGAGAGAGCGGTTTCCTTCCATTCTCGTCCGTACCACGGCATTTAAATTTTTTGCGAGAAATCATGATTTTGTCTTTTTTCAGTGGGTATGAAATTCATTTTCTTCTTTAGCCTCCATCAGTTTGAGCACTACGAATGATTAGAAAGTAATAAACAATTATCTCTGCTTGTTAATAAAACTCAGCATCTGGAAATATCTATGAACCCATACAGTAAAGAACCTATGACCTTCAGGTTACAAGGGGACATGATATTGTCATATCATTGAGTGGAAACTCAGATTTTGTTAGTTTGGGATATAGAGGGTTACTCAACTAATGTTATCAAGTAGTCACTGTTTCAATCTCGACTTCAGGATATTCGTCTTGCAGTTAGTTATTCATGCACATAAAGTTTTTATTAATATAATTAGTTTATATGGAGAGTTTTGCATAGTTAATAAGTTATTTGTATTTCAAACAGAAAATAAATCTCTATAAAGTTTCTGATTAAAATTAGTAAAAAATCTTTTCATTGCGAATTATCTCTTTGATCAATTGGTTTGATCAGAGAGTATAAAAGTCACATAATGGTTAATGTTAGTTGACAACACTAAATAACTAAGATATGACATTCCGACTCTACTAAATTGATAAATATCAATTATTGTACATAATTTGATTTATTTAAGGCAGTGATCTAGTGATTGAAGGACTCATCTCTTAAACAATAGACCCTAAGGCCAAATACTGGTTGTCTTACCTCAATTTAAATGGCTAGTTTTATGGGATTATAGGGACTGAACACTCAGGTGGGAAAGATCAATTTATTGTTTAGTGCAAATTTTCAGTTTCTATGTAAATTATAAAAGGCATACATTGAGTACTTCATTTGCATATCTTCTATCAGTTGTCCTTTACATCCTACATGATTCTTCCAATTATCGATTCCTCTGTTTCCGTTTCCATTTTCTTCAGTTCAATCTTTTGAGCCTTCTTTTTTACAAGCTTTCCACTTCTGGTTGATGCTACATACTACTTATATCTGTCAACATAAATAACATGCATTACAGGATCATTAACTCGACTGTCGCTCAAACCTTAGTAAAATAATTTGTACTCGAAAACTGTATAACTTTGATCTCTAATTTTTTATATGACCAAGTAGTGATATGTATTTATTACTGATTTCATTTTAAGATTCGAATGGGATAAATCAACTTTCACATCGGATTTAACTATAGAACCAATGAATGGATCCATTGGTCCAGGACTAGAAGTAACATTTATTTTAACTCTTAAACCAAGTAAATTAACACGTGAAATACGAATAGATGTAAGTAAATGAACTTGCTTATTTATTTTCTATATGGACATAGAACGATAGGTTTTTACGCTGCCTAACCTGGTGATTGCTACAAGAAACTTAGTACATAACTGTTACACACTATTCATCATACATTATATAGAGATCATTTTGATTGAACAAAGAACTAATAAAACTGATAGATAGGCTACGGTTAGCTTGTCAGTGAAATCAATACCAACTGTCAAGCTAATGTCTATCATATTAAATATGTACATTTGTACACATAGGTAGGTCGCAAGCGCTATTACTGGCTCAGGAGAGATTTAGCTTTGTTTTCGCTCTTATAATTAAATGGTTCAGTTTATTGAGCATTTAGCGTGCTTGTTTAAAGTTAAAAACAGTATGGATCACTTCGGTTACAAGTTTTACAGTATAAAATGTTATAAACTATTTATTACTCAATGAATGATCACATATCGTGAGCACTATAACCTGCATGAACAGAACCTTATTATAAATTATCAGTGTACGTTGTTAAAGGTTATTGAATTTTATTGATATCACGAGCCGATCCAAGTTAGACAAGGATTTAAGACTTGAAAGCATTGAACTATCGTGTCGTCCTAAGAGCTGACTTCTCAAGAGTGCTTGTTTTTGACTTCGTAACCTGGAATCGAGTCCGTAACTTTCAGTTCCGTGATTACAAATACGTAAACATTTTAAAATTGTACTACTGATCATTGTTCAATTATTTCGAAGCTATAATGAATCATATACTATCAATATTTTTCAGTTTCATAGACCCCATCAATCATTTTCGTACCTCGCTGTTCTCAATGAGCACACTTCCTTCGAGATGATTAACTCATTCAGCAAATGTACTGTTTATAGAGATCATGGTACTGAGAAAACTGACGATGGTGACATCAAGCTCCGGATGCTTTATGTCCAAACGCTTTTTATGTGTTCCTTACCAATCATGAATAAAGAAGGAAGCAATACTAATCTGATTTAAGAAGTATTTTTGTTCTTGGACGGAAAACTTTATTCTGAGACTGATTCGTAGGCTATATGAGGGGACGTATGAAAGCAATGAATATGCACGGTTGGTTAAAATGGTTTGACAACGTTCGCACACCTTCTTAGGTTTATTGAAACTAATAAAGTTAGCAATGAATGTTAAGTTCCTATTGGGCTATTTATTTTGATGAATTACTCACCGCCACATATTCAAAAATACTTTATAAAAACCATTTAGAACTTTATGAATCGGCAAAATTTAATGTATCTAACATTTTACATGACAATCTACTTTAGGTTTATTTACAGAAACAATCAAAGTCGAAGTGATTAGATGGGTCGTTACATGAACGCGTATACAAAGGCAATACTCAAACCATGGAACAGTCAAACAGATCGAACAATAGGCCAATAGTCATTGTGTGCCATAAAACATAAACCAGTTATAGACAGAAGTATATTAAATCAAAATCGGATAAATCAAATACCTATTTGACTTGAGATGAAACTTGAATATCCAACCATCCTACAAGAGATAACTCGCTCGTCGACTATCTCAAAAGAAATATCTCTGATCGCGTCATAATTTCAAAATCCACTTCAATTAATAATACTTTCAGATGGCTACTAAGTCTAGTCAATGTGTTCTAACTGGCATAAAACATTATTCGACAGTTTCTAGTCGGCTACTTTAACATGCAACAAAGTTCTTCGTAATGTCGAGCACTGAACTTACTGATCGCATAATAAGTTGTTTAGCAGATTTAAATCATCACCACGGATTAGATAATGCGGTACCTGTTATCAATAAGTAATTAATAAACGGCTTTCAGTTTTCACGAGATCGAAGTTATCGGATGTGAAGCAAACTTCTATAAATCATGACTGTTTTTTTTATTTTTTTTAATGAGTAGTCCAGGTAAACTTGGATAAAGTACAAGTTAACATTTATGTATGCTTTCTTAAAGTATTTTTATAATTTTTCTTTCTTTTAATCGCCAATAAAAAAACAGAATGTAGCATGTCAAATTCAAGGTATAGGATCAAAATTAATTACTGTTAGTGGAGCGTGTGTGCCACCTACTATTATTAAAGAAATACAACAATTTTCAACGATTGTTAGACAGCAAGATATTAAAAATCTGCAAATTGTTAATCGTACAAATGCTAATTGGCAAATCAAACCAGTTATTGATGGTGAACAGTGGGATGGACCAAAAATAATTGATATACCTCCACAACAAATAGGAATTTATGAATTAACATATAAACCATTAACAATGACTTTAGATGGAGCAAAACATAAAGTAAGATGTTTTATGATCATGTGTTAAGTTCTTGATGATGGGTTACATAAAGAATCAAACTTAGCTAAAGCACTATTGAAAATTAGAGAGTATGGAGAGTTGTTATACGCTAGCATGAGGCGACTTTTCAGGAGTGCCTATACTCATCAGATATCATGGATGGCACTGGATGAAGGTCGTGCAATATCATGAATTGATTGAAATTGGAAATATGTACGGCTATATGTCAACCAAATAGTTTATTGTTTAACCATACACCGTAAACCTCAAAGTTACTTAATTCTATCTCTGGTGGAGTCTGTGGTTAGTGTTGCTATGATATTGCATACTGAAACAAAGCAACCACCCAGTGCCTCCAATCTATCAATTGTTGTTGAACTTAAGTCAGTCTACAATGCCGACTATCTTCATAAGCACTTCCTCTTAATAATTATTTATTTACATTCGAGTACTTTTAAAATGTTGACAAGTAAGCCATTCAACAAACTACGATATATGACAAGTAGAAAGGAGGAAAAATAAGTCGAATGAGAATTTACTTCAAGATGAACCCACAGTAGCATGTTACTACATTTCTTTGATTTCTTTACTGTCTTATATAACAAACATAAAAAGATGCCGATACTTAGTGTTATGAATGAGGATTCGGTGACTTAATAAATGCATTCTCAAGTGTTAAAATGAAGGAAAAAAAGCGAATAATAGGTAGTGATATACAATGACATCGTGTGATTGAGTGATGGTTATTCATAGGACCGAATTATTGACATAAGCCTTTCATTGAACTGATCTCAGCGGATATGACAGTTTTATACTGAGATGAAGAAGACTATTTCTAGCTCAGGTGAATGATTTCGGTGGAGTTTGTGTCGATGATGTGGTTCAAAAGAACGATGGAGGCTCGATGACTAAACCATTCAGCTCAAAGAACAAAACTCCATCGAAACAGTTTCATAGTAAAATAGGTCTTTTTTATAATAAAATAATATTCTTGTGGACAAAATATTGACAAAAAACAAATGTAATTAAAATGTCTTAGAAGACAGAAGAAAATCAATTATATGGACTACTCAAAGTCTATTCTATTAGGACATTGCCAGTCATATTGCTTGCCACAGGCTTTAATTATATTTCATTTCAATATTGTTATATCTAGAGCTTAGATTTTTAATATGCCGAGTATAACTTGGGCACCCGAACTCTAGAACCCTCCTAAGTCGCAAATGAGAAGACAGAAGACAAATGAAAGGAATTCTATTTCAAATAGTGTCAATTATGGTACAAACCTGTCATGTATTTATAGTTTTTAATAAAAACCAAATCATCATTATAGTCCTCGGTCGATAAATCACTGTTCTGTAATTGACGGTATCATTACGTTATACATTAATAGGATACAGGGCACAAGTCATAACAAATATTAACATATGTCATTGTTCATTAGTTTTGTTTTTTAAAGCTCTTATTCTTCAAGCAATATCCCCACTGATAATTAATCTATACATGTTCGAAGACTGGAGAGTGATGATTCAAGAAGTTTTTTTTAGAGTAACGCACAATCGCCTTTAATTATATCTTTACTTGTTAATTTAGTGAAATATGGGCTTAAATGTTATCAAAATGTCCTCTCTATTCTGTTTATTTCAATCATATTGATTTTCTGAAGTCATTGTAGTTTATAAAATGTAATATTTACAAACAGATCATTGCTATGCAACCAATTCTCTTCGCACATTTAAACAGGTAAGAAAGACAAACTTGGCATATTACATTTTACAGTCCCAACCAATTTTAGTGAGATGCTCTGTTATTTTAGTGTCAAATACACTCGGTTGTCCTCACTGGTGTTCTTGTTCACTACATTTGATGTCGTTGCCAATCAGGAGAGGGGAAGGGTGCTGTTCTGTGGTCGCTGTTAAGGGCCTGGAGCTGAAGTGCCAGTGGAGGCGGTCTGGTGCGGAGAGGTGACATCGGGTGGTGTGTTCTGGCGGAGCGGCGTTGGCTGCGGCGGGTGATGTCGACGAAGAGAAGCGGTGGGACGTGAGGATATTTGGCGGACATCGGATGTAGATGGCTCAGCAGGCCTCTGGAGCGCAGGCGTTGAATGTCCCAGGTGCCGGGAGGATGTCGGATGTTGATGCCCCGGCAGGTCAACGGAGCTATGGAGGCCGGCGCGCCGCAGACTCGACATTTTGACGGAGAGCGTAGCACAGACTGCAGAGAAGAAGGAAGTGGAACGGTGAGCAGAACCACCGCAAGGACGAATGATTTAAAGGGGGGACGAGTGTGGTGTGGGTTACTTATTTCCACACAAGTGGTAAATAACGGTGGTCAGGCATAAAATGTATTTCAGTAGAAGGCCGATGAGGAAAGAACGGGGACAGCACGCAATTTGTATGAAAATGCATGAACAATGGAATCTGAGACAATGGATTTATGTTTGAGACAGGAACGGTCAGGTTTGAGATGATGGATAGATATTTTGCAAATTAACTGTATGGTTCTCAGATTTTAGTGAGATGTTCTGTAATTTTGTGTTCAAACGCATTCGATTGTCCTCACTAGTGTTCTGCTAACTATATTTTACTTAATTAAAACCTCAATCACTAATTGTATTATTTAGTCTCATACAACTGAATAAATAATAAGATATTTGTTGCTTAATCAGATTACAATCTATTGTAGTAACTTGAGTTTCTTTCATCTTTACTTACTCTTTATGATTCAGGGTACAATATTCTTTCCATTACCTGATGGTACAGGATTATTATATAATTTATGTGGAACATCTGATGCACCAAAATCAATGATGCGAATAAATCGTGAAATTGAATGTAAAAAATTACATACGGAAATTGTACAAATACCAAATTGGTTAAATGTATCACAAAGATTTCGTGTTTCAAAAGAAATTCTTCGACCGGATAAATTAGATCCAAGTACAACTATTCAAGGATTAAATTATTTAGATGTACCAGCTGATTCAAGTAAAGAGTATAAATTGAGTATATTCACTTATCGAGAAGGTTTTACATTGATTAAAGTAAGAAATATATCTAGTTAGATTTTATTCAGTAGTATATATTTAGCATATAAAGTGATCTAGAGGTAAAGCGTTCACGCGTACGAGACCGACGAGTCCTGGGTTCGAGTTCAACGGGCGGAATCGTGGACGCATGCCGCTGAGGAGTTTTATACTAAAACGAAACGGCCGTCCAGTGCTTCCAGGTTTTCCATGGTGATCTAGCTTCAATTGACTTATGAATTCAACTACTAAATAACTACGATTTGTTTCGAATCAAGTTGTAAAAAAGACGAAATTTCATAGACTTTTGCTTAACAATTTATAGATGATAGGTGTAGAATAAATGGATTCTACATTTTCCCTTGATCTTTATTTACATTATGATGAGTATATCATAAAATGACTTCATATTAATGTTAGTCAGTCAGTCAGTCAGCAACAACGTAGAACTTCATACGTACGTACATCAGTTCGAGTTGCCTTACCACATTAGCACACAGATACAATTGTCGATTCAAATCCCATAGTGGTAGACGTAATAAAAGTATAAGCATAATCAGAAAAATTAGAGTTTGAAGATGTTATTTAAGGAGTATAATCTTTGGTCACCATTAATTTTAGTTATGATAGAACACTTGTATTTCTTTTTAATTATATGGATTCTATTGTATCTATGCTATGAGTGTAATGGGTAAGTTCTGTTTGCTAGAATAAAATTGACTAATTAATTGAAGGATTTCAAATGTCTGTCCAGAAAATCTTCATCATAACTTAAAAATACGTTTTTAACAATTCTGGTAATATTCTTCACTGTACTACATGACAACAGATTATTTTCTGGAACAAATCAATAAAGAACAAGGAATATATTTCATACGCGTCAAAACAGTTTAGAAAAAGAATCTCATTAAATTTCATTTCACTCTATTTTCAGAATTTTTTACCTATGTCGGAATTATGTAATTCATTGTTTCCCTCATGAATCTGTACATATTTTTTTAATCGTCATTTACTTCAAATGAAATAAAAGTTCCATGATTACTTTGTGTATTATGCTTTCAACTTCAAGAGTTTTTGTTAACAAAGACTAGTCTAAATTCAGTAATATAATATTACAGAAATAATACTTCATTATAAGCAAAAATGGATAGTGGCTAGAAGTGGTTATCAGGACTCAGATGCTAAGTGGATAATACGATGGCGTTTGAAGCGAGCGGTGCTGGATTCGAGTCCCACAGTGAACATCAACTCTGGGATGCAGGTAAATCCAGCTGACGAGTCCCAAATAGAGCGGAACGCGCGTCCTGGATTCCACTACTAACCACTATTCATCTTTACCTATAATGCTTGTGAATTAAGGCAATATAGAGGCAGTGCGCACAGTATGTACATATACGAATAAGCGACTGATCAATTTCACTTCTAAACACCAATGAGAAGATTCAAGTAAACAATACCAAGTGAATTTAAATAATACTTCAGCATAAAAACTGTAATTAGTTCCCCCTATTAAAAATATGAAAAAGGCCCTAAATTGTCCTAGTATTAAATGAATTCTTCACTTTCACTTTTGACTACTTAATTAAATATTTTGTAGTAAGATTTATATAGTTTAAACATAGTCCATTAGTGATAAACTAACTTAACCGTTGAACATTATAAGCCGGTCAATGGTTTTCAATAGTACCCTTACTGATGATAATCTACAATGAATGACGCTTGCATCATGAAACAATTTCCACATAACCTCTCTCTCTCAACAAAAATAACGAATAAATTTACCAGCTAACTATTGTGATTATTGATACTACTAGTATGTAATGTATGCTTAAATTAGTAAAGATGAATAGTGAATAATAATGAAAACTAGAATATTTATGTCATCTTATTTGAAAGTTTTCAATTGAATATACCGAAATTCTAGTCTTGATGTTTGTACTAATCCAACTACCTTGAATGAACGATGCTTCATCCACTAAATTACTGAATTCATATAATCACTATCATATTCAACGATGAATAATTTTATTTATAATAATGAATTGTAGTCACTATCCAACTTTCTTAAGTACCTTATGATCAATTAACTGTATTTTACATTATTTTTTTATTTTTAAAATTAAGGTTACATTTACAAATGAAACAACTGGTGAATATCAATATTTTGAAGTGAATTTTAAATCTATCAGAAATAAAAGTTTAGATTTGATTAAAATGCAAACACCTATTCGTAAACCTATTACACATACACTCATATTAGAAAATCCTTTATCAATACCAGTGAATTTTCAAATGAGTACAAATATCTCTGAAGTTCAATGTCCAAATCAATTACAAATACCTGCTAATTGTGAAGTAAGTAGTAGTATAGTGAACAGAACACACATAAAATTACAGGACTTGTTAATAAAAGCTAACAATCAAATAGTAAATACTTAATTTGTAAAATGTCCATCGATTGTCCCAAAATGGACTCAGACTTCATTGTTCTTGCATTTTAATACAAATTGCACCCTGTTTCCATTCTTTACTGTTTGATCCTCTTGTCTCTCTGCTGTCAGACCTTCTGTTCACAACTAACATAATCTACTACTTATGTCAATATAAGTGGCACACGCCACAGTAGTAGTAAGGTTTTAGTTATATGTTTACTATTGCTCATTTTAACTATTGGTTATCTTGTTTAAATATGATGAATACTTCAATTTTGTAATTCCACAACAGTTAACAGATATTTAATCAAATGATGAACTCACTGTTTTATGAATAGATTGAAGTCTAAAATCTGAACTGTTGAATTTTAACTCACTGACTGGAAATGCCATGAAAATTGAAGATTCTAGGTTCATAATAATATTGAAGACAAGGTAGATAAATCTCTGAAACAAAACAAAACAGGTTGTTCTTCGAATTTCGCGAACAGGATCCTGGATGCTCACTACTGAGGAGCCCCACAATAGGACGAAACGGCCGTTCAGTACTTTCAGGTTTCAAATTGTTGTCTAACATCAATCGATTCATGATGTCAATCAAATAATCTTCAATTGTTTATCCAACTTCATTATCTATCATATCATTATTACTTAGATATTTTTTTTCACCTATATAGTATGCTTCATAAAATGACTTATTATCTATTCTATTTTTTCTCAGGGTAAAGTAACACTTGAATATTTACCAATTAAAATTGGTCAAAATAATGGAAAATTTGAAGCTAATTGTAATGAATTAGGTTCATTTGTATATGAATTAAATTTACAAGCTACACCAGCTAGTTTTGAATCGACAATACATTTTCGTACAACCATAGGACAACGACATTGTCAAATTGTAAAATTTACAAATTTATCAAAAAATAAAAATGAATTTACTACTAACGTAAGTTTATTATTTTTCTAATATTTGAAAAAAGATATCTATACTTTTTGATAAGTCTTGTTGATTTGAACGCTATATTCGGTTCCTAAACTATTCTCGTGACCCCCAAGCTAGAACTACATAGCGACTTGAACATGAGAGAAAATGCGCAAAATATGCGAGAAGCACTTTACTTCAAAGGTTCGTTTTGGTACAGAAAATATAGGGTTTTTATACCAGTTCAAATGTCCTTGGGTTTTCCCGAAAATTCTGGAATGCTACTAAACATAGTAGCAGGGTAGTGATCGGCCAATCAGAAACTCCACATGTCACTTTCTTGATGTTCCTGCTTAAAGTTCTACTAAAAGCTGATTGGAAAAAATGCTTCTTAGTGTTTCTCGAGCCTTTCTTGGCTTTTGTGAGAAGTTTTCTGGATCACCTCAACACTTTTATACTACATTTTTGATTAAACAGTGTTGGGCATGTGAGATCCCCAGAACTCACTTGATAAATACCCCATTTTTGTAATTCTATTTTGAAAATTTGAATTTCTTGCTTTCGTGCCAAAAGCGCTCATTTTCACCTTCATGTTATATTTCCCACTTGGGTGAATCTTAAGCGCTATTAGTTCGTTGCATCTTTTAGTATGCTATTTTGTAACGCTTCCCAATGACAATTTTATGCTGTATATGTACGTTTGATTTGTGCCCATTATCATTGCTCGTGCTTTTGGTTGTTTGCGGAATATATTTCCCTGTTTCGAATATGAACTTCTCTCTCTAGTTAGCGGGGCTGGGACGCATCAGAATAGCTAACTTATTGGTCTTTGGTCACAGAGTCTTTGTTCCGTTCTCAAACTAGGTGAACTCGTGATCACTTCAAACATAGCAAACAGAGACTACCCTAACTTACGCCTGTTACTCCCAATGAAGCATAGGCTACCGATCAACATTCTATCCAATTGTCCACCCACAATATCGTGGGTTGGTTGAACTTAGACACTAACACGGTTGGATGCCGTCACAGTGGTCTAGAGGTTAAGCGTTCGCATGCGAGATCCAACGTCCTGGGTTCAAGTTCCACATCATGGATCGTGGATGCGCACTGCTCACCGGTTCCATACTTGGACAAAACGGTCGTCCAGTGCTTCTAGGCTTTCGAATGTAGTGTGGTGTCGAGTCGCGGTTGACTATGGTCACCACTACAGGAAGACTACGTGCCAGTTAACCGATAAGATCCCCCGTAAGCCAAATATCATAAGGCAGTTGATGGCTGTAGTCGAGATGTATTTGTTGGCGATCTCGTAGTATCGAAAGAATACCGAGATCATGCCAGGTTACAAGTGTGGTTACTGAGCGTAACCGAATTTGTGCAAGGTCACAATCAAAGGAAGAATGTATGTGTTTTGGTACAGTTAAACAAACAAGTACAGTAAAACAATCCCTGGTGCAATTGGTTATAATAATAATTGTTTCCATTACACCAATCGCGTTCTCTTAATAAAAGCAAGTCACTACACGATCGTGATCTAACATTCATCCATTCATGATATCAATCCAAATTCAACAATCTTCACAACCATATACTGATAGTTACTTTCTTGCATATGAATATGGACCAAAATTTATTATTGATAGGTACACCAAATTATGTTTAATGATAATTCAAACTTTTAACTCCAATAATTCTCGAATTCATAGTTGATCAAAGAAATATTAATGATAAAAGTGTCGATAAATATGATAATCAAAATATGATTGAATATGATTAAATGATGGTTGTAATATAACATATTTGTATAATTTTAAACGTTTGAAGAAATTGTTAACAAAGGGTTAATAATACAAAAGGTTTGTAGAGATTGTTCACTTTGTAGTTTACACCATGACCTGGTGATAGATAGATAACCGTTGAATATTAGGAAATATTTGACAGTCATCGTACTCCTCACCAGTTCACATCTCCCTAAGGAACTGAACCGATGATTTTTAAGTCTCGGGGCGAGCGCTTAATCTTCAGGTCATTGAGCTGGCATTCAGTAGTGTACATACTTAACTTCAATCGACTGGCTATATTAAGCATTCATCATTTATTCTTGGACACATATAAAGTTAATCTTCTTATGTACATACTCAATAGTCTTAGGAATATATCTCTGTTAATTTGACATTATGACTTAAAGGGGGGTCTATCTGACATTCAATTCAGTTAATTTTTTTCTAGAATTCATAATCTCATGTAAAATAAGGTGATTACCAGACTACTAAGTTAGTTGTATGATAACGTATCATAAAGTTTAGTATTAGTGTTTTTATGGTTAACTCAACTATACCCCCAATAAGTCATTCATTAATAATTTAGAAAAAAGAAAATATTTTCGGACTTATTTTATTTGAGAGATTTAGATTGATCATTTCATAATATTCATAAGATTTATTCAAGAATTCTGGAAGGTTTATACATGAATCTACACTATATTGCATAAACTTTCGCTATATACAAGTTGGGTTTCGAAAAACAAACAGGCTGACATTTTTCTGACGTTTCATAACTCCATGTAAGTCACTTATCAAGTCAAACCTTGGTAATGATATCTACAAACAAGTTGATAGTTCACTTTCTTTTTACTATACCCTTGATTTGACTATATTATTACATTATATATGTACAAATATAAATATGCACTGATTATTATAAAATATGTAACTGCTTAGAATTCTTAATTGTCATTCATATTATGTGCCTTAAAATCTAGCTCTTCGGATAATGACATTTACATTTCAGTAGTATCTAACTTATATCAATCTTTGAAGAAGATAATCAATGAAAGACAATTTATCTATAAACTTTTAACTTATTTTACATATATATTGTTTTACAACTGTGAGAATGAACTCATTGTAAAGGATTCCTAGGGTTCAGTTACCTGGTTTCTTTTTTAATCATTTAAACTAAGTTAAATTTTTCTTTCGACAGCTATGCGATACGTTTAATTACAATTACAGATAAAAAACAACGAATTCAAACGGTTTTATCAGAAAATAACACTTAAATTTCATATGTTTACAGGTTGATAATTCTGATTATCATTGTGAAAAACAAATAATTGTAGCACCGGGGGTTGAAGCATCATTGGAAGTTGTATATGAACCAACTAGTGTGGGTAATTCACAGGCTACTTTAACAATTACAAGTGCACAAGCTGGTGAATACAGTTTTCTACTTAAAGGTACTGCTCTACTACCACAACCACAAGGTCCAATAATCATAAAAGCTGGTGAAACAAAACATATCATCTTCCGAAATGTTTTCCCTACACCCATACTTTATTCATTTCAGGTAAATTGACAATTTTATTTAGATTTACACTCATGTGTGTTACTGAATAAACACTTGTCTATTTCGTTCTTATTAGAAATTTTAGATCATGAGCAAATTCCTATCAAATAGTGTAGAGCTAAAGATGTTTTACTGTTTACTTTTCAGTGCTGATAAGATTTTATCGATCAGGTTTGTACGTGAAAAGAATTGGTAAAATGTAAAAATCACGAATCTAGGGTTTCTCGGTGGTAGCCATCAAATACCAAACGACAATATATGTGGTACCATTGTTTCTAAAACAATAAAAGCGATGAAGGACTTAGTATGTAAGCATATGTGTGTAGTCAACTTAAACCAAGTTTCATCGTTTTTCATCATTGTTTCGAAAGCTTATATGCAATATTTTATACTTGTGTAATCTGATTTAGACTGTCATTTATTTCATATGTTTGTTTTTTTCATAGGCTGACAATACTTTATTCAATCTACCGAAACAAAGTGAAGTTATTAGACCTGGTAAAGAATTTAGAATTCCTGTTGGTCTTGACGCTAATATCACTAAATCTCCTGTAACGGGTAAACTAGTTGTGACAGCAGTCCGTGCACAGTCAAGTGCACGTACAATCCGTAAAGGACCATCAAATGTAATTAGTGATACCACTTCCCTATCATCATCATCGTCTTCATCATCACCACAACAGCAACAGTCAAGCTTCATTGATTCTACAATTACAGAAAAAGGCGAAGGATTTCAATGGGTTTATTATTTACGCGGTGTTACAGGATAAAGATGAACAAATATATAATCGGCAATTGATAAGTTTTCTATAAAAGGAAGCCAGAGAATTTATTAAACAGTAAACTCAAATGAAATAAAAATTTTATATCATTGGCCTCATTTTTCTGACATCACTTTAAAGCTTATATGTCCCTTGAAAAGAACTAAAGATGACCTTTTAAAACTTAATCTCACTCTGTTCATGCTTCTTCCTTATGTCTATTAATGTGATAAATTGAGGGCACAAGTTAGCCATTAATGTAATGCTACGTTAGACTTTTAAGAGGTTCTCCTCTAGTCTGAAAGTATTATGTGTTAAGAGAGTATAGAGAGCAGCGTGTATCATAATCTCAGACATAAAAGTACACCGATGACTCAGTAAGCACAAACAATCCATTGACATTTAAAAAAGAGGGCAGCAGACGGCAACTACCGGTAACCCAAGAGTAACCTTATGACCATCTGATAAACTTAATTAGAAGATGATTGCGTAACTTTTCTTATGCATTTGAATTGCAGATATTCAGAAAAATATTTTTCAATTTGATGCAATAAAGCAAAAATTCCTCTCATCAGCGTTCAGTGTTCATGTATGAAACATTAAAAGCATACTGAAAGTATTATAATTGAGCGTTGGATCCAGGGTTCCATCAGATAAAATAGTAGGATATACTACGAAACTTCCAAGGACTGGTGAAAGTCTAGTTTCAGACTGTAATCCTATAGGGTTGTAACTTTCTTGTCCAGTGCGAAGATATCTAAGATTTCGCAATACGCTACCTACAAAACATCAGATGGTAACACATAACTGTCGATCAGGAATCAGTCGGTTGTTAGGCGTTCTGTAGCAACCGAAGATGCTGAGAATCCCTCTGATTTCAGACGGGACAGTCGTGAGAGTGCCTACAGCTAGTAGTGGGTCCAACCTTACAAGTTTGTGCTACTCATGTTTGAAGGTTATCCATAGAAATCCAGGGCATTAGCAGACCTGTGACGCCTTAGTTAGGCCTGATTATTACATAGCAGTATTGTGTTAAACTAACCATGCTTGAAAATAGGGTCTGTGCTCTGATAATAATTTATTTTAAGTAGTGACACGTTATATGAGGCACGACAATCTACAGGCAAGATCAAATTGTTGCGAATGCTTTACTGTTTATTACGTTAACTCGTCCACCCATTTACTTTGGCGTGTAATGACGAAAGTTTTCTTACAGAAGCAGGATAACAAAATGTTAGTGCATAAATGTGTTAGGTATGCAGAGTTAAGTCGAATGGTGTCCTTGGACGTTAAATGGACATTTCCTATTGGTCGATATTTATTTCACTTGTTACATATTGTGTAAATGATGTTTTCTATTTTTATGGTACGATGTGGTCTGTTTGGTTGGCATATAAACAGAGTATGTTTGAAATATAACGATTCATATCTCAGAGGCTAAGACTTGCGTTCTGGACTCAACTGGCTGGGTTAGACAGCGAAGCAGGGCCAATCGGAACTCTAGGTCGTCCGTACGTGTTTTACTTGTTCACTGCAATCGATAAATAAAACGCTGCTTATCAAAACCTGCAGTCCACACGTTACAACAAAATGGATGATCATTTACTTATTTACTTACGCCTGTTACTCCTCGCGAAGGAACATAGGCACCTCACCAGCATTCTCCATCTAACCCTGTCCTGGGCAAACCTTTCTAGCTTTTTCTAATCATTATTCATCCTTCACATATTTGCTTCTATTTCCCGATGTAATGTGTTCTTTGGCCTTCCTCTTTTCCGCTTCCCTTCAGGATTCCAAGTTAGGGCTTGTCTCGTGATGCAGTCTGATGATTCGCGTAACGTATGTTTTATCCATTTCCATCGTTTTTTCCTAATTTACTCCTAAGATGGAAGCTGGTTTGTTCTCTTCCACAAAAGGCTGTTGCTGATGGTATCCGGCCAACGGATGTTGAGTAGCTTGCGTAGACAACCATTTCTAAATACTTGTACCTTCTTGATGGTGGTTGTTGTAGTTCTCCATATTTCAGCTCCATACAGTAGAACTGCCTTGACGTTGGTATTGAAGATCCTCACATTGATATTGGTTGAAAGTTGTTTTGAGTTCCATATGTTCTTCAATTGTAGGAATGCGACCCTTGCTTTGCCAATCCTCGCCTTTACGTTTGCATCTGAACCTCCTTGTTCATCGATGATGCTTCCTAGGTATGTGAAGGATTATACATCTCCCAGAGTTTCGCCAGCAAGAGTGATTGGATTGCTGTTTTCCGCTTTGAATTTGAGGACCTTGGTTTTCCCCTTGTGTATGCTGAGGCCTACTGATGCAGAGACTGCTGCTACACTGGCTGTCTTTATCTGCATTTGTTCATGTGTATGCGATAGGCGGGCCAGGTCATCTGCGAAGTCCAAATCGCCTAATTGGTTCTGAGCTGTCCATTGTCTTTCATGCTTTCCTTCAGATGTCGAGGTCCTATAATCCAGTCGACCACCAGAAGAAAAAGGAAGGGTGAGAGTGGACAGCCTTGTCTGACTCCGGTCCTTACTTGGAATGCATCTGTCAGCTGTCCTCCATGCACGACTTTGCATTGCAGTCTGTCGTATGAGTTCCGGATAATATTGACATTCTCAGGAACTCCGTAGTGTCGAAGAAATTTCCATAGCGTCCTATCTACACTGTCAAATGCCTTTCATAATCAATGATGTTGATGTATAGTGACGAGTTCCACTCAACTGATTGTTCGACGATGATCCGTAGTGTCTCAATTTGGTCTGTGCACAACCGATCCTTACGGAATCCAGCCTGTTGTTCTCAAATTTGGACGTCTACTGTGTCTTTCATCTGGTTCAGCAACATTCTGTTAAAGACGTTTCCTGGTATTGACAGTAGTGTAATACGTCTGTAGTTTTCACACTTGCTCAGATCTCCTTTCTTTGGAATCTTGACGAGGTGTCCTTCTTTCCAGTCCATCGGCACTTGTTCCTCCTCCTAAATCTTTTTGAATAGGAGGTGAAGCATGTTTGTAGTTACTTCGATGTCTGACTTCAGTGATTAAGCTGGTATATTGTCAGGTCCTGCTGCTTTCACGATCTTGATTTGTCTGACGGCCATTATGATTTCTTCCTTCGTTGGTGGATTGACATCTATAGGAAGATTTGTGTGTGCTGCTTCGATGTCCGGTGGATTTATTGGAGCCGGCCTATTCAGGATTTCCTCAAAGTACTCTACCCATCTGTCCCGCTGTTCTTGAATATCGGTGATTGGCCTGCCTTCTTTGTCCTTGACAGGTCTCTTTGGTTTACTATATTTCCCTGCTAGTTTCTTCGTCGTATCGTAAAGCTGTCTCATATTTCCTTCTCTTGCAGCTTTTTCCGTTGTCGTGGCTAGTTCTTCCACGTATTTCTTCTTGTTGGATCTAATGCTCTTCTTCACTTGCTTATTTACTTCTGTGTATTCAGCTTGTGCTTGGACTTTCTTTGCTCGTGTTCGACTGTTGTTAATGGCTGTCTTCTTGTTCTTCCTTTCTTTGATCTTGTCCGCTGTTTCTATAGAGATCCATTCCTTATGATGATGCTTCTTAAGGCCCAGAACCTCTTGACACGTTGAAGTTAATGCTTCATTGATACTTTTTAAGTTGCCCTCCATAGTAGTTTCTTCTTCCTTCAGTAGATCCTGTAAGACTTGAAACTTGTTGTTGAGAGCTATCTTTAATTTACTGAGTTTGTGAGTATCTCGAAGGAAGGCAGTATTGAATCTTTGTAGTGCTGTTTGTCCACTTGTCCAGTTCTTCTTTAGCTTCAGTTTTAAATTGGCCACAACTAGGTGGTGACCTGAAGCTATGTCAGCTCCTCTCCTGGTTCTCACATCTTCCATTGTTTTTCGGAATTTTTTATTGATCCAAGTATGATCTATCTGGTTCTCTGTGGTGTGGTCCGGTGAGATCTATGTAGTTTTGTGTATACGTTTGTGTGGAAATATTGCGCCGCCTATGATCAATTTTTGAATGCATACAGACTTGCAAATCTCTCCCTATTTCCGTTTTTCTCTCCCAGTCCATGTTGTCCCGTAATATCTTCATATCCGGTGTTGTCTATTCCGACTTAGGCGTTTAGGTCTCCTATCAGAATGGTGAGGTCCTTTCTTGGGCACTTTTCTACGATTGATTGCAGCCGCTCGTAGAATTGATCTTTAATGCATGGTGTATTGCTCACAGACATATGTCTATTGAAGCAATTAATAATTCATACAGCTAGGGACGGTTACCTGTCCTCCATTTGATTTCAGGAAGAGTGGAATCACTAGCTATCAGTTTGAAGTTGATACTTAATTTTGAAAGACATATGAATATTTTTTTCGTCATATTTGTTTCAGGTTTTTAGTTTAGTGCCCTATATGTACATATCACAAGTTTCTTATAACTAGTGAGGCATACAGTAATTCATATTATGTTCGATGTGATGCTTATTACACTATCTTCCAGTCTTATCGGATTAATAAAATTCCGTACATAGATCGTTCATCGCACACCACTTTTATGACGCGGACACGATGACACTTTGGAAGAAATTTTAAAGACTGTACCCCGTGTAATGCTAAAGCATAAACCTAATCAATAACTCTCCAAGTCATCTGAACCAATGTACTGTAATTTGCTTCTGTCGTATTCATCTATTTAATGACCTTACTTGAGAAGCATGTAGAATTATGGTCTACTATGATATTAGTATTGCTCTAATAATAGACCTAATCCTAAATTTGTAGATTTGTCATGATATAACTGCCTAATCTATAAGATCTTACGTGGAAGTCACACCATCGACTACACCAACTCACTGTATCGTATCAATTACCAATACATTATATAGAACAAGGTTAAGCTAGAGAAAGAACAATATATTTAATATGAATAGAAGATATAAGGTAACATTCAGCAGAGACCACGCCTGCATGGCCGAGCCATGCCACTCGATCAACTCCAGTACATTCAATTCATTGTTCGCGCCTTCTCCATTGTT